GGGATATTTCAAGGCCATTAGTATCAAGCCAAGTTTTTAATAAATTAAGAGAATGAGACAGTAATGAGCAAGCAATGGCCGGTGATTGATGAATGGAATAAATTAAAAGGTCATCAGCATACTGGAGAATACAAATCCGATTACCCAAAGAAGCTTTCAAATCATGGGTATAAATATTATATAAGATGGGACTTAAGACTGATCCTTGAGGAAGACCTCTCCATAAGGTTCTGGTTACAACAGTGGAGTCTTGTGAAATTAGAGTGATGTGTCTTTCGTATAAAGTATTTATGATAAAATTTGATAACATTACAGGTACATTCAAATACTGTAGCTTTTTATGAAGAACTGACAACACTACATTGTCATAAGCGGATTGTACATCTAAAAATGTGGCAACAACAGAATCGTTCCTTGAAAATGCTAAAAAAATGTCAGTTATAAAGATGGCAATACTGTCCATCGTACTCTTCCCTCGACGGAAACCAAATTGACTGTCACAAAGTAATTTATTGCTTTCTACAAACCATTCAAGACGAGTTTTCACTAAATGTTCACAGAGTTTTATCAAGACCGAGGATAATGCAATAGGACGATATGAATTTGCGTTAGAGGGATTTTTATTAGATTTTAGAATTGGTATAATGATCTGGTTTTTCCAGCGTGGAGGGATAGAACCGGTTAACATAAGTGTATTTATCAATTTCAGGAAATATTCAAGAGTTTGGTCACCTAAATGAGAGATGAAGGAATATGGGATTCCATCGTCACCAGGAGCAGAGTCTATAACTGAAGATAGTATTCCTTTAATTTCATACATAGAAAATGGACTATTGAGACCAGAGGGGTTCAATGGCATCAGAGGTATAATTATTGTTTCAGGAACTGTAGTAGGAGCAAGTCTGTCGAGGAATTGATTTGTTAATGAATCGGGAGAGAACCAGAAGTTTCAGTAAATGCACACCTGAATCTTCTAATATTACGCCATACCACAGAAGGACGGACATTAGGGAGATGGAGAGACAAAAAGATTTCCAGCTATCTGTTTTTTTCTTTTGAATAATAAACTAGTGGCCTTGAAAGCATCTGTAACCAGATCAAAATTTTCAGATGTACAATTCTCACAATATTGGAGCTCAACTTGTTTTCTTTTTTTAATTGCATCTGAACATTCTTGATCCCACCAAGGTGGAGATGGAATAAAGCCCAGAGCACCGTTTTTAAGCGGAAAGGTTTTGTCTGCTACTTCTATAAATAATTTAGTTAATGCATCAGCACAAATTGATTCTGAACCATGTGAGATATTAGGAAGGGAAGTCATCTTTTGTTCTATACGGGATTTAAAGGTATCCCAATCAGCATTATTAAGTCGATGTTTTAATCTAGGTGAATGTCTAAATGTAAAATTAATGTGAAAAGGAAATCTAAGAAGTAAAGGGAAGTGGTCACTACCATATGAAGAAGAAAGTGTAGACCATGAAATAGTGGAAGCTAAACTAGGAGTACAAATGCTTAAATCAGGGACACTTGAGCCTTCATTGGGAGAGGTCCGCCGGGTCACAGAACCATCGTTAAGAAAGCAAAGATTATGAGAGTTTAACAGTTCCATCAATGAAACTCCGTATGTATTGGTTGTTGAACTGCCCCAAGAATTATGTTGACTGTTAAAGTCGCCTAATAAGATAAAAGGCTTAGGAAGAGTAGAAATGATAGAGTCAATTTCAACAAAGATAGAAGAACTAGGATGAGGAATATATATTGAAACATAGCAGATATTATTAACAATAGCAGCAATAATTGAAAAATCATTACTATGAGAAGGAATAGGAAAGTGAGAAAAAGGAAGATGATGTTTGACTAGTAAGGCAACTCCGCCATACCCGTCAATACGATCCTCACGGAGACAGGCATAGCCTGAGTACCTACAAGGAGCACCTGGTTTTAACCAGGTTTCCTGTAGAGCGAAGATAAAAGGTTTATATTTATTTATAAGATAAATAATATCACTTTTCTTAGACGAAGCACTTCTACAGTTCCACTGTAGAGCTTTGGCTTGCTTGTCCATTATTAATATAATTTGGTAAGCTAACAATAGTGTCAATTAAAGGAGCAGCGTTGGACGGTGAAAGAATATTTGACTGTGATAAAGTGTTAATGAGAATTTTTATTAGGTCTGCAATTGATTGTAATGTCAAATCATTATTGTTGTTTAAGTTTAATCCACAACCATTTCTGGGTGAGGGCATATCATAATCTTTAATTAATTGTTGTTGTGTATTTCTGTCATAACCTTTGGAAAGTTTAGGAATAGATTTAGGTTTGAGAAAAAAAGTCTTTTTGTAAGAGTTACTCAAAGACTGTTTATGAGACTGTTCATTTTGAGGAGTAGAAATAGTAGAAGCACCTACATTGGAAGAAGAAAGTAAAGCATCAGCATAAGATATTTTTGAGATAGGTGCATGAATTTTAGATGCTTCAGCGTACGAAATACAGCTCTTGGCCATAGATTCTTTGATGGCTTTTTGGCGATCAAATTCTAAACATCTTTTACTTGTGGCAAAATGGGAACCTTGACATAAACAACAGTATGCATCTTCCTCTAGGATAGAGCACTGATCAGCCGAATGGTCTTGGCCACACTTGAAACACTTTGGTTTTGATCTACATAATGATTTAACATGACCAAATCTGCAACAATTATAGCACTGTATTGTGGGGAAAATGTAAAGATCAACTGGGAGGGAAGTGTAGCAAATAAAAAATTCGCTTAGGTAGTATTTGTCCATCAAATGTAAGAACCACAGTTTCAGTAGGCTTAAACTCACTGCCATTACTAGTAATGATACGCCGTCTCATTCTTCTTATTTTTAAAATTGGACCGCATCCAACAGGTAAATTAATATTTTCCGTAACTTCTTCATCTGACCACTCAGCAGGTATGCCTCTTACAACACCCATACGGGTAACAGTAAATGTTGGGATAAAAACCTTATACTCGACTGATTGTAAAGCAGAGTTATTTAGGAAAGAATTTGCGTCCTGGTAATTATTAAAAGACAGAGACAGTCTATTACGACCAATTCGTTTTAGGCTTCCGTTAACAATATTGTGTATAGAATTTCTTTTTAAGAAACGACCAAAAGCAATTGGGTGGACTGAAACGCTATCATTTGGAGTTTGCTGTACTCTTTGTATGTGAACAACATATGGTGCTGCATCACTTGGCTGGTATCTTAAACGTGCTACTGATTCTGGCTTTTTATATTCATTAGAGGAATTAAGTTGTGACGGGTTGGATTGTGACTCATTGAACAAGGGAGCAGTGCTAATTTGGGTATTGGTTAAAGGAATGCAATGACATTCGTTTGGTTTGATTTCCTTGCCCTCATGTTTCCGACTACGTCTCTTTTTATTACAGTGGGTGCAATGTTTATGCACAGTGGCTCTCCGTTTTCGAGCACCACTGCTAGATTTTATAGATCCATCTGTTTCCATTCCAGACTCATCATTTGAAATCGTTACTATACAGCCCACCCCAGGGACTTCTCCGCCCCCAGGGTCATCAGGCGGCTCCATAAGGAGCAAAAGTATATTAAAATAACTTACCAATAAATCTTCTCTTTAATACACTATTAAATAAAACTAAGAAATAACAAAAATATATACATTAAATACACTAGACTACTGATCCAAACCCTAGAAATAAAATAAAATTTAATTAAATCGAAAAACGCGTCAGTCTACGATCGTATTTCCCGCGCTTCCTCGACTTATTGATTTGTAAATGAAACTAAAATTAAAAATTGTCATAAATTATTATAATCTTATTTTGTTACAATATATTTCCGCAAATTATTTATGGATTTTACAATTATATCTTATTTTTTAAAATTGGTGTAACGCCTCAAGCTACCACAGACAAGCTAATTAATTATTTTATATAATATCTACTACGACCTTATCAGCCCTCGTTTGGTAGAAAATCTCATAGACGCTTTAAGACAGAGACGTAACACGCAAAAGGGTGTCTTGACGTGTTAAGAAAATATAATTTGAGAGAAATATTTTTAATTTTGCCAACATTTTATATATTCGAGTAGTAGTATCCATATTCTGAACAGTGGTAATCAATACCTTTTGTGAGGGGCATTTTTGATATAATTTTAAAATGCAATACTTAGTTTCGATGGTAGTGATAGTAAAATGGTAGGAAAACTTTAAAAGTAGCTTGTCTCTGGCAGCATTTTTACAGCGCGTCATATTCTATGACTAGTAACCTCACGGCACAATGAGACTGCAATTGTCAAACCTAACAAGTTTTCGACTTGCGTTAGTTTGCACCAATAGACATGGTAACGCCAAACATTATAGTTGCTAAATATTCGCTATATATTTCATAGAAGTAATAAATTTGAAAATAGTTTCGCTGGTAATAATAGGTTATATGTTTTTTTAAAGTCAAATTTATTTTTATAATACAATTAGCAATTTTAGTTAGAACTGCTGTACTTTGAGACGTTTATACAATACAGAGTTTTATATGACATACTTCCACACAATGATTCAATTTTTTTATTCTTAGTAAAAACTTTTTCATAGTATGTCCGTATGCTCGTTTTGTTTACTTGTTGAAACATCCAAGTCCAAGTTTTCCATACAAAATTGATTCGGATATACTTACTCGGGACACGAACCGTCTTATTACAAAACGTGGTCTAAAGTTTAATTACCATGGTTACCACATAAATAAACACGAGCCAAGTTTCTGCTCTGGATTTATAATTTTAGTAAAGCGTCGCTCGCATTCTCTTAAGCATTTATTATTATTGATGTAGTAACCGTAAAGTAAGAATGACAACACGAATCTCACGTTTTAGACCGTACGACAGCCCCGTTCTGCGATCAAGTTTGCGATCGTTTACAGAATCGCCCTACTGGCAACTATAAAATTGACGTTACCTAACTGCGAATAGGTCTCACGGTGTCCGTCGGCGCGTTCGCTAGAAGATGTCGGCACAGGCGGACCAGTCCTGCTTCTGCTTGCACTCCCAGTACTTGTTGTTGTAGAGATGCCTCAAATGGGGCTGGCCGGGGGCCGCCTGCCTCGTGAACCAGACGGGGGCCCTCGGCGGGGGCGGAGGGCTGCCCCGAGCGGCGGCTTCTTCGGCCGCGGCCTCCAACTCGCGTCTCGCAGCCCTTTGCTTCTCCTCCAGCCTTAGCTTTTCGGCGTTCGCCTCGTCCCAAAGGCCTTCCTCCATGAGTCTCTGGTCCGGACGGAGGCGCGAGTCCGTGGGCGCCACGCCCGATTCTGCTTCGTTTAGTTGCGCCGCTAGGAGGGTGAAGTTGTACCATCTATGGATAAAAAAACCTTTCATCAATGTACATGAAATATTTGTTTCACTATTACAGGGAATGGTCCCACAAAATTCTAATGTTGTGGCACGTATTTATAGATAATAATAATATAATCCAGTGGCGCTACATCTCTATATGAGTCTCGGGCTCCGATTGCAACCGTTTCTATTTTTATTTCATAGACAAGTAGGTGATCAGCCTCTCGCTACCCCTAATTGTATGTTAGTTATAAGCTCATGTTTTAAAAAATTAAAGCCAGTTGACAATCAGCTTCAAACAAAGTGTTATATTTAATATATATTTGAACATATACACAACATCTGCCGCCGAACTTAACTACTGTCAACTTTTTTTTAATAACTAATACAAAAATAATCTGGTATTTTGTAAAACGCATTTTATTTCTACAATTAGTATCAATGAACCCTTCTAATGAATAAATAATATCTGAATTCTTAAATCATTAATAAAATTATTAATAAGTATGTATATTATATAAAAAATAACTGACTTGTCACAATCGCTGGGGGCCGGCACCCGTTCCCAGGCAAGCGTGAATTTGCCAGTCTTGCACACCGTGTTGTCTGCGGACGCACTCGTCACGGCCGCCACTTCCACGCGAGTGTCCCAGTGACCTTGCAGCACGTAGCGAGGCTGGAATATTCGTTGTTGTCAAGAATCAGTGGCGCTACCTTTTAGGTCTTGGCATCAGGTTTGTGTAACTGATTAAAGGTCATTGATTTCATTAGCCTTCTGCCGTGCGATTCTGTTAATCCGTGAGTTCACCTCGCACTAACATCGCTCCCTTCGTCACTCACGTCATTTTTGGAATCTCATGGTATTCTGTTAAGCAAATTCACATTACGTCTTTTCAAGCGGAGGGAGCTTGTAGTTTATTGTTTATCAGAATGCCAAATCGTAAAATGACAGCTTTACGACTGATTTGAGCGCGACCGCCGCTGCGAAAACCGCTGTGAGAGTTCGAAAAGTGAGTTACAGAATCGCAAGACCGGGCCTGACACGAGCGAGTATTAAATGTGCTCATAGACAGAAATCCCATTGTCTCAACTTGAAGCCACTAGGCCAACACTTATTTTTTACTGAAGATGCAGATCACTATACGGGCGAGAGCAGTGATAAGGTGGGTCACACAGTTAAAGAATTGTAGACCACAAGCCCATGAACAAAAAATACCTGTGAAATGACCCAACGTGAATTACGGTTAGAAGGCTGTTACTATATCTGAAAATAGCTCTGAGCACTATGCCGTCATTTCTGAGCGGTACATGTGAGTACGTGAGTGAATGGACTTTCTCAGGTACAATTGGGGAATTTCGACTAATTATTAATGTACGGCTTTGTTATAAGTGTATAGATGATTAAAAATAAATGACGAAAAACCTAGTGCCGTACTAAAGTGATGGTACCGGAAGTCGGTGCAAATTTTTAATTCGACGATAGTTGCAGGAGCAATATAGGTCATTTATTACTGTACGGCATTTGCGTAATTCCTTTTGGACACATATACAGATACTTTACCCGTAAACGCCGTACATATTTCAAGCGGAGCGGTCGAAAGCCAAGGGTCGCAACATATCTCTGATTAGAATATAGGTGATGATGATATAGAACAACATAAAATTAAATGATCTTGAGAGTTCTTCACAAATAGGTAACATTTTCCAGCATGCCGTACATTTTTTGTGGAACACATAGGTGTATGGGGTAAATTACTTCCCTCCGAAAAAGAGTCATTTTCCGGTGACTTTTATTTGTACGGCAATAACACAGGTTATTAATACTTTAGACAATCTTCAATAAAAGATAAATGCCGTACACTTTCGATAGTCCGCTAGTCTGTGAAATGGCAGATTATACCACCGCCTACCAATACAGGGCGTCCCAAAGTTATGGGATATGAAGGGGAAGTACCTTAAATATCGTAGATAGGGTATTTTACTAAAAGAAGACTTTATGTTATTTTTAAAAGTTAGTAATTCTGCATTCAAAGATTTTCTAAAAATTACTTGCCTCGTCTGGGAATCGAACCGACTTTGATTTAAAAAAAACCCTACTTTTATGATGCCAATCGAAAGAATGGCCAAAAACTAATAACTCTTCTTAAGTAACATAGTATTTTAAAAGAAAGGAACTGCGTGAATATATCTTTTTAATCAAATAAAAAAACATTATCTATCGTATTCGGCCTAAAAAAATCCCCTACTAGTCTGTTACTTTAGAAAAGTTATTAGGTTTTGGCCATTCTTTCGATTGCTATCATAAAAGTAGGGGTGTTTTTTTTACATTTAAGCCGGTTCGATTTCCAGACGAGGCTAGTAATTTTTTCAAAATCTTTGAATGCAGAATTCCTAACTTTTAAAAATAACGCTCAGAGCTATTTTCAGATATAGTAACAGCCTTCTAAGCGTAATTCACGTTGGGTCATTTCACAGGTATTTTTTGTTCATGGGCTTGTGGTCTATTGATGTATGAGTACGATCTCGTTTCTTGTACGGGTTTTGAATAATACGTAGATACATAAATCTTGTGTGCTTGTGTTTGTATTTAAACTTTCGGATTAATTTTTTTTTCAAATTTTATGTGTGTGTTCAAGTGGATGAGAGATGTGTTAAGATTTAGAATTAGATGATATATGATATTTTTAATTTCAGACGAGTGAACAGAACGTCTGTCGAGTCCGCTAGTAATCTGTAAAAATCTACATAAAAGCTAGAAACAATTAATTAAATAAAATTGAATGACTTAGTTGACATCTGAGTAAGAATGAAATACAATAAAAAACTTCTCTCACCACTCCATTGGGATCCTTAACGACTCCAGTGACCTTCCGTTGCGTGTCCTTGCTAAAGTAGCCATAAGGCACATATTTGAGATGGGCCACGTATCCAGCAGCGGGTCCGGCTTCACCAACTATCTCCATGTCCCCATGGTTATCCACCCAGAGCTTGCCCACTATAATGTTGTGCACTGTTGTCGTTACCTTACGAAAAAATGCTAATTACATACAAACACATTTTTTTCATACAAGTTCGATCTTTCTACATGATTCTAAAGTCATTCAAGGGACCTGGGGCTTGAAATAAAATTACTTTTGCCCAGGAGTGACCCACCAACGCCAAACTAATTACTATGACAATGATAACGTGACAAAGCTTGAGCTACTGTCATTCCCATAAGAACACACGATTATAAATTTTAATAACAAAAAATAAAAATATCATTTATTCATATAAAAAATTGTTCTAAATTTACATTTTTGCCAATTCTTAAATCAACAGCGTAGAACAGATGAGAAGAAAAAGCTCTCACTCACGTCACTCTTTTGTAAAATAGAGTTTTAGTACAGAGATTATTTATTTCTTCTGTAAATTATCCTAATTCGCAAAAATACGTACATACTAATACCAAATGGTCACCTCAATCCAGAAAATTCTACAAACCTATCAGTACATACATTGTGTATTACTAGTAAAAAAATATTTCGATATACCTAAATAATAAATACATATAGCAAATAAGACTACGAAATAACTATCGAGTTCATAGCCCAAACCTTATGCCACCGATACTGACTCCCTGAATTAGTGAAGAGTAGGAATGTCTCATCGTCTGGAGATATCGTGATGAACTGACCACGGAACAGACTGGACACTGAAAAGTGCTGCCAGCATATCCACCCGCTTGCGCCTTCACAGTGAGACGCACTGGTTGGCGGGTGATGCGTCACCTGTGCACCTACCTTTTTTACTATGGGGTTTAATTCCTAGCCTTCCGCGATATTGATTTCCTGGTTCCAGAAAAAAAAATCGGGGGTCCTAATAGTTTTGTGTATGTTGGATTGTTAATTATTTTATCTATTTAATTTAATAATCGCCAAGGCAACGCCTTGACTTCTGGCAGTATAAGTGTAGGATGGCGGTATCACTTAGCAACAGATAGGCCTGTTTATTGACCCCCCATGTACCGCGCCGTGTAACGTTTTTCTGCACACAAGTATAGTAAAACGTTTCGTGACCACCTAGTGACTCTTTACACCTAAAAGTTACTATTATGTGGTGTAAAGTACTGGAAAGTCGAAAATAATATGTAATAATATGTATCCTAATAGGGATACTTCTCTTTCCGAGCGTGTATATGGACTACTTACCAAATTAAGACTGTGTGAAGAAATGTGTCAAAATAGTTTTTAGTTTATCACCTATCTCCTTCCTCCCGCCTTTACCTACCTCTCAAAACACGATCGCGCCTGCCTACTTGTCAATGTGAGTCGTCAATTGTCAAAGTACCTTCCGCCAAGAGTATTTGTTGCCGGAAGCGGGGAAGTACGCGTAGGCGCCGCCGAGCGGTATCACCTGCAGGTACTTGCCGCGAAACTTGCTCGTCATCGTGAACTCCTGCCAGCACTGCCACCCGGACACGCCCTCGCAGAATTGGGCCACCATTGGCGGATGGTGCGACACCTAACCATATTTAATTTTAATTGTATTCTTTTTTTGAATTTGAAAATAGAATCCGATTTCAAATTGCATTTTTAAATTTAGGGTAGATTGAAATATATTAACAATTGAAAACTAATTGGAGATAATTCGATAGGAAATCATTTAAGAATAAAGTTATTATTTTTTTATTTATGTGAATTGATTAAGCGTCGGCAACGTTTATTTTATTTATATATGTGTGGTTATAGGATTTTTAAGGTGAGTGAGCGATAAGGACGTAGGAAAGGCAGGAGGAAGGTTGGGGTTTAGGAAAATTATTATATTTAATTTAATAAATAAACAACAACTTGCCTGTTCCGATATAACTCTCCATCCGAGATCAGACATTCTGTCACATTCATATGTCTCACCTAGCAGCGGGTTAAAAGGCTTTGTCGTTCTGTAATAAAAATTAATATACACTAAACAAAGGCAAAAACTTCGTATTTTTTACACATAACTCATATAAAACAATTACAGTGTATACTCCCTCCATGTAACGTCCTTCGAACGATAATCTCCCTAAATCGTCGAAGTAGTTTTAGGCTTTGGTTGGTTTAGCTCTTTCATACAATGCAATGATACACTCTACTATAGGGTACCTTAAGACCGACAATTAAATAATAAAAAGTACTTTTTAAGAAAGATGCCGAAATTAGTTAAAACTGCGGAGCTTTATTGTTAGCCCGTAATGAACTCGACTGTCGGCATCATATGTGCCGAACTTTTTATGAAATCCGTTCTTTATTTGAATAAAACAAGTAAAAAAATACAGCATAATTACTGGTGCAGCAAAAGACGTCAGACGAAAATAACAGACTATACGCAATAGCGTTCAAATAAGAATTGTTTTTCTATATAATTACTAACACTAGTCTGAAATAAACATTTTCTTTTACAGATTTATCTTCTTTCGATTTAACGACAACCCTTAGTAACGTCATAATATGGACAGTCCCTTGAGTGCCGTTATATAGAATTTACACTGTATTTAATTTTCATTCTAAGATAATACCAATTCTCTTTAGTTATTACCGCACATGGCGTGTTACCCATGCACTTCATAGATATAAAATAGATTCAAGTGACTTTAGACCTATTAGACCTAAAAAACAAATTAAAGTTTTGAAAGACCGACTACGCACTTGCGAGCCTTTTGGTAATGTAAGTAGGTATCCACTATCCATGAGAGGTGCTATCGCTTAATATCAGGTGTCCTGCCCCTGTTATATAAAAAAAAAGAAATTTGTTTAGTATTAGAAAATATACCTGTTAGCTGTAGTTGCATATGAAGACACCGTAAAAGCAGCCACATAGGCCAACTGTTGCGCAGGATCTGAGAAAGTAGCTGCCTGATCCAGAATATACGAGTACTCGTAATCCTCCGTTAATCGCTGAAGCATTGAGAGTGGCTCGCTGAAGTTTACCGGAATAGGAATTTTTGATAACTCCTTACCTAACAATTAGGAACATCTTTAATAAAGTCTTAATCAAATGACTTGCGTTGCTTGAAAAATGATAATATCATTTGGTTTTTAGCTTCGTTTGGCAGTCTACTTGCCAAAGGAAAACGAAACGCTCTTCCGTTCTACGCCCTTGATTTGAGAACTGGCAGTAAATGTAAAATTAGAAGCATTCAATGTATTTTTTTTACATAAGTGTACATAGTGTTACCTACATGAATAAATAATTTTTGTTTGAATATTTATAAAATAAATCGTCTCATTTAAAGTTCTGCTAAGCCCCTTGATTATCCTTCGAATCGCTTTAGAATAGGCCTTAGCTCGATTGGGACTGAGTTGTGATGGCTGGTGCCTAATTATTCTTGACATTTGGTCTTAATACGTATTGTCGAAGTCGGAGGTGTTTGATCGTGAATGATACGCCCCTGTAAGTACATATTTCAAGCACACCTTCTTATCAATCAAATAAATATATATCAAAAAAATCAAATAACATAAGCAAGTTTTTATACAACTATTCTATTTAAAATCTCGACTCTTGATTTTAGTTATTTTTAGCTTGTAACAATTTAAAAGGGGCCTTGGATAATTGTTCTCAAGACAAAGCTTCAAATACAAAGTGCAAATGTTTTCATTAGCAGTTGTGAGTCAACGCGTCGAATCGGTACCAATACGATAACATAAGTTGCTAGGAATAATCATTTTGATAAGGTAAACCATATTAATAACGAAAATATTTTGCATACCTTTACCTTTTAAATACTAAATGGTACATTTAGATGTATCGATAAACTGAGGGTACTTTCAAGTTATACTTATAGTAATACATTTTTAATTTTGCGAACCTAAAATTTGCACTTAAATCAACGACGTCAAAATGATTAAATCCGAAAATCTTTTAACGGAAATCAAAGAACTATGAAACCAACCAAGTAGTTCTTGCTACTTACCTATACAATTCTTCATAATAGACCACAAGCTAAGGGGATAGTTGGGTTTATCAGGCACTCGTGTTCGCCGCGGCTTTCCCTCAATCATACTATCTGTTGCTTGAGATACATGAGGCTGTAAAGATAACAAAATACATATATACATATGAGAAGTTAAGAGAATTTATGGAGCACTCATGGAGGCCGGGTGTTTTAATTATGGCACCAATGGATTTTTCTTTCAATGTGAAGAATTAATACGTTCGTACGGTGTCATCATCATCGTGAGGAAACCGACATGTCTTAGACCCCAGAAGTCGACGGTATGTGCCTAGCACAGATGTGTGATCGCCTACCTTAGTCTATTAAGAAAAAAACACCCCGAAACAGGTCGGAGGACAGAGCTTCGCTGTCGAACAACATTGGAAATAACAAATAGTCTATAATTTATAATGTATCTAACAATATTGTGAACTGTCAAAAGACCACTCATTATTTTCCGATAGATTAATTAAATATCGTTTTACGTTGTTTTTGAAATCTTAACATAATTTTTCTAGTAAGAGACGTTTCTATGACCTTAAGTTAAATAGAACTTTTAAAAGCTTCAGAACATGTCTAATACGTGGAAAAATATTCAAATTAAATATAAAAATAATCCGCAAAGGAGCCATAAATTATAAATAGATCGGATTTTGAAAATATATCTTAAATAGAACCCTCATACCCGATCCGGATTTACGTTATTAACAGGAAGTTACAGTCCTTAGTCATTTGTTTATGATAAGCAAGTTCTGCATATTGTTTAAAACTGAATAGTTCTACTACGAGACCTTTTAAATTAACTAGTGCTTTTATATTTATTAAAAAAGTTTATTAAGTATTAATTAACAGTACGAATCACATACTTTTACTAAAGAGAGCAGTTATTAAACCGAAGAACCAATTATTAAACGTGTTTAAATCGCCTCTAAACTATTACGTAATTGTATTCATCTTCTAATATATAAAATTCTCGAATGTATATAAAATTCTCGAATGTATATAAAATTCTCGTGTCACAATGTTAGTTACCATACAGTGGCGTAGCTAGGTGACCAAGGGCCCTGGGGCAAATAAAAAAATGGGGCCCCACTGCTATGTAAACGGATCAAAATATGAAATTTACATATACTTTAAAAATGCTAAGCTACTTAAGCTCTTTTTTGTGAACGACAGGTAATAAAAACATTAAACAGTAACATCATACATTACAATTAATACTTGGTGTTGGTTTGGCGAATAAAACGAAATAGAAAAGTTTCAAGAGTTTATTTTATAAAGGTCGGGCCTACCAACTGACTAAATAACAAAATTTAATTTACAATTTTTTCCTAGCTTTCGATTTCGCAAAAGTATCAATGACTTCGTTTAAATCCAGGCTTGATGCGGTTTTGTTTTCAATTGTTATCTAATTCGCGTTATACAATGAGCTATAGCCGAAATCTTTAGATTTGACACGATTTATTGACTATAACGGATATCAATATGAGTGGTAAAATAAATAAAATTGAACCATTATATTGACCAGTACAAAAAAGCTTATTGACATTATCTTACTTACTCCTCATACAACAAAATTTTTTACCCGTTCTCAAAAAAAATCTTAACTCGAATTCACAATAAAAAATAGGGGAATTCCCTGCCTAGGGAAAGTTATGCCTATAACTTTTGAATTTCTCTCAACTGAGTTGTCATGATTAAAGTGGGGTTGCAATCTGTCATATTTATTTTGAAAATAGGAGAAATTTCCAAAAGTTCAGAACGATCGAGATTTCTGGTACTGCTTCGAGGGCCCCCTGAGCTTGAGGGCCCCGGGGCACTGCCCCGCCTAGCCCCTAGGTAGCTACGCCACTGGTATTATACCATACTCCTCCGAAACGGCTTGACCGATTTTTATCAAATTTTATATGCATATTCAGTAGGTCTGAGAATCGGCTACTATGTATCTATTTTTCATTCCCCTAAGTGATAAGGTTTGTCCCTAACATTTTCTTTTAGACATGTTTTTTATGATACAGCATACAAAAATACATACAACCCCTAATTTTCACCCCTATACGTTCAACCCCTATTTTAATTATATAGTTAGTAAGCTCTTTTATTGAACTAAAAAATGTTTCCTAGAAATAATATACATGGCAAAACAACGTTTGCCGGCTCAGCTAGTTATATATATGAATTCTGGAAATACCGATACAGTCATAGAGTTACTAAGTTAGTATTTAACCTAGTTGCATCGACTCACTAATGCAAAGAACACACGGTCAGCATAAATGAGCAGAGCAAAACCTTTTACTGTCATGTTGTTTTTGATTAAAGTAAGAATTAATAAAGGAAACCAATTTATATTACATATTACGATTTTTTTTATTTAATATTTATTATACATTTAATTAAACGTGCGGTTCAATTACGGCCAATGGAATTTTCTTTCTATGGACGCAATGTGTCCTATGGTGAAGGGCAAACATCGTGAAGAAACCGGCATATCTCAAACCCAAATAATGATAACATGTGTCAGACACAGAAAGCGGATCACCTACTCTTTTTAACATATATCTGAGTTTTCGGTAATGCGAACTCTTGTCCAAATAAATAGCGATCAAAAACTTCGATAGATGTGTTTGTAATAATAACGTAAGCGTAATACGATGACGTATTTTTGTTAAATACACAACAATCGTACGGAACACTCTCATAATAATGTTTTAAATTTTGTAAATATCACATAGTATCTTGTCTTTATTTTTTTTTCAATCACACATAATGGACTTTTACCATTTACTTTGACTCTTTATGTATTTTTTACATTATTAATTAAATTTTTGACATTGCTCAAGATATAGGGTATTGCCTAGCAACACAGGTTAAAAGTAGCTAAATTAAGTACGTAGACTAAAGTGATTTAAATTACACGCCTCAATATCAGGGTGAAGGTCAACTCAATCAATAACGACCAATTTCATTTAATCACCTACTATTTAGTGTCGTGGAGTCGAAATTGATAAAATAACATATTTTTTAAATACATTATATGACATAATATACAACAAGGTCAAAAAAGCCAGAACCACGCTTATTCGACGAATGTTTATACAACGTGTTTATAAAAACGTTTTCGGTAGATGACCTTGAAAATTTGTTAGACAATTATCTCGTATTTACGATAGTATTAATTTAAATAAAAAAAAAGCATTCTAATATCGACTCTTTCGGCATAAAACGTTTTATAAGATTAAGTATTCTTAATTTAAATAAAGATTAATTATTAACATTAAGCATTAAAATATGGAAAATGCAAGTGAACACTTTGGGCATGGCAATAAAAACAAATACTTAAATTATTAACGTATTACTTAGGAATATTTCTTAAATAATATTGACCTCTAATTTCCAATCGGTTGTCATGCATTTTATGTTGCTTACTTTAGTCATTTCTATTTATTGTAATTTAAATCTGCGACGGACCCATGTCTGCAGCGTTAGCTTCTACGTCTTTTAAACGCGATCGTTAAATATTTTACGAAGTTCACAATAATTAGACATGGTTAATATTTGTATCATTGCTAAAAATATTATGTAAGATCCGAGTCATAATGATATCATGTATAAATATATTTACCCTTTACGTCAAGACTTGACGCTGAACTTAACTAGTAAACAAATTTAATAAGCATACTAAATGTCTTGTCATCAATTTTCTTTTGTATATACTATACGCACGCTAATTTTAGCAATTTAAATATAAAAGTCAATATATACATTTAAACTAAAGATCGCTAATACGGAAACAGATAAAAACTCACCCATATCTTGATATCCATTTCCTTATTATTTAGGTCTTTGAGATTAACGGCGGCGACTTCCGGACCTCCCATTGCACTCTCTGCACGCTCTTTATCTTCTACGAATATTACCTACAACACATTTTATATATAAAAAAAGATGAAAAGTACAATGGAAATTGATCCATTAGTCGATCTAGTATAGGTACAATTGGGATAAAATATCTATATTCAGAAGGACTCGTCCATCGGAAGTCAAAAGTTTTTAAATTTCATTCAAAAGTCTTAAGGTATCCAAAACAATGGCTTTATATTGAATCACAAATCAAATTATAGATTTACATGTTCAATATTCAATAATACGGTTTACAATTAGCTTCTAAAAGCGCTGAAAATGGGCAAACATACCGTTTCTATTTAACAACTAAGGCGAAACTCGAGTATACTATGTGAATAATGTTATAAATTTTCGCCTTATATCTAGAAGTTATATTTAAGGGTAGAAATCGTGTAGAACACCATATCATACCTTCTCGATTGTGTCCGCACAGATGTGTACGCACAACGGACCAACCTCGAGTCTAATTGCGGAGAAAGGAGTCCTTCAACCCTACCTTCTCGATTTAATTGATTAAAAGATCAAAATAATTTTCAACACCTCTAACACTCGTAGTATCTAATGGTGAATAAATAAATGATAATGCTAAGAGTAATTTTATGATAGTCATTAGTCTTAACATATTTCAAACGATAAAATCAATTACTTAACTGCTAATGTTGTGTTTGTATTGGAAATTAGTTTATACATATATATAATATTTATAAATAAACATCTTAATATATATATTTGGCATTTAAGGAAATGTTTATTATGGCTTCATTCTATATTTACAAATAACACCCGTTTGTGTGAGACAACTGGCAATCGACCCAGAATCGAAGATGTATGATAGACAGAGAAGTATGATCAACTAAGCCTATCAATAAATTTTTTACTTACTTGTTGTGTTTCCGTTAGTTCAGTTTCTGCCTCTGATTCGTCGGAGCTTTCTCCACTTTTTACTTTGTTTTTTCTATTTACCTACAAAGCAAAATTGAAGATGAAAATTGTGATCAAAGACAAGATATTAAAAAATCTGCTAATGAATTTAATAGTGTATAATAAATATTTATTAGAAAGTCAAGAGCATGACCCCTCACAAGGATTTTAAAGAACCACTAGATTGCCTTGCTGCTCTTAGTGTCTTGTGATAACTTTTTATTCTTAACATATTGGCCAGTAATTAAACTCATAGATATCCAACATACAAAATGTGTATTCACAAGAAAATAATTTTCAATAAGAAAATATGTTTAAAAAACAAAATTATGGTGCGATTTTATGTTTAAAAAAACCAGGGCCTTCTGTCTCTTTTAAAATACGTTTAGCTCAATAAAATTCTTAAGACTGTATTTTTTTTAAATTGTCATTGCAATCCAAATATATTTTTATTAAAATTGATTCTTAATTAATAAAAACTCAAATGTTGAATGATAGTGTACAATTAAAATACACTATTATCCTAAATCATTATAAGTTTATTAAAATTATAATGTATAAAACTTACAGGTACTTTGATTACAAAAGAATTTTTGTCCTCCATTCCTGAGGAAGTTCCTTCTTCAACTGCATCAAAAAATTCATGTTCCTCATCTTCTGTGTCGTTGTTGGGGCCAGAACCATTACCACCTACAAAGAGGATAGTTATTGCCTATATAAAATACACACACTACAAGTTTGCTTCATACATATTTTTATAGATATTATATGATACAGCAATATTTTAATTAGATTAGTCTTTCTTTCATAGACTGGTTCAACCTATATGTGTAGTTTTAGAAAACAATTTATATACAGATTGCAAGTAACAACAAGTTATAGTGAAATTCACAATACTTTGTCTATTAAATTTTTATAGGAACTGGCAATTAAACTAACCAACATATGCACATTTTACAGCAGCATTATAAGATATATTTATATTTTATTGAAAAATATAATTTATTTCTGAAAATCCCTTTTAAGGAATGTGATGGTTTTTATCAAATACAGAGCACACACAGCTTCTAAATTAGAGTAATGCACAATACTTAATTAGTTTAAGTAGCTGCTAACATTTTAAAATAAGATAAACTGTATTTTAAAACAAAACCACAACTCACAACTTCAACATGACAAAGCGTGTAAAAATGATCATGGACAGAAGCAAATATACATTTGTGAATTAATTGGGTATCATTCTTTTTAATTTCTTTTGAAGCAATTAGGTGATCAGCCTTCTGTGCATTTAATTACTCCTGTTAAAACTGACAACCAATATGTCTTACTGAACTAAATTGATTTACAATTTTTATACTCTTTAACTACACAAACTAATCTAATTCTAAAATAAAAATATCAATTAACCAAAATTGTATTATAAAACAAAACTAGTATTTTATGTGAAAAAAATAATAATATATATTGAAATTAGAGTTCAGAGTCCAGCCCTAGCACAAACTATGACTTGCATATGTCAAAATCCAATAACTTTTTGACATACAGGAGTCACACTCAACACTATGTTACCTGAATATACTTTTTAATATCATAACTAAGCAATTTTGAATTCCATATAAGCTTTGCTGGACAATAGAAAGTACTTTCTATAATACAACTATGGCCTGTAATTGCTTATGGCATATCAAATTTAATGTTTCCTGCTTGCTGCTCAACTATTAGAAACTAAATAGTGCCTTTCTGAATACCTTTACTTTTTACAAGCTACTTTCTTTACAATTTTATGTATTACCTACTAAAATATATCTAGTATTTTTAAAATCTAGGTACATCACTTTGTGTGTTCCTATTAGGACGAATTAAATTCATAATATACTCTAAACAGCTCCAAATTGCACTTGTCATTTCCTTTCAAATAGAATGGAGCCTAAAATAATAAACAAAGCTACTTAATGCCATTGACTTTTGAAACTGATAGTGACAGTGTGATAATGAAAAGATTTTGGTTTTAGCCCTGTGCATTTACTTGACAATACCATAAGCATGCACATTGTTCATGAAATTGCATTGTGATGTGAGACACTCAGCACCGGTTGATAGCATCATATTCACTTACCACCCATGACGAGGTCTTAGCTGAATTATTTATGCATAATAACAAAATGTAAGGATATATATTTTCAAATTAAAGCCACTAAATACACACCAACAATAACACAGGTAACACTTAAAAATTCAGAGGCACGGTAATATTGGGCAGTGAATAATTAGATAAACGAATCCACACCAATTATTGCAAGATTTTACTTTATTTCCAATAACACAACCTTGATATCCGAAAGCCGAGAAAACCAAGAATTGCACTACATACAGAACTCCATTACGATCGATTTACCTACCGAAACAAGTGCTAAGAATGTTTCTTTTCATACATTTTTTTAAGATATTATAAATACTTTACAATTTTATTAATAGATTGAAGAAATATTTAAAAAATATATAGATACAAAGGTAATTTTGTAAGTCGCCCAATAAATTAATTCCGATTTTCTTCGATCCGTCACCAAACGTGAAATGTCAGGCGTCAAATGACAATTCAATTTCAATCGTCATTCCTTAATCGTTCATCACTTCAGAGTCGTGATTGTTTATTTCTCAATACAGTTCTTTTCAAACATTTTTGGTATAAAATATTAATAAAGTAAAAAAAACATACTTTATTGAATTGCTTGAAGTCTTGGACTAATAAATCATAAATATAGCTATATGGTTAAAAAACTCTGTCAAACATCTTAGATCACAGTTTTTTAATTAGTTTTAGATTTTATTTTGTTAGACATTAGAAAAAAAGTACCTCTTTGCTTGTACAAAATGCTAAAGTACCTTCCATTTATAACACTTCATCGGTACTCAGCTGTATAATCTTATATTACCTGCCGCATGAGGAGTACTTCTAGCCGTCTTCTCCAAAGAGTCATGCTGTCTTGCAAGCTGTTCCACAATCTCTTGTAGACGCATCTTCTGTTCACGTTCGTGTTGTAAGGCACGACTCATGCGCGCGCTGGATGTTGCGGCCGCGCTCATGAACTCTGAGCATGCCTATGTAAGTAATCCTATTAATATTTAGTCTTATATAAGGCTAAATGTAAAAATTCATAGATAGCTTTAAAGTAAGTTGATATAAATTATTCAATGCCAACTTACATTCATCATAGCATTGCAGGAAATTCTAAACAGTGTAGCTCTTTCTGAAACCTGTTTAGCAGTGTCTGATGGTGGTATTTCAAGGTCCACTAAAGACCTCTGTAGTGCCGCACCATGTCTAGTTACCTGTTAAAAGATATTGTACATTATTAAGATTTAATATTAAAAAATTTTAAAATAAAAAAAGAAATAATCTTAAGGTCACATCTTAGGAATTCATGTAAAGGAAATAAATAATCTCACCAATTCAGAGCATGTGCGTAGATCATGAAACCTTGCATTTAGTTCCCTAGCAATACCCCCGGCATCTTCACTTTCTCCCTCTGTTTGTGGCACTGGTCCAGAATTTATCTGATCATCGTCATCGTCAGATTCTTGTGCGCGACTGAAAAACATTACATTAACTGCATTTATAACACAAGGTACTAAGTACTAAGCCTGCCTGCATCAATTACAAGTGCCAACACAGTTGGCGCCATTATAGAGACTTTTGGCCTGCATTATAACTGCGAATAAATTATAGACTTGTATGTTATTTGTTAAATTACTATACTTGTATGTATCATTCATTGTTCTTGTTCTTTTATAAGTTTTTCTTGTTTTCTTTATTTGTGTTGTACAACTGATAGTTGGTAATAAATGTAGAAGCCTTTGTCTATGGTTAATTTGTTTGCACCATTATACAACTATAAATTTTTTTCAAACAATGGTAATTTTTTTGTTTAAATTGTATAAGGGATAAAGATTCTATAACCATTATAATAAAAAAAATTATGAAGTAAAAACTCACATAGCTTTAGCTTTGGCAAGTTCAAGAGCTGTGACCCAGCTTTGCCGTTCCACTTCATCATGAGCACGAATATGAAATGTCTGAGTTCCACCATTGCTGATTACAAAAGTACAAGAGTCAGCTGTATGAATCAGTGCTCCAAGAAGTGATATTGTTCCACGGCATGTATGTGCCATCTCTGCTTGATTTCTACAAATGAAGTGTTATTCATTACCAAGAATACCATTAATATATTTCACCATTACATATAAATAAACAAATACTGCCCCATACAAATGGATTCGGCCCTTAATAATATTTATATACATCTATAAATTATTATGAAATAGATGTTCCAGCAATTTAAATACATATTTAAAATTAAAAATAAACTCTAAATTCTGTTTTATTGTTACTAATTAATACTTATTACTTATCAAAAGCAATCTATTTTTTTTAAGTCATAGTGAAAATGATATCAAAATAGTTCTAAGATTTGGTCCAGGGTGTCCTTTAATATGCAAATCCATACTTGTATTTAAAACTTATAAACAGGCAACAAGTGGTAAAATCACAATAAAATTTGTATCAATTTCATTTCAAATAAAATGTTGTATTATTTGTGTTGTGACTTAATAATAATAAAACTGGTGTTACATCAAATACCACATATTCAAAAAATATCTTTTACACATACAAATTAATATCGAAACAGTTTAAAAGAATAATTACTTCCCTTGCCCAATAACCGGTCAATTTATATAATATGTCGCGTATTTATATAACAGTAATTAATAAGTTATTACAGACAAATTAACACAGTAAGATAATAGTGTAGTATGTACCTGTAGTATGATAGTAGTCCGTTTGACAACACGAACCATCTTCGTTGGTATCCCTTGAGATAGTTCGTCCATTTAAACAACCAGCCCTTTTTTTCTGGATCTCCAGGTAAAGGTTGTCCTTTAGCTACGATAACTTCAGACATTTTAACAATTATTTTGGGACTTTAAATAAATAAAAATCATCACATCGCTCAAGCCACGTTCATGACGACCAAATTCCAATTCTTTATTTAGTGATTAGAAAATCATCATTCATCAGTCGCCACAGTACTAAATAGATCGTTGACAGGTACAACATAGACACATTGGAGTTTAATATAATCTTTATTCTTGCATTAAATACCACACAGATTACATATTACGATTAGCAGCTACGGATCCCGATTCCCGTTTCTTCTTGAAAAAAAATTAATTGAAGTAAATAGAACAAAAATATTTTGATGATTGATCCCTTGGTTTTGATATTTAGTCATTAGGCAAGTATATCTAGTTCATAGTTGTATCTTTTCGTTACCAGACCATACATTTTTTAACAAGTCTAGTTATCTTCAAGTCAACTTAGAGATTTAATATCTTGTGTTTCAAACTCAAAAGTCAAACTCTGAAATTTACCCTGAATCTCAAGATCTGTAAAGAACAACCTTATTAATTATTCATCTGAATGCGAAACCGACAACCCTCTCAGACCGGTATGTTAAATGGTTCCCAACCTACATTCAAGAAAACTTAGACTGACTATAACGTTTCAAGGGTATCTTACCCTTATAATATTTACTAGTCAAAATTGTAATAAAATATGTAAGACATAGTTATGTAAAATTTCGCCTGGTTTAAACGCTTGATTTATCTTTTATTTAATAAATAACTGCCGTTAACTAGCAACTGGCAAGAGCAAGACCATTGTACAATCAATTTTTTTTCAGTCGTGACGTTCTGTCAAATAATGTTTATCAATAGATGTCGCAGTACAACTATAACTGCTTTGCGTTTTACTCAAGGTGATCCTTTCGCTCCAGTTCCTACTTCCTTCATAGTCAAATACGAATTACGAAGTATCTATAGAGCCATTTAAAAGTTTATTTCAATAATAGCATTACTAAATACCTTTTTACAGTAAATAAATTAGAAATATTCCTAACCTCAACAACAAGTAACTAATTTATTTCAGGTTTAGTGGTAAACCGACAACTAAGAAAAATGGGTAATTCTGAATCGAGATCATATTCTCCAAATCAACAATGTTCCTCATCTAAAATTGATTCTCGTGAGTTTTTTTTACATGCAATTTTATTTTAATACCGATCTGTAGGTAGACAAATTTTAGAAGAATTAAAACGTTTGGTCTTGCAGATGGTACCATATCGCGCACTGACTCGCAAGTTGAGTATGTGGAGGCGATAGTATGCCAATCAACAGATTTGAAGGAAAATGAAATGAAAGTGTTTGACATAGCTGAACATGGTAAAGTACTGCTTGTTAAACAAAAAGGAGAATTTAGTGCAGTAGGTCCTAAGTGTACCCACTATGGTGCTCCATTGAATACTGGAGCCCTTGGTGATGGAAGAGTGAGATGTCCATGGCATGGTGCATGTTTCAATTTGAAAACTGGTGATATAGAAGATTTCCCTGGATTTGATTCACTACCTTGTCATCAAGTTACTGTTACAGACAAAGGAGATGTAAAGGTTTGTTATAAAAAATTTCATTTAAAAAATTTTACACAGTGGTGGTACATATTCCTTAAGAGATCTTATGGGAAGTATGTGTATATAACCATTTAGGTATTTGTCTTGTTGTAAAATCACTTACTAACCACGATTTATGGTTCATTGTCATTAAATGGGTCGAAGTTTTGAAGACTTGAAGTGCGAGATGCAATATTGGCTGGTTTTGTTCAACCTATATTCTATTCTTAGTTTTTTAAATAAAATAAGTTTTTATCATCATTTGTGAATGAAATATAAATTTATTATAATTAGACATTTTTAGCTTAATTAATTAAATTTTTAATGCATATCAGAAATTCCTTATTAACTTAATACATTGTGCAAAACATCCATGATGTCATTTTATTCCAATTTAAAGACCTTGTAAAACTGTAATGACTAATGAGTCACACTATAATATAAGTCAATGATTTCAATAATATTTACACCAAGCAACAGCTGGAGCCGGCTTGTTTTAGAATTGTTAATTAATTTGCTTTAATAGAAGTTTAAAGTAAGAGTAAAATATTTTATAAATTGAAGCATATTTACTTAATATTATCTATGCTTAATTTACTAAAAAAAAACAATGTATAGCTTAACAAAAAATTATCACCTTTTTAATATTATTTGTTCAATTAACAATAGTTTTTCAACTACACTTTTTTTTAAATACTCACTAGATATATGTGAAAAGATTAAAAAAATTTTGTTAATTTAAATAATGATCAATAAGATGATGAACATTGTATAAGGCATTAAATTGTAAATTCTGATAGAAATTTCTCCATATTAAAATAAAAGGCCATTTGTGAGTTTTCTAAAAGTTTTTTTGTAACTACAAAACATTTAACATGAATTATTTTATTGGTACAATAAAACTTAAAGAATAGATAGTGTGCATTATCATACTTCCTGTCCACTCCTAATTTATTGTGGTTTACATTTTTCACAAAATATAACTAACCACACCACACAGTGATAATTAGTTTGCTTTTTTCTACTATTATGGGGTTTTGATGACAGGGGGCATGTTATGTATGAAATGACAAATTGCTTGATGTTAAATCATAAATAATGCCAAATAAAATGATGATAAATGTTATCAGTGTGTAGAAGTTGAATAGTAGTTAGTGGAAATAGTATTTAACTGGCTGTTACATAAACCTATTTTCCTTTGATTTGATAACCTCAGTTCTGAGGTCACTTTAAATGACCTTCCTTTTTCATGAGTAACAAGGCCGTCAAGTTACTATAACTTGGGCAATGTCCATTGCTAATTCAACTTCTAATTTACTAAAAAATAAAAAACACATTTCATATACAGTCAAAACCGGTTATAACGACATTGAAGGGACCGTATAGTTGCCGACGTTATATCCGATAGTCGTTATAAGCAATGTCATATACATAAGTGCAGTACATATGTATGTACATAGTTATATTATCGTAGTTATCGATCTAGAATAGGTAGGTATGGGTTATAATATGGTATGGTATTATTATAATATGTAGACGAGTCAAAAAAGAAACAAAAATATTTATTACGAAATAATTAGGTACAAAACTAATCAGTCATTTTGGTCTGTTTTTTTTAGCCCAGTCTCAAATATTTTTTGCATTTTACGTTTCATAGTCCTCAATGAGTATCACCAGTATAAAACTGTTCGTTAAAGGCAACAAAATTTTCAAAAGTGCGTAGGTAATAATATGCCTAAATATTCATTCAATGCTTATAAATAAGATTTAAAATCGTTTGTATTGTTTTGTTTTGCTGAGACAAGAAGCGGTTGGTCGTTATAGCCGATGAATATCGATAAAATTTCGTCGTTGTAAGCGATATGTCGCTGTATCCGATGTTGTTATAAGCGGTTTGTTTACTGAATAGTTTAATAGGGATTCGGACGGGACTATAGAATCTGGTTGTAATAACCGATAGGTCGTTGTAAACGATGTCGTTATAAACGGTTTTGACTGTATATATATTATAAAGTAGAGTTAGTTATTGAATGCAAGGAAAATTATAATGTTATTTTCTACCAACGTGATCTTGTAAAATTCAGATCAAAAGATGTAGATGTTCTTATTCATTCCCATATTAATGAAAGCACAATATTCCAAAAATCGTAATAAATTGATTTTGCATAATTATTTTAAATTACATTACAGGTACGAGCAAAATTAGCAGATCTGAAATCCAACAAACGAGTGAAAGATATAGGAATAGCATCACCATGTGACAGTACTGCGGTTGTTGTTGTGGGAGGTGGTCCATCTGGCGCCACCTGTGTTGAAACACTAAGAAGTGAAGGTTTTAAGGGCCGTATCACCCTTGTTTGCAAAGAAAAATACCTCCCATATGATAGGGTCAAAGTTTCAAAGATTGGCACTGCTACAGATATTGAGAAACTACAGGCAAGAAATCAACAGTACTACGAAGAAGCCAATATTGAAGTCCTCAAGGGAGTAGAAGCTACGAAAGTTAACACGGAAGAAAGAATAGTTGAGCTCAGCGACGGAAGTAAACTTACCTATAGTGCTCTGTATTTAGCGACTGGATCTAAACCACGAGTTCCTATCATTCCTGGCATTGAGTTAAGCAATATATTCACGGTCCGTAATTTCGACGATGCTATGAACATTCTCAATCAATTAGGGTCAGATAAGGAGAAAGACGTTGTGGTACTGGGCTTAAGTTTCATAGGTTTAGAAGTCGCGTCCTCTTGCGTTTCCAAGGCCAAGTCGATGACTGTTATTGGCAAGGATACAGCACCACTAGGTCAAATATTTGGTACAGACATAGGCAAAAGCTTACAAACTCTATTCGAAAATAATAATGTAAAGTTTCATTTTAAAACAACAGTTGTGAAATGTAATGGCGAAAATGGAGTTCTGAAATCTGTAGAACTTGAAAATGGGGAAATATTACCAGCAGATATGTTGGTTTTGGGAATAGGCACAACATTTTACACCGATTTTATTAAGGACAGTGGTATTAACTTATTACCCAATGGTGCTGTCATTGTCAATGATAAACTTGAGACTAACATTAAAAATGTTTATGCGGGCGGCGACATAGCTCACGCTCCCGTTTTCGCCAATAATAATGATCAGATGTCCATTGGGCATATTGGTTTGTCTCAATACCATGGTCTAGTGGCGGCCAAAAACATATTAAAAAGGGAAACACCTTTGCATACTGTTCCCTATTTCTGGACAATGCTTTTTGGAAAATCAATTAGATATGCTGGTTGTGGAAGACCAGTTAGTTCTTTAATAGAAGGCAATGTTGCAGAGCTTAAATTTGTTATATTCTTTTTTGATAAGTCGGATAAGGTTATATCTGTTGCGTCTTGCATGAGGGATCCAGTAGTGTCGCAATTTGCTGAGTTACTTCATCAAGGTAAATCTATTTACAAGAAAGACCTTGAAAGTGATTTCTTTGCTTGGACCACAACAATTAACTAGTTATGTTTAAGATACAATAGTTAGTAAAACATGTCAGTATTGTTTAAACAAATTTCAATTTTATACAGAGAATGGATTTTTTTATAAATGCTTTAGATAGTTGGTTTAAGGTTGACCTGTGTACTTAAAAATCATAGATCTGTTCTGCAATAGACATATTAACTAAATAAAAATAAAGCATTATCAATGCTAATAAATTAACTGCATATTAGGTTTGTATAGTACAAAATATTTACTTTATAAGAAAAAAATTATTTTTAAAAACAATCTGTGATTTATGAAATACCGCCTTTGTGCAAACTACAAAATTATAAGCTTTTCGTATTTGGCACAAATTGTTTGTGCTGTGTAAGAAAAACATCATTGATATTTTGGTTACTAATAATTAAAGGTATTTCAAGACCTTAGTTTTAGTTGAAAAAGATACTTTATTTTTTTATTACTTGAATATTTGGTTTTACAGAGTTTAAGGAGCTATGATCATGTAAAAATTTAATTTTCTCACTAACTTAAAAGAAGTCTACTTAGTTAAACCATTTCTTAGATTTAATTGCTTTGAAAAGTAAAATGTGTGCTAAAGCTTTGATGTAAACCTAAAGAAGTTGCTATTTCATACTTTTAATATGCTTGTTACTCGTAAAAATAAAATTATATACATATGTTTTTCTTTTATAAGCTTCACACTAATAAACACAGCAATATGTTTAAAATTAATTTATTATAGTATCATGATATCTCACTAGCCATTTTTTATAGAATAGATATTAATATGATATAACAGTTGCAGGCAATTTTTTTTATTTCCAAAATATAAACAGTTGAGTACAGAGAACAAGTTAAAGTTACCAAAACTATAAACCTAATACCTTAGTTAAACTCCAAAAAATATTAAAACAAAGAAATAAAAAACATTTAACGAAAACTGTATATTTTATGTTACCTAAACACTAATCTGAATAAACACATTTTAAAAGACTAATCCCAAGATTCTTTAACTCTCAGATGATTTAACCTCTCATATAGGGTAACATCATTTTTGAATATTCTTCTTGTTGAGTCAACAAGCCTTTCTTGCCTTGCAACTTGTTTGCCTAAAGCTTTAGAATGACCAGCACTTTCAGCCTGCAATCAGTAGACATTCATCAAAATACACCTACATGGATTAAGATAGATTATAATACTAAGGGTGTTTATAGAATGCTGTGTGCATTATTAATTACCTCGGTCAGATAGGGGTGGCGAAGAAAATACATGTTTTGTTCTTCAATTTCTAAATCACGTTGAAGTTTACGAAGATGTTTGAGTTCTACTTTTTTAACCAAGCGATCTTTTCCTCTAAATAAGTGACCATTTGGTAATAGATTACGTCGCAGCAAAACTACCGATAACTTCATTGCACAGAATTTATTTTTTACGTATAAAGATTATTTTCAAGGTTTATTATTGCTTACAAATTAAGTTACTTGTTCTCCAGAATTGATTATTGAATTCAACATGTACAATTTCAAATACATATAATATAGAAGTATAGACACTTCCGTCTTTAATTGTCAATTGTCACGTTTGTTTACCTTATTTTTTTTTTTTTTTTGGAGTTTATGGCCTGGTATCTAGACCTTTAGGCCATACATTGTTTACCTTAAATTTTTTCCCACTACAGATTATAACTAAAGTGAAGTGAAGTGATTATAACTACAGCCAACTGTTGTGTTTCAAACTTCTCTATGGAGTTCTAGTATTGTTAACTGTCATAAACCTTACATCGTTTTCGTTTATTGTTATGATGTTGTCTATGGTTACTATGGCTGTCGATCGACAAGCGTAGGGTAGGGTAGGAGTAATAAGAGTAAATATTTTCTATCTGATTTTTTCTTAAATTTATTATCACGAATTCATTACTAAGCATGGAATTAAGTGACGAATAAGTGCTTTGAAAATCAACGGCCCTCTTGTCTGGTCAGTATTTTTTATACTTTTACATACTTCCGTGTATTTGGTTTGCTTTCTAATAATTTTATTGTTTTTATTTAATATTTTGTTTATATATACTACTATAGCCTATTCTATCACACAATACTTTCTTACTTATCTCAGTTCGTTTGTTACATATTATTGAAAGTACATTGTAGTTTCCTTTCACTTCAAATTGTGACTGATATTCGTGCTCTACTTATTTCGGTACCTATTTTTCTCTGTACTTTGTTCATTGTTTTGTAATTTTAAAAATGTTAAATGAAGGGCCAGTTTAATTGAAACCTTCGTTCACGATGTTGAAAGCAATTACCAATAGTAATAATTGACCCAAATATAATATTTGTTATAAATTTTGAAGAGACAAAACAAATATATGTTATATATAATCTTATTTTTAACTAAACAAATAAAACATATTTTTAATTTTTCTTAAATGATACAGCGAAATATATTTAAATGGTACTACAAATATATAATCATGATAAAGTTTAATAATATTAAACAGAGGCGTTAAATATTCTTATTTTTCAATTTGATTACTTTAAGTACATGTTACTTCTCATATTGGTTCAATAATTGCATAGTAAATTCCTTTAACAGAATCATTAAAGTTCTAACCTTAACTAGAAGGACTAGAGTCGTAAACTAAATGGAATCTATTAATATACTCATTCACCATTTCATGCAAAAATAGTATTTCTTAAGCTTTTGAAATTTAAAATGATCAAACATTGAAATAATTATATACTTTGCAAATTGATGTAATGTTTTGTTAATAAATGTGAATTCTTTGCAGAGATGACTTAATGAAACACTGTTTATATTTCCTTGTTATGAATTTCAGTTATATTGTTTTGGTATTGCCTAGTGATTGTTATGAGATATTAATTTGTTATTTAACATTACAAAATCTGTTTATTATTAGGAAAAATAATTTATTATAAGTATTGTTAGAATTCCTGTTTTAGTTTAGGAATTAGAATAAAATGAAGACTATGATTTTATCATATTTATCCAGCATTTTTATTTATCATTTTTTAGGAGTTTTAGACAAAACAGTTATAGTTTTATGTATTAACTAAATGTTTTAGATTAATTAAAGAGTTATAATCAGTTATGCAAATTAATGGGCAGTTTTGACAATGGGCAAACATAAACAGTATTTGCAGTTATTTCATCCTACAAAATCACCAGTAAAATGATGGTATGTGTTGTAGATTAGTAGTTGACTATGAGAACTCAAACATTAACATCACCTTAAAAGGAGAGGCAATTTTTCGATAAAAACTTCAGTGCCATTGTCGCCTTAAAAGATAATGCTCTTGTTGCATTAAATACATTGATAGATGTATTTAAAAAAAATACATAGATGATAGGCTTAGTTATATTTTGAGGTTTTTCTTTTATATTAATGTCACAGAACCAAATCAGTTTCTAAATAACATGCGTACAAAATAAACTAATGTATGCAGGATGTATATAACTGTTATATTTTTTATAGAATCCTTGTAAAGCTTATTTTTACACTGCCCAAACAGAAATTATTTATTTTACTATATTTATGTTATTTATTAATAATTATTAATTTGGCCATTTAAACATAATTTACTGCTCTTTATTGAATATTTAACTAGCTTCCATTTACTACTAAATAAAAAACCAGCAATTATAAAAATTTAACTTGCTAACGTAAAATATAAAACTGCTCCTTTAAACAAAAAAAAAATATTTGTATACATTTTATATATATTAATTAAAATTGAATGTGTTCTTAGAGGGATCCATAGAGCGTCCCAGCTGTGACCAGTGGATAACTAGGCTTTTAGGAAGAACAATGGCGCAAGTGGGGGCGAACATGGAATACCAAGAATACAAATGGGCTTATTCAATCATGGATTCTTCCAGGTATATTGATACACTGTTTATGATACTTTAAGTGAAGAATTAGGGTGATATTTTTTCATTTTCTACATATATTTTAGACATTTTACTTTCAAGCAAAGCTAAGTAATAATTTTTTTAATGAAAATTTTACCTATAGATTTTGTTCTCTAATTACTAATTTTAAGTATTTCATTAGAAAATGCCTGGAAGACTAGGATAATGCTGCTTCTCGCAGTCTATAGTGATTAATAGAACATTGCGAACAAAACCTTAAGTGTTTTATGTGCAACAATAAATATCGACAATGTTTACATTCCTGCTTATTTTGCCGCACATAAGGGAACGTACCCATACTACGTGACCTATTTTCTTACTTTTTCGACCCCTCCCTCCCCTCGGTGACCACTTGTAGTATATGCCAAGACCCCCCTCTCCCCCTTTAGTTTTCACGTAGTAATTCATAATTATGATTTTTAATCATTTCACAGGCAAAAACTATCATACCGTCACCGCCACCAACTGTAAGTTTACAAAGCGCTAAACACTGCGCGCTATATTCGAATATAGGTCGAAAAAATACGAGATTTCTCTCAGTAAAATCGACTACGTGACAAAAACCAGACACCAAGCTCCTGTGACTGACCGTAGTATTTTAAAAACTCCGTGTGTGTCCCCCCCACCCCCAAACGGGTCACGTAGTATGGGTACGTTCCCTATCTTGGATTTTGAATTTGGATGCTTTATGAACTTTTAATTAAAAGTGATTTTGGAGTAAGAAGGAATTAAGACTCAGTTCTATGACGATTCTATTTGATATACGGTCACGTCACGCTCTGTCTCGACTCGACCTTTTGAGTGAATTTGTAATTAAATAATTTCAAAAAAAAAATAGTAGTAGAGGCATTAAAATTCCTATAATTTACGAATCTGTATGAACATACACGTAGATGTTAAATAATAGTTTTTATGTGGAGTTAATGCAATTAATTGGTAAGCCGTAGACGCTTGTTACGTTTCATTAAGCAGCTCTTAAAACCTCGTCGGAAGAGGTTTAATTTAATTACAACTTTGTTATGATGCCCTATTAGTATCAAGGTTGTCGCTACTGTTATAGCCCCGTGGGTGTATAGTAAAAATTGTAGAGAAAACCACCACTGACCTATCTTAAATGTATCAACATTTAAGTACGCTACACAAACTTTATAATAAAGGAACTCCTGAAGTCAGTTAAAGTAGAAAGTTAATACTAGAATATTAGTATCAATTAGGGATTTAATTCTCTTAGGGTCTGTTTCACAATCTTCGGATAAGTTCTACATAAGTTCCAAATTAGCTATTTATTACTTATTGGTAGGATTATTGTTGCATTTCACGACTGTCAGATAGCGCTATTCGTCACATTAAGTCCATCATAAGTTATGAGTCCGATGAATGTCAAATAGCACAATTTATCTTCCAAATAATTTGTGTTGCATAGCTATTTGGTACTTTATCCATACATTGTGAAACCGACCCTAAAGCTTTTAAAGCCGCGTTGCAAACAATCTAGTCACAACGGAATATACTTATTATGTAGCTATTGGGTACCATAAGCGTGAATTTAATTTTCGAAACGTAGGTTAACACGACATAACGGATTTTGTAGTAATGATTTCTGAATTCTGGTCCGATGGTATAATGTTAATTTCGAAACGTACAAATATTTTTCACAGGACCAAATTACGTAGATTTTAATCAGAAAGCAGGTTATTCTTTCTCTTTATCTCACAATCTTCGACAGAATATCTATAGACAATTCATTTGTATAGAATCGATCAAAAACATACTTTCATGGTGTACTAAGAATAGATGCATTGTCTATTCACATGTTAAAACAATAGTTTCACGTTATTTTGTAATTACAATTGTAAAGACAACCGCATATCAATATTGTGAATTCAAGTGGGATCTACGTAATAGAATAAAAACGATGACTTTGATTATTTTTTAAATATTAGCCTTTTTTAATACATTACAATTGTAAATACCGTTCCAATATAATCTTAGAGAAGCTTAGAAAATTAGTTATTATAAAAAACAAGTACAGAATACGTCTAAGTGCGTATAGATCGAAATAAATTTCCAAAGAACTGCAACCTGTGGCGCAAGATTACAAAATGCCAAATATGGAAATAACACCGGAAGAGAATTAGGATCGTTACGGCTTGCGGCTAGTTGCTTCTCTTCCTTTGAAAAAGGATGTGAAATTCGTAGCTCGTGCAAATGAACGCATATTGTTTCCTGTTATTCCAATTAAGACTATTTAGATATAATCATTATGCCTTGTAGGGTTGTTTTGTTTTCACCACATAATCTTTATTTTTAGATAAAAATTGTTTTACTGTGAATTGTTTGTCCCTTCAAATTTTAGATTTACTGTCAGGCTCACATAACTTATAGATATTGTTATTTCACCCTGGTTTTCGAGGAATTGATAAGATGTTCTACTGACCCGTGTCTCGATAAAGTGTTCTCAGAAGCTATTTTGTATGTGAAAATCTGACTAAACAATATAAATAACAATAATTTGACGCCCTCAAAACGCGTTTTTTTTTAAATTAATTTATGTTAAATAAATTTCTGCAATAGACGTAACAGTTGTATATAGTTCCGTACCAGCCAAGCATGACTGATGGGTAGCTTTGCCAACCCAAAACATTTATTTCTTTGACTGAATCCTTAATATGCACTTAACCTAACTAGTGAACCGCAACGGCGGTCATAATATGCCGATGTCCGATTTGTAAGGACGTAATTAACGCACTATATATCCCCTTTGAAGCCGTACTAATCCGTATTATAGAGGCTGGTCATTTTTTATCTTCGTTAACAAGATTACACTGTTGTGATTTCCCCGTTGCTAAGGTTTTAAAATATGATAAAAAGTAAATTAATTTCTCCAGAGATCACGTTGGCTGTGATTCAAATATGTGTGCCAAAACTTATTAACTTATTTTGTATTAGCATATCAATCTAAAACAAATATATATTTTTATTGTAGTTTTTCTACACGAAATAATATTAAATATGGTCTAAACACGATAAAGCAATGACTGAAGCTATAACTTGCCTTAAACCTTATTAATAAACATAATATAAGCCCCAATTGTATATCTTTTGTTACATATATAAACGTATATATTTTACTATAATAATATAGTCATGAAAACGAACCATTAAACAGCTATTTGATGATTCTTATATATTTATAGATAATAATAGTTAATGTCTTGAAATGTCTGACTAAATCGAGAAAAGCAACAGGCGAAAAGATTGTGCCTGAGCGTGAAAATATACCGCTAAATTTTCCGCTGAAGAGAATTGACGACCTTTCTCTTCTCATGTATTTGACCGCTGACCGAGTCACCCAGATAGTAGTTGAAGTGGAAAATTTCTTTGTTATTTTCAATTTTAATACTATAATGATATTATTTGAAATAGTTCTTAAAATTGTTGATATTTTCTTAAATTCTAGACGTCTCTTCGACGACTGTCAAGTGGCATGATTATAGAGGAGGAAATGTTTATTTTACATTCGAGAAAATTCATTGAAATTCGTTGTTATTTAAAAAGAAAGAACAATTTTTCGATGAAAGAAATATACCTACACAAAAAAATAAATTTTAACAAAAAATGTTTTGTTTTAATTTACACATAATTTTCATTTGTTTTCATGATGTTTTATTAATATTTATAAAGTTATGCTAGGTGTATTTGGCCTGGGTAAATTTTGAATAGCATTATAAATGAAAAATTATGATATGTAATTGTTAAAATCCATACGGAATAACATTTGAATGGCCCAAACTATAATTAACATTCACATTTCACGTTTTATAGTTATTAAAGCGATAATTGGTTTCGTTGTCGAAAGGGGTCTAAACTCTAATTGCACCCTATAAAAAAAACTTAAGCCCAAAATGCTATATTTTTTAATAGTTAGCCATTAAAATAATCTCTTATACCTAGGTAACACTGAAAATGTTAAACGGCTTAATGTAGAAAGTTGCCAATACTTTTATTGTTTTTCGAAGTAATCTCCGTTCCTCTCTACACATCGTCGCATTCGATAGAACCACTAAGAAAAGCAGTAGGCCCATTCTTCCTTAGGTGTCTCTTCTATGGCATTTTCGTACGCTTTCACCTTTAGTTCTTGGGAATAAATAAAAGTCGCAGGGCGCCAGATCAGGACTGTATGGCGGATGACTCATTATCTCAACACCTGCCATAGTCAAATATTCAACAGTCCGTTTTGCTGAGTGCCCTGCAGCATTGTTGTGGTGAATCCTGCTTCGAGGGCGCTGTTGTCGTATTTTTCCAAGACAGCAGGCAAACAGCGATTGACATACCAGTCTGCAGTAACTGTCCTTCCATCTTCTAGCACAATTGTCGCGAAATGACCTTTCCGACCAAAGAATGAGGCAATTATCTTTTTTCCTTGATTTCTTCCTTTCTTTACCTGGCTGATTGTCTTTTGGTTTCGGGTTCGTAGCAATATATCCAGCTTTCATCACCTGTGACGATGTCAAATACAGCATTTGAGTCACCGACGTTGAACTTATCTAAAAGAAATGCTAATCGCAGCCTATCATAGCTTTGTTGTTGAGTAAGCCCACAACGAAAGTCATAATAAATCATTGACCGAAAATTTTCTCGCGTTAGGTTCATTTTCACATGTGACAAGAGTTTTAGATTTGCTGCCAATACACAAAAACAAATGACAAATGAATGCAATATACACATACATATTTTAGGTTACCAAAGAGTTCTGAAATTGAAATTCAAAAAAAGTTTTCATTAGCAATGTTTCTAACTGGCCAGTTCTAAACACTTTCAGTGTTACCCAGGTATAATATATTTTTACTTTTTCCAGAGTCTCTGCGTGTCTGATATCTATGCTCCTGATCGTCTATGGCAGTTTCCGATCTTTGAATATGGAACGTGAGGCGAGAGAAAAGTCGGAACGCGAAAAAGAAGCTTGCTTATTAGGCAATAAGACACCGCCTAGCTCTTCATCTAGTAGTAGTATGAATTTTTTATTCCCACATGCTCCGATGATATCATACATATGTTTGTAAAATATTTAAAAAAAAAAATTATATTTGGTAGCGAAAAGATTTGATATCAGCCGAATAAAATTTTAGAAGCACTTCCCATATCTGATAAGCAAAATTCATACACGTTAGGAAATGTTTTTTAATAATAACTCTTTTAAAAGTAATGTTTTTCTTTTCAGATGTACAAACATTAAACACGATGCAGGCGTTGTGTTTCCCTCTGGGGTCATCAGCGGCCCTGCTAGTTATGTTCTTCTTTTTTGACTCCGTGCAAACACTCGTCGCGATATGTACAGCCGGTTAGTATATTTACGATTTAGTAAACGTTGTTGATATATTAAGTTAGGAGAATAAAGATAGGATCTATGACAGTATGAAAAATAAAGTCTTATTAGTAATCTATATAAATTTCAAACAACAATAGTTTTTATACGTCAGTCACGTGACACAAAACAGACAGATTAGGCAGATCGGCGATGACGTAGTATGCTTGTAAATATATCTTCGCGTGTCTTATCATTAGGACTTTATTTACATCACAGTAACAAGTTAATACTTGTCTTGGAGCTATTGTATATTTAATTCGTTTTGATCGAAATATGTTGTGTATTGAGTAATTTAAGAAATATAATTAAGACGTAAAAACTTGACGTTTGATTCCGTGTTTACAAGCGTGGTACGTCACATGGACTTGTGCGACGCAATCTTGTCTAGAGTAGCGTTTGGGCGGGAATTTAAATTATAACGATAAGTAGTTTGAAATTGATTTTAACATCATATCATTTAGCCTAGTAGTAAAATTTCAAATGGATTTGTTTATGATTTAAAACAAGATGTTGCCGTGTACTTATGCTGTACTTTACAGAAGTGTAATATAATTTAATTATTATAGTTTGGGGCATTTTGATTGCCTCAACTTAACATTGATTTTTGCCTGGCATCCCAACCAATTTACGAAAGTTTCGAAGACTAATACTCGATGAACTAAATGAAGGTAGTTGTTTTTTAGTCGTAGCCTGTGCGGCCCTAGCGTTTCTCCTAACCCCGCTGTGCCAGTACGTGGCTGGAGGAAGTCGGGCTGCGCTGTGCGGCCGGTACTCCGCCCCCGAGTTGGCCGCAGCTCTACTCGCCGCTGCCATAGTTACTGTCTGGGTGTTAACTGGACATTGGCTGCTAATGGACGGTGAGACGTTTATGCAAACTATTAAAACATTTAGATAACTTCACAATAACTCAAATAATAATAAAAGGAGATAATAGTCGCGAGTCTAGACTTATTCCATATTATCTACAAACGCCTATTTGAAGTCGGATTATTTAGGTCACTTAAAAACGCACACACACACACTTAGACATCCCCACATATTGAATATTTTCACACAACAAGCTATGTATTAGTTTATAATGTTCGTCTGTATATGTGTAAACCGTTTTGGCTATATTTTTAATTTAAAAGATTATCAATAATGTGTCAAATAAATAATTTATCTAAATGGGCCGTCTTACTTTTCAAAGCAGTTTTTTCCAGTTCAATCCAGTCGTAAAAAATACTTTCATATTAATATTATTTCTTTGTAGAGACATTCCTGTGCGGATATCCCTCATTTTGTTAAGGGATAGACTTTCGTGTGTTTAAGCAATGAATTCTTAGATAAAAATATATAATAATTAAAGAAAAAACTTTTTAACCGGATTAAAGTTATGTATTATTATAAATTTACAATTATTTAACATAATTTTAAATTTATCCGACGTTTCGCGTGCTTTACAGCGTGCGTGGTCACCGTGACCACGCACGCTGAATGTTTTGAAAAAGTTTTTTCTTTAAATGTGAAAAGGGTATGATAATCAAAGGCAATACTATATAATAATTAGTTAATTTTTTTAATTAGGTAAATATTCTGTGTTTTTTTCAAATACAGTGTAAACTCTTTATAACTAATTTCAAGGGACCGAAGATATTTATTCGTTATAGGGACGGAAGAATTAATTTATGGGTTTTGAGCTAAACCAAAAAAACTTAACTTATTTTTACGTTATAGAGAGCTTTTCGTTAGAACGAATAACGTTATAAAGGGTTTACACTGTAAATAAATATAAAGCGTAATGGATGAATAAATAATCATACTTCATTTAAATTAAATGGCGTGAATCAATATTTTGAGATGAGACTTAACGATTCGATTTTCAAGAACAGTGAATATAGTTATGATTTATTATTAAATTTGATTTTTTAGCTATGGGTATGGGTCTTTGCGTGACCTTTATTGCGCTGATCCGTCTGCCCTCGCTGAAGGTGTCCACTCTTCTACTCACGGGTCTCCTCCTTTATGATGTCTTTTGGGTGTTCTTCTCGTCATACATATTCACTGCCAATGTCATGGTGAAGGTTGCTACCAGGTCTGTATGATTTCTTTCACCCATCACAAGTCTTAAATAAAAAAATATTGTCAATGGTTTTCATCAGCTAGTGAAAGGAGAAGAGTTGTCTATGCTAAATTAACATTTACAAGAAAAGAGCGTACCAATAATTAAAAGGCCGGCAACGCACATGCGATTCCCCTGGCATTGAGAGTCTCCACGGGCACTATCACTTAACATAGATGATACTGCTGCTCGTTTTGTTATATAAAATAATAACATAGAATTTGTAAGGAGATAATAAACAGCTTTAAAAGTCATAAAAAAAAATTCTCATTTATTTACAGCGTATACATGATCAAAATTCAACTAAAAATATTATAATACTTTATTGTTAATTCTAGGCCAGCGGAAAATCCAATGAACGTGGTCGCCCGTCGCTTGCAGCTGGGCGGGGCTATGCGAGACGCGCCCAAACTGTCCCTTCCTGCCAAACTCGTCTTCCCTTCCATGCATCATCAGGGACACTTCTCTATGCTTGGTGAGGGAATTTATTTTTGAAGTGAAAACTTCTTTAGCGGAGTTGTACACTTTTTTGGAATGGGTAAAAAAATGTTAAACTCGCGTCAGGACACGTGACCTGATCGAAAATTCGTAAGACGGATGAAGAGTAGACAGCTGGCGCGGCGCATTTAATGTAATATAAATTGTCATGTTAGAGTACGATAACGCAATAAATAAATATTGTATTCTGCCACATACATTTTAGTACTTTTATACTGGTAATTAAAGCAATTCGTGCAAAATTATTCCCTTACCATTTCAATATATCAAAAATGCACAATGTTAATATTTAAGTTTTCACTTCTGCCGGCACTCCCGGAGTGCAACCCGTAGTTTTTTTTTATTATTTATCTCGTATTTACTTAGAGTAAGATTGAGACATACGTTTCTGAATGTCACCGTCATATTATTATGTCAGTTTCTAATTTTAAACATATACGTTGCTTATTTACAAAAAAAAAATATAAATCCAAAGATGCGTAGATGTAGATATCAAAAACTACACTGAAGTATTTCCGAACCAATTCGACTTAGGGTCCTTCAAGAAACGTGCGTACCAATTCTTGAAGGGCTGGTAACGCACTTGCGAACCTTCTGGCAGTGTGCGTGTCCATGGGCGGCGGTATCACTTAACATCAGGTGAGCATTCTGCTCGTTTGCCTTCTATTACATAAAAAAAAGATAAAACTGGTTACACTGTTACCTAAGTAAAATTTAAATCAAGTGATAAATGAATTTGCAAATGGTAAAAACATTTCTTGCTGTACATTTTTATTACACAACGCTAAAATGTATAGTTAAATATATAGTATATATGATTATATATAGTTTTTAATGCATTAAAACGAAAATTATATTAAAACCATAAGTTTGTCTTCTGAAAAAGAATACCTGTAATATTCAAGGACACTTCTTTAATTATAACTGTTACATACTTTTTTATATATCTTGTATTTGTGCTGTGTTTGTCATGTGTATTGTGATAAATAAAAAGCTAACAAAGAATGTTTAAATAAAATATTTCGAAAAAAAGTTTATTATAAAAAGTGTCTCATGATGTTAATATATACTTTGAAATATATATGTATAAGTATCTTCCCATTCTTAAGGTAGTAAATATCTCTTAATTTCAGGTTTGGGTGACATAGTGATGCCCGGTCTGTTGCTGTGTTTCGTGTTGCGCTACGACGCGTACAAGAAGGCCACGCTCGTGTGTCAGATGGGACAAGTTCCGGGCCCACGTTCTATGGTAATTATAATTTAAGCTTTAAAAAGAGTGTTATTTTAAAATTAGCTGACCCGGCAAACGTTGTTTTGCCATGTATATTATTTCTACTACTACTATTTAAAAAAAAACCATCTACTTTAATAATGAATTGGGGTTTATCGTAGAGGGTAGATTTAAGGGTTGTATGTATTTTGGGGTGGACCACCCTTATCATTTAGGGGCTTGAAAGATAGTAGCTGATGCTCAGACTTACTGAGTATGCATAAAAAAATTCATAAGAATCGGTCGAGCCGTTTCGGAGGAGTATGGGAACGAACATTGTGATACGAGATTTTTATATATTAGATTAAACTCTCCTGTTGTTAGCTTTCCTTGCTTGTATTAGGTTGATTTGATTGAGTACAGTGTAAAGTTGGCAACACTGCGACGAATGTGTACCACACAGTCTGCAGAAAGAGAACTGGCGAGGCGGTTATGTGAACTAATAACTAATATTAATAATTGCTATACCTCATTTATTTACAAATTAATACATTTTTTCTTATTGAGTATCAATATACTGTCTAACCATAATGACGTGACAGTGTTGTCAACATAAAAAAGTTAAGAACTGCAGCGACCACCACGACGGTTCTCTTTCTGCATATAGTAATTAGAAGTTTTTGTATAATTTAAAATTGTCCAAAGGGTTCCCGTCTAACATACTTCCACTGCTCTCTACTGGGCTACTTCCTGGGACTACTGACAGCGACAGTATCCGCGGAAGTGTTTAAGGCTGCTCAACCCGCGCTACTTTACCTCGTGCCCTTTACGCTACTGCCGCTACTCACAATGGCATATGTCAAGGTAACAGGTTTTTTAACTACATTTGTGGTCTTTCAAAAAATATTACGTTAAGAGAAGTATTGACTAGGCTTGAACTTTTTGATGAGATTTATAACTACACGACCGATTATCGCTTTAGGATATATTAAACAAATGCAAAGAAATTAAATTTCACGGCCCTTGTATAATGTAAATGTAAAAAATAAATCTGTCTAATTGCATTCTTTTAACTATAGTACCCATTTTTTTGTCACACAATTTGACAGAAAGATACCTTAGTTTTTATAGAAATAAAGGTTATACCCGTTAACCATATCAGTCTCAACAACCTGGTAATGGTAGGATGGCATGTAAAGCCGAGGTCGATCGCCTACCCGTTGGTCTGACCAAATTCAGACATTTATGGTCTCAACATCCCTAATGCCCTGAGACAAACTGAGGATAGAGTGGTGGGGAGGCACGACCTTCAGAAATGAAGAGGATATTCGTATTATTCAAATTATTATAAGGCAACAATTTAGTAGCCTAGCCAAGATTTGACACAACTTTGAAAAAAATGTTATTGCCATTGGCTAGTTTCAACGCTTTAATTAATTGTATATTTTTTGTTTTTCCAGGGTGATCTAAGAAGAATGTGGAGTGAACCGTTCATAGCGCCCCCTAACGGCAAGTTGGGGGCTGACTTCGACGTCTGAATGAAACTTTTCATCTTACAACTTATGGGTTCTCAGCCAATGGTCTAAAACAGGTCCTGCATAACTATTTATACTTAAAAATGTCTGAATTTATTTTATAAATAGTAGACTAGGAAACAAACGGATATATACGCTACAGTCCGTCGAGACTCGCTGTAGATCTAGTATGAATTAGTGAGAAAATCATTATAAAACTTACATTTTTTTACCACGAATTTGGAAATTCTATGTTTCATAATACTGAGAAAATTTATCTCTGAAATTTTTAGTTACCTGAAGTTCTAATTGTATCAAAATATTGTACGAATCCTGTTTTTAATGTCACGTGCAAAATTTGTAAAAAAAGTAACGCTAGGTTATCTATAGCGAATGAGCGTTAGAATCCAATCATTTCTGCCATTTGAAACGTTCGACTGTCACAATATTGAGGAACCACAGCATTCCTTGACAGAATCTCAGACTAAAAGTATTAAGTTATATAAGTATGCATGTTCTGTTTTGAGCTTTAAATGTAATGGGCAAAAATTGCCCAGTTCTATTACAATAAAATTGATGTCTATTATACCAGTGACAATTAAAACTAGCTGTTGTAAAGTTTGAGATCGACACCGTAATTTGAATCAAATTAAAAGAATTCAAGTCCTTTTTCTATGACTTATTGACATACTCAGTGTCAATATTCAGTAACCACTGAAAAACATTTAATTCTAAATTTAAATTATGCTTATAATTGATGCTCATAGATTATATATTTTTAATTCTTTATTGCTCTTATCTTATTTCTTTTTTACAACTCAGGTTAGGTATAAATTCTTGAAAAATGAAAATGAGGTTGTATAATTGCTGAAATTATTAAAGGATATTTGAAATAATAAAACACTTTATGTAATGTTAAATTTATGAATGCAAGATGCCTCGGAAATACACATAAAATGAAAATAGTTAAATAGACATATTCATTGCAATTTACAATAAAATAAACCTCGGTGTAAAGTAGGAATAGAAAAGGTTGTTCGCACTATGCTTATGTGTGCAAAAGTTATGGAAAAGAAATGTTTTGTAAACGTTTTTTTAACAACTTTTTAAAATACAATCTTGTTTTAAACGTTATTTTTTTACATTCGAGTTTTTACTAAAATGACTGATTTGAATCTAAAAATAATTTCCCTCTGTATGTTGAAGTAGAGTTAAGCATATAATATTAATGAATCTCATTCATAAGTAGCCAGTACTTGTATGAAAACTTTTTAATATTTACTGTTTTTAAATGTTTATTATGGTTGGTGTTGAACAAATATGTATGACTTTTTCATTGAATGTTACTAACTGATGTTATGTGTATTTATCAATTGGCATAATTAATATTGCTTATAATGGACTTAGGTACCATGCGCAGATAGTTTTTCTTAAACATATAAATCGAATGGCTTACCAACATATCCAGTCTTTATTTTAAGGTTTAAAAAATATTTTTTGAACAAATAGTTATATTCATGATTCAAGGAAATTAAAAATCGTACCAGATGACAAATATTAGAAATTATTATTACTGCAAGATTTAAATTTGAGTAATTTTTTATTTCCTGTTTATCACTGCCCCAAAGCCACAACAATCCTTTAAACACTTTGATAGTATGTTCATTGCATCGCCAGTTATGGCTCATACCTAAAGCATATAGTTTGACAAGTGCATGGCATAACTTGTAAAGTGAATTGATAAACCATGGTCTGATTAATTTGATTAAGGCACATTGTAATAGAATTAGAGTTAAGTCGTGTGAATAATTTTTTTTATGAATTTACATGGACTAATTTGCGATTAGTAGTTTAAGTTAAAATTATACAAATCTTAACCTAAACAGTATTTTTCAATGCAATTAATATTGAGGCTTCTGCTTCAACAGGAGAAACATTCTTTTGCTGTTAGATGACAGAATTTGTTTGCTTGCCTCAGCGGTGGTTTTTTATTTGTTCCCTAACTTGTAATACTATAGCTATATGTCGTTTTATAAACTAACCACCCTGTTTTGTTGGAACCTTAATTTTGTACTTTGTAGGATATTGATAAATTAATATTTTAAAATGTCATCATTTTCCTAAAAAAACTGTCTAACTTTTCATACTGTATTTGTTAGATATAATCTAGATATGAGATTTTCAAATGTAAATATCTAAAAGTACTTGTAAGATTAATGTAACTGTTTCATTACATCACAAGTAGATTAAAATGTATATAAAACCCACACAACATTCTTATTCAATATAGGAAAATGCATTTAATATTTTTATATGTATTTGTGACCTGTTCTAATACTTAATAAAAATATTAGATGGACAATATTTTGTTTGTATTTCATATGATGAATAGTATTTAGGAATCCTAAATCCCTCAGTGAGATTATATAATTAAAATGTTAATGTGAAACAAGCATAAATGTAAATAAATGATTTTAATTAATCTCTATGTTTACTGCTTTAAAATTAAATATTTATGGTGTAAATAAAAATGAAGATAGTAAATTTTACTATCTCCATTTTTTCTTAATTTGCAGGTGATTAAGTAGTTCTCTATTCACTTTAACTGTCAATTTAATAATACATAAAACCTTGGGAATCCCACTACAAACAGGTGATAAATATACAAGTCTGTTTAATAGGTTTTTTTTTGCATTTATGACATGCATTTTTTTCAATGTAGTAGTTATTTTTTATAATACATAGTAGACTATAGCTACAATAAAAAGAATAGGAATTATACAATACTGCCAAAACATAGTCATTATTAATATTACAGCAAATATATTTTACCCAAGTATTAATGATGGCATTAATGTAGAATAAAAAAAATGATAGCTAATACAGGACATAGTAAACTCATTATTACTTTATTCAGATTTATTTGTTGCAACAGTTTTAGTAGTGTCACGTTTCTCAATAAACCTAAGTTGTTTTTTCTTCATTCTCTTCAGTTTCTTTGTGTTTGATATGACTTGAACAACTTCAGATTTCTTCTTATTTTCTAGCGTACGTCTTATATTCTCACGTCTTCGTTCTTTTTTAGCCTGTTCTTTTTCATTGACTTCTGCAATAATTTGCCTAGATAGCTCTTTTGTTTTTTGTAATTCTATTCTCAATGCTGTTTTCTTTTCAAAATTTAATCTGATTCCTTTAGTCTTCACTATTGTATTAAACCTGAACAAAAACAATATATATTAATATTTGACTAGGTAGTGCTGACTTCTATTAACTGACAGTGCCTCAAACACTTTAAATACCTTTCTTTTTTAGATTTCCAAAATCTACCAGATTTGGGAAGACCGCGCATCACATTTTCTTCTTCCTTTTTGTTAGAAGTTATTTTTTTGTTGCCTTTTTTATTATCATCAGATGTCTCTTCTTTGGCTCCTTGACTTTTAATATTATCCAAAATAGACAGAACCTTTGCCTCTGAATCAATTCCAGATGCCATCATTGCCTAAGTTAAAATAAAAAAGAATTTGTAATTATATCTTTTTTTCATAAATGTCCATTTAATTGGTATAGTAGCTAAAAAATAGGCACTATATTAGTGATGCAAAATTTGCTGTCTGTTTATTACAAAAAACCTTACTTGTCTTGGTTATATTATAGCGATCAACCAATGAATCGTTCTAACCTTTTAATTTAAGAATATGAAATGCTTTGTAGTTGCTTTAAATCATTAAAATTCGGGAAATATTAATTATAATCGAAATATATGAACAAAACAACACATGCAAGCAACCTAAAAAATCTATAGAAGTATAGATTATAGAATGACAAATGACAATTAGATCCAAAAGGCGGAGACCGGCTACAATAAGTGACACGGTGACGGTGCTATAAGAAAAAGACATATTATTAACGCTCACGCTTTTTGCTAGCCAACGTCTGTTCACAGATCAATTAGAGGTAAAGTTAACAACCATTAATATCAATGTCATTAAATTGCTAGTATCTGCCATCTGGTGACACCTGTCAAGAGGGCGTTAGCGTTTTGTATAAGCAGAACCGAGAACGAGATAATAAATAAAATTGAAAACTTTCTTCTTTTTATATTCTCGTATAGTAATAGCTTTAATATTGGCATTAGTAAAAATAAACGTGGACAGTTTCCTGCTATCGTTTAAAAACAATAAAAATATGCCCGTAAGTAAACGACATCAAAAAATATTAATGCAGATGATTCATGTTCTAAAGTACCATTAAACATTGCAGGCTTATCACTCCACTTTAACGGACTACACTCAGTCTGTCGGGAATTTAGCTCTCTTGCCGATTCGCACAACTTTTCGCGGACCGGCTCCAATTAATCCAAAGATTGAATTAGATATTATTGATGAGGCGTTAAATTATTTTAAAGCCAATGTTTTCTTTCGTTTTTATGAGATAAAGGTAAGAATTTATGAGATAAATGATATAAAAGAATAACTTGAATTTTTTAGTTATTAATAAACTTGTTTTCATTACAGTCTGATTCTGATAGAGTACTCATTTACCTTACATTGTATATATCCGAATGTCTAAAGAAGCTCCAGAAATGTGCAAATAAGAACCAGGGACAGCAAGAAATGTACATGCTTGCAATATCTAAGTTTGATATTCCTGGAGAACTTGGATTCCCATTAAATTCTGTTTATGCCAAACCTTCTAGTCCTCAAGAAGCTGGTATATGAAGATTCTTTATAGCATTTAAATCACGGGGTTTAAAATAGTACTTTAATTTATTTTTATTGCAGATTTAATGAGACAATATCTTCAGCAGTTGAGGCATGAAACTGGAGGTAGAGTTTGTGAGAAAGTTTTTGCTACTGAAGATGGAAAACCAAGCAAGTGGTGGCTATGTTTTGCTAAAAGGAAATTCATGGATAAATCTTTATCTGGGCCAGGCCAATGAAAAACTTAATTTCTTTAAAAACATTTATTTTATGTATTTCATAATATTGATTAATTAATCAAATACACATATTATTAAATTGTTTCATTGAAATCACTGCATTAAGTAGTAAGAATAAAGTTTAACTGGGGTTATTACTAATAATCCATTTTATGAAAACACCATCTAGGTATTGTATATATTATTAAAAAACACTATTATACTTAAAATTAAGTAATGTATCTGAAAAGATAGTTACACCAAGTAACTATCTTTTCAGATTTTTTGTCAGCATACACAGCAAAATAAAATTAAAATGGTATTTTGTTCTTTACTGGTCCTATTTGATTAATATCTTCTGTTTGAATATTAATGCCTTTCTATATCTTAACTAACGTAAATTGGTATTTGATATTATTTCTACTATAGTTCCATTACATTAAATAGCATGTCACAATTTTCAGTCATTCTTTTTCCTAATCCTAATATTGTCATAATTTCAATAAAATTACAATTTGATTAATTATAAAAAAGGGGGAATATGTGTCAATACTAAAATGTATATCCTTGATACTAAGTTCATAAGCCATATTCTTTAACAACTTGCAAACCAATGACTAGTCTCTGTATTTCAGAGGTGCCTTCATATATTTCTGTGATTCTTGCGTCCCTGTAGTGTCTTTCAGCTGGCATGTCAGTGACATAGCCCATACCACCTAATACCTAAAAAAATGATTATTGTTACAACAACAGGTAATTTTTCTATGTATTATTAGCACTCTCATATATCTAAAGATAGCATACAGTTACAGGCATAATCCAAAATCATTAGCAGCAAAGAAGTTGGATTTAGGTTTTTGCTACTAAGCAAAAAAATACATGTAAGAATTTTTCCCCACTGTGAAATTCTAGCTAAGTTATATTTGTAACTTGTTTAGACTAACTGGATTTGACACTGACTAGGAAAGTCAGTCATATAACTGTATCTGTATTTACCTGAATACACTGATGTGATGCAAAAGTAGCAACTTCAGATGCTGCCAGTTTTGCCATAGCTGCTTCCTTTGTGAATGGTTGTTTGTTATCCTTCAACCAAGCCGCTCTCCATGTAAGTAATCTGGCTGACTCCAATTTAACAGCAATGTCAGCAATTTTATTTTGTATAGCTTGCAGCTTTATTATAGGTTTTCCAAAAGCAATTCTCTTTGATGCATAGTCTACTGCTACATCCAATGAGGCCTAAGAAAATTATAATATAATAAATATGGAATCAATTAATTGCTATAGTTTAATTAACAAGTATTAGTATTGAACCTATAATTACTATTAAAGGTAAAGAAGTAATTATGTGTTAATAAAAAAATCAAATTATAACATAGGCAATATACCTGTGCTATCCCTAAAGCCTGAGAAGCAATACCAATTCTCCCAGCATCAAGTGTCATCATTGCAATTTTAAAGCCCATTCCTGGCTGGCCCAAGATATTCTCTTTGGGAATTGAACAATCCTCAAATATTAATGAGCATGTTGATGAACCTCTAATACCTAGTTTATCCTCTTTCTTACCAAGCTCTAAACCCTTTATTGGCTTGGGAACAATAAAAGCTGATATACCCTTGTGTTTCATACTTTTATCTGTTGTGGCAAATATAATAGTGGCCTTGCTTTCATAACCATTAGTTATCCAACACTTTGTGCCATTGATGACCCATTTGTCCCCAGCATCTTTAGCTGTAGTTGATGCTGCACCAGCATCTGAACCATTTCCTGGTTCTGATAATGCAAAACAACCAACACTATCTCCTGGAATTATGTACATGTTATTTAATATACATAATAATAGAATAGAAATAATATTATCAATTTAGCTATTTGGAAGATAAAATAAATATTCAATACAGTTAGTATCTAAAAGAATGTGAAGTTTTAATTAAAAAATTACATTTAACAAACCCATACAAAAAGGTGTCACAAATTCTGCTTTCTGTTTGTCTGTTCCACAGTACAGCAATGGCCCAAGATAGAGAGAGTTATTCACTGACATGATAACACCAGCTGAGGCACAGCCTCGCGATATCTCTTCCAGGGCAATTGCATATGCAAGATAGTCAAGACCAGATCCGCCTAGTTCTTCAGGTGTTGCGATGGCCATAAGGCCAAGCTCACCCATTTTTTTTATAGCCTCCTCGGGGTACAAGTGTTCTCGATCGTATTTGGCGGCGTTTGGTTTCAACTCTTGTTCAGCAAAATCTCTACATGTTTTGAATAACATTTGATACGTGTCTGGTAGCGCCGTTAGGGTAGCAATTGACCTTTTGGGGAAAACTCGCCCTAGTTTAGAAAGAAATAGTTTATGGTTAAATAAACATAAATATTAATATGTACATGTAAAAGTTTGAAGCACGTACTGTTTGCTATGGATTTTAATAATATCCGTATCATTTTTGTTACTGTAGCGTGATGTTAATCTTTGCAATGAGAAGTAATGGACCACTATGCCAAAACAATTAACGATATAAAATTGGACTTTGAATTTACTCGTACTGTAAGCTAAGGCTAACACATAAACATACTATAAAAGTTTGTTAAGTTTTTTACCAAAGATATGTTTTACTTTGTACTTTACACTTTGTACCCACATTACTCTATGGTTGTATAAAACACTGACATAGATGAAATATTGTTTCGGATTTTGAAACACCATAGGGGCCTTAGTCAAGATGCCTTAACAGTAGTACAGTAAGTACATTTTGGCAGCTAGGTGAGGGATACCGGGTTCGATTCCCGGTTCGAGGGCAAGTTTTAATATAATTTAAATTTGTTCTCGGCCTCTGGGAGGGTTGTGCGGTACCGGGCGAGTGCTTAAACTGTACATGGAGGACACGGTCGAATTTCTAAAGACAAGCTAATACACAAATCGTGCCAGAGCCATTAAAAAAATGTACATTTAGAATCTGAAAAAAGATGGCGTCTATAATATAAATATGAGTTTATTAAAAAAACTGTGGCGTAACTAAATAATAAAAGTGTAGATGTAGATGTTGGATCAACTGTAATAAAGAGTCAGCACAAAATAAATACTGCTCCTGTTTTCATTGATGATATGTAAAACTTAAAATGTAAATTTCAACTAAAATATTGAACATGGCTGACGCACAAACCGTGCAGGCCAAGAAATGGGGAAAATAAAAAGAAAAGTTATATATCAGTTGTTACTATCGCACGACAACTAAATATTTAACATCTACATTATTTTTTTAAAATCTAAAAGGAGGAAAATGGGCAGGAGGATCACCTGATGTTAAGTGATACCGCCGCTCAAGGACACTTATATTGCCAGATACCTCGCAAGTGCGTTGCCGGCCTTTCGAGAATTGGTATGCTCTTTTCTTGAACCAATTTGACTTAGGGTCCCCTAAGTCAAATTGGTTCGGAAATACTTCAGTGGGCAACTGGTTCCTGGTTCAACTGGCGGTGGTGCACGGCAAAAACTGCCTTAGAAAACGCTCAGTTGTGAAACGACGGATGTCAGCGTGATATGGATGGTATTTTGTAATCTGCCTTGATGTCCGATAATGAAACTCAAACTGCAAGTAATACACCAAAAAGCTCCTCTGAACAATCTTTATGGTAAATGCGGTAGAAGATGCAGAGAGACCCCACATCTCTACGCAACACCAGTGCATCAAGCCACACGGAAAAGCACAATTTGGGGGAATGCCATCGAGCCCGCTCGACTTATGAATGTCCAAGGAAGATAGTGCTTTGATAGGACAGCACGTTTCCAGAATATTATTTCCGGCATCGATGAATCACACCGCGAAATAGTCGGTGGTGACTTCCCTAGGTTCTGGATGACCCTTTCGAATGGACGCGAAGAGACAGCCCAACAGGACGGCCTTCTCCTTCGCGATGTGAGCCAGCGAGTCATCCTCCCTGTGCAGTGGTGGTATGGACTACTGACAGAAATTCCCATGGACAGCTATAGCAAGAGATAAGAAGGCTCGTGTCTCCGAAGGGAGGTGGGAAAATTTCTCGCCAAATCTGGCAATGTCCTCTGACTTTGCCTTAGCGATTTCCCGTTTGAGGCTGAATTGTATGCTTTTTTACATTCGCCGATAGTCGCCTCACTGGATGTCACAGCTTCGCCCAGGCTTTAAAACATTCTCGCTTACGGCGCTAAGCTTCCTTGCAACAACACCTAAACCAAGGCTGGGACTTGCCACCATATAACTCAGCCTCCAGGTCTTTTAAGCGGGAAATTTCTAGGGAAAAGTCATAGCGCATTGCCAGATTAGGCGAGAAATCTGTCAGTCTCTTGCCAAAGCTGTCCCAGGGAATTTCGGTCAGCCCTCCATTTCACCACCGCACAGGAAGGATGACTCGCTGGCCCATACCGTGAAGAAGAAAGACGATCTGGGCAGTTTTTGCGTTAAATTCGACTTTGGTTCACCAAGAGAAGGCACTACCGAAATTGTTGCGGTGTGATAATTTGTTGCCTAAAATATATTCCAGCAATTTTCTATCCGCAAAACTATCTTCTTTGGAAAGTTAAGAGGGCCTGATGGCATCTCCCAATTGTGCCGCGCCCTTTTAGGTACGTATTGCTCGCTCGGTATTGTCCCGGAATGCTAGAAGACCGCTTCAATACATGCGATCCCTAAAAATAGCGATCGCTCTGATCCATTTTATTATCGCCCAATAGCCATAAACTCCATCTTCTCCAAAATAATTCAAAGTCCAAGGTCGTCATTGACGGACCATATTCTGAACTCAAATCCGTACATGGCTGTGTCCTTTCACCGACCCTGTGTCTCTTGTATATCAATGATGCGTTGCAACTTAGCAACATTCATTACTATGTGGAGGACAGGGGACGACTTAATCTAGTCCTACTTCACCCCAAGAAGACACGAGATTGCGCAAATTTGACCCCACATGGAGTACTATACTCACCTCTGGGCTGTCTCCCCAGTGCGAGATCCTTCCATTTGTGCACCACCACTACGTGGAACCTGCTGCGCACTGAAATATTTCCGAACCAATTCGACTAAGGGTCTTTCAAGCAAAGAGCGTACCAATTTAAACTGAGGGAGACCGTCAAGACGTGGACGAGGTTACAACAGTATTACAGTAACGGGTAGAACCAGATTATTACAGGACAGCTTATGCCAAATGTGGGCATACTGACAACGTCGAAATTTTATTAGTTAGTCAGTGGTAACGAATAGTGAAATGTACTGTACCTACTATAAAAAAAGGCTTATATTATTGTAGAATATTACACAATACGTGAAACCATACCATACATAACGGTAAATTAAGAATAGAGACTTCGCTTTATCTGAATCTTTCCCTTTAGTGTATAACTATATTTATCTTAAAGGGATGTGCAGTGAGACGTATATATCACCGGTTTATCTATTTTATATCTATATCTATTATGTAAGTCGAATGTGCTACTTACTACCTGCGTAGATAGAGTATAAAACTAGATGAGCTTCTAAAATAACAATAATAACTAAAGAGAGAAGGCATTAACGTGAAATACTTAAGTGCGAGCGAAACAGAGTATCAGTTTTTCCGTCTCTATTTGCGTATCGGGTTTTATTTGTTTACCACCGAGCCCTTGGTGATAAACAAGTTTTCACCGCTTACTGATAAATCTGTGAAACCCAAGTCAAACCCATATTTTAAGACTTTATCCTTATAAAAGGTGTCTTTAAAGTGTCAGTCATTGTGAATTGTTGCGTAATTGGCTGTAAAAGCTATAGTAAACGTAAAGAACCAAACATAACCTTTCATCGGTAAGTAGCTTATTTTGTCACGACTCAGTAACTTTGTTCAAAAATTATTCATTCGAATGTGTAATTTTGGTCAATAATTAGCAATCTTCAATGAATTAAAACTGTAAATACGACATATGTCGATCATTCGCTATCTCACACGCTGTACGCTGATGCCTGGTCTATACCATAGTCCGTCTACGACTACCTGTGATTCAGTGACTGATAAGTGTCAAACGCCTTCTGTCAAATATCTGAACTCTTCTGTCAAGGCAAGAAAATCTGTGAAAAACTTGAAAAGTAAAAACAACGACCCAAGCAAACCACCAAAAACATTAGTTTTTACAATGATAAAATGGAGATATTGCTAAGATTTGTACCAACAAATCCGTTAAGGTTAACGGCTTCGAGATTGATACTAACCCACGTAGCAAACTATACTAGGCAAGTATTTTAAATGTTTTTATATCTACGGTTATATTATCATGAATTAATAACGATGTTGTATAAGTTTAACCTCTAAAAAACATATTCGTCGTAATTTTTAGATTAGCTGAAGTAGGAAAATTAGAAGCTCCTAAAACAAGCGGAAAATATGAAACTGGTCAGCTTATTCTGCATAAAGTATTTGGATATAGGGGAGTTATTTTATTTCCATGGCTAGCAAGAGTATACGATAGAGATGCAATAAATAAAAAGGAAACTGCTGATTCTTCTGGTGCTACTGACACTTCTGGAGATAATTTATCAAATGTTGGAAAGGAAGTGAAAGGACGAACTCATACTTTTTACCAGGTTCTAATTGATACAAGAGATGCCCCATACATAGTAAGTATCAAGCAATATTTTTAGTGAATATTTATGTGAATAATTTTACAAAATTAGTGTGCAGATATATTCTGGGAAAGTTTGTAATAAAAATATTTATTTATATATTGTTATATTATTCATTTTTTTAAATTTATTTATTAAGGTATATAAACTTAATAATAATACTTGAAAAATTTCCTTAAATTAAACCAATATAATTGATTAAAGATATTAATAAAAACTCAATTTATTTTTGACTGTGCAAACTACATTCGACATGCGACCTGAATGGAAGAAGAAGGTATTACTTAATGTTTTATTGTTGTGCGGTAATGTAACATATTAACTTGGTAATAGCTTCTTATTACATTTCTTTATAAGCCCAATAAATCCATAATTTAAAATTACTAATGAACTCACTAATTAAAAATTTTATACCTAATAAACTAAGTATTTAATTTTAGTTGTGCCCATAATACATTTGTTTTAATAAACTGCATTTTAATAAATATTTCATTGTTAGGAGATAAAGTTCCTTGACTTTTAGTCAATACTAAATTACTTTTACTTTGTGTTCAAAAAGCTATTAAAGTCCATTTAATTTTTAAGATGCATTAAAATTTCTATGGCAAGGCACAAATTTGTTTTGTTATATACAGTGTAAACTCCATATAATGTAAATTTAGTGTATATGAGTTTGTAGTAATGTAATTGATAAAAACTACATGGGTATAGATTTTTTTTTCAGTGTGTATTTAAGCCTTAAATATATATATATAAGAAACATTTTAAGACATTCATTATTTTTTTGTAGTAGTTATTGACCTCAGCCAATTGACTTACTTTAGGATTATTATTAATATTATTAATACAATGTAATATTTTTATTAACTAATATAATATTTAAAAAAAACATTATTTCCATATAAGAACTGTAACCGCAGAATATGTGCATTCCCTTCAGTGATTTAGTGATTGAGTTTACACTGTATATTATGTAAAGTAAAATGTGAGAATTCCTAATCATAGTATTGTCTTTTATTGACATAACTTTTACACATTTTAAGAACACACTTTTTTAAATTTACATTTTTTCGACGTTTCGCGTGCTTTACAGCGTGCGTGGTCACCGTGACCACATACAACCATACCGTGAATACATAACTGCAATCCAGTAAAAAAGTGTTTTCTTTAAATTCCTAATCATGTATTTTTTTTTTATATTACTATATATAGTAAACAAAACTTTCTTTCTTTTTCTTAAAATATATATTATTATATATGTATTTACTTTCAAACTTTTAATGTAGAAATTCAATAGTCTGCTTTTTATTATATAAATTTTAATAATACAAGTAATGTCAAATATATTAAGGAAGTAATAATTTAAATAATTACTATTTACTAAGTTTTGGATAAGTATGCACGTAAACTATTTTTCAGAGAGCTCAAACTGAAGCAGTTACATTTCTTGGTAACCAAGAGTCCAGTCGCAGCTTGTATGCAATACCTGGTTTAGATTATGTGGCACACGATGACATAATACCATATGCATCAGTTGAACGGGTGCCCTTGCAACATGAGCTGTTTGACAAGTTTCTGATGCACAACCCTGATAAAGGTTAGATTGGTTGCTCTGTTAAGTTAGCTAAATAAGGCATTAATTTTCAAGGCTTTATAATGAGAATGGTTAAATATAAATAGGTAAAGGTTATAAATAGGTTGTACTATAGTGACTGGCAAAAAGATTCATCAGGTGCCCAGAAGTTATTAGAATTAGACATTTTTCTACTAGAAGTACTCAATTATTATATCAATTAAAATATCAAAATTAACACTTACTGGATTGAATTATAGTGATATAACAATTAGTAACCTTTAAAAAAATTAACTTTATTGTGCAGTTATTATTGCTTTTGTATGAAGGTTTTTTATCTTCAGTAAAATTTAATGCATACAGATATGGATTTTGTTTAAAATTTTTAGATCCTCCCTTTATTGCTCAAGAGACACTGCGAGCTTGGCAAAAGAAAAACCATCCATGGTTAGAGTTAAGTGATGTCCATCGTGAAACAACTGAGGGTGTGCGAGTAACAGTTATACCATTCTATATGGGTAGCCGAGAATCACAAAACTCTGCAGTGTACTGGGTAATATGTAGTTTTTTATAATATTATGAGTGCCAATTATATCATATTACTTACATTAGTTTAAGAATTAAGAACTACAATTATTTATGAAAATAAAAAAACAGGCATGAAAGATAATCGTGTGTTCGTAGCCGTATTAACAACGATTTCTAAACTCTTGGTCCTTCGAGCCGGAAATATTACCGACTTATTCTAAATCAACGTTTTTACAGTGGCGTTATTGCATCCGGCTCGAGAATCTTGGATCTCAAGCAGTACAGTTGCGAGAGCGTCACTGGCGTATATTTTCACTCAGTGGCACACTTGAAACAGTTCGTGGACGTGGCGTGGTGGGCCAAGAGCCTCTGTTGGCTCGCCACGCACCTGCCTTCCAGTACAGCAGTCATGTTAGCCTTCAAGCACCTAGCGGCCATATGTGGTAAGTTTTAATAAAGTTAATCAATAATAACCTGTATAAAATTATTGTGTCTTAACGATAATATTTCTATAAATATTCTCGCTATAAAATGTATTACTTCTTAAGTTAATATTAAAGCTATAAGGATGTAATTATTATAATATTTCATAACTAGCGACCCGCCCCGTCTTCGCACGAAGATCCGTGACCCGAAAACCTTGAAATTTATAAAAAGAAACTTATAAGGCAAAATAAATTTAATTATTTAGGTACTTACTTTACTTGTTACTTTTAATATATTATTTTAATTTGCTGCTAACCTTTTCAGGGGTACATTTAGAATGGAGCGCGAGGATGGTTATACGTTTGACTGCCGCATCCCGCCCTTTTCGCTCGAGAGTAAACCAGACGAAGGTGGTCCCGTGGCGCCCTCTACACCAACCTGAATACGCTACTAGCACAGATTATGCTTCCACACATGTATTTTATCAAAAAGAAATTAAAAAAATACTTCCTTCATAAATGTCATTGGCAATGTTCCTCTACTCACTTTGGATACCATTGACTTTGGTGTAAAATACAAATGCGTGGAACAAACGGCCCCAAAAAAGCATGACATACCAAATTTAAATCATTTTACATTCTAGCTAGGTCAACGAAATTGTTTTTTTTTTCATCTAAGTCATTATTTTTACCATTTCATACTATTGAATTATTTATTTTTTCGAAGCTAGACTCTCGACTGTCATCGTAGGCTCAATTAAACTTCTTAGTTGTAATAAATTCTAGATCTAATAAATTACAGTATTCTGTTATTTTGTATTATTTACCTTTTACATAATCTCTTGCATGCAAAAGTGTCTGAAGTAATATTGTATTTTGATGTTTCTAGTAAAAAGTTTGAGGTTTAAAGTTTAATTCATGTTCCTATAAAATACCTTATATAACGGAACGGAACTAAATTTTTATTTAGTTGGGTAAATCTTCGCTCTGAATAGCAGAACAACTTGAGATTTGCTTCGACATTTTCCCAACACAGTCTTTACAGACAAATAAAATAACAATCGGAAATTTTAAATGTATTGGCAATTAACAAGCAATCACAATCGCTATCGCTACATTATTACAATACGCTAAACTAATTAATTACCCATATCTTAAATATAGCATTATTCTACTAAAAAAAGATGTGTCGGTCTACCGGATTTGGCAGGTTTATAAATTGAGATTTTTGCAAGTTAATTCCATTTCCTACAATCTAATCAAGGCACTTCTAGTTTCTTTGGTAAAGTGTACGGAACCTGTGCATAAAATAAATAAGTTTAAATACAAAATGTACAGAGAAATAGTATATAGAAAATTATTATGTAAGTCGATTTTACTATTATTGCACGCGACTTTTTTCCTATACACAATTTTAATACCAATTTTAGAAGCTAAATCACAAACGTAATCTAAAAGCGTAACCTACATCTAAATAGGTAACTTTTCAGAAGATTAGGATAATTTTATTTAGAAATATTAAGGCAAAAGAATTCTAAGTATTTGTACGTATAAGTATTGGCTAACCTAACTCTGATGAACAAGTAACAATATACACAACAGTTTTCTATGAAATGTAAATTTCGCATAGATTAAATTTTCGAAACGCAATATTTGGAGTATATTCGGGTAATTGTAACTTATAAGCCGGTTTTTTAAAGAAACGAATCTATGTTAGCACTAATTCAACAACGCCTACTTTGTAGGTAGACCATGATTAACATTATTCAGCCTTGTATTCTAAAAATGTATCATAATGTCTGAGAATAAATTAAGACTTGTTTCTTTATGGAACCTTTACAAGATAAAAACTCATCCAAAATATTGTTCTAAACTTGAATATTTAAAATAAGTGACTTGACCGGTGAATTGGACATATTTTTTTAATTAATTTGTTACATGACCATGGATACAGGTCCTTTAGTCAAAATAATACAGTACAAATTTGACTTAACATAAACTAAAATCATTAACTGTACATCAGAATTAGCATGATTGCCATAAAACTGTGTTAGGGTTGCCAACATCTACCGGGCCAATTGAATAATCAAGGCCGCGCACATTTCAAAGAACTCCATCGTGTGATGACCCTGGGGTGCTGTAGGGATGACTGGAGTTACTGGGGTCTGAGAAAGGGGCGAAGCGCCCTCCTCATCGGTCTCTTCCCGTTCCCCTGAGAGGGACTTAAAGTCAAGGAGGTAAGACTTGTAGTCCACTTGGTATAATTGTAGCGACATCTTTACGTATGTTTGCGTCAACTTGTTGAGAGTTCGAACCCTGAAATAGAATTTTTAGAAACTATTGACTTACTGAAAACTCTGCAAAGGTTTTAACATATCATGAACCTCTTTATTAGGTAGGCATTGAAACTTTTAATAAAATTTGGACAATTTTCATAAGTGTAAAAGTTTAGTATTTATGTTAAGCAATAGACCATGGGTAGAGTGGAAGTTCCTGTGTTTGATTTGCTGAGCCAAAAAATCTTCATCCTGATGTGATATGACGTGATCCTCACGAAATCGTGGAGCAGATAGCTTTCTAGATTGCGGATAATACATAAGACAGTCATGGGGCCTACATCAAGTTTTCCTTCAAAACCAATGTAGTTTTAGACGTAGAAAAACATGTAAAATAATAAAAGAAAACATTTTTTTTTGTATTTTCACCTGCGCTATAGCTATATATTTGACAAAAAATAAAATATATTTAATCTTTCATAAACAAAGAATTAGGTTTACCTGACGTGATACGGATTAATGACCTTCCACTCATAGTCCAGAGCTTTCATAGCGCGGAACACTTCTAACATTATATCGTTAGGCTTACTCTGAGACCGGATACCGAGGTGCCACTTAGCTCTGAAATCAAGATTTATGTATATTTTTTACATAAGAAAAACAATACATAAAACGCGGCAATAAAGCATAGTAAGGCATAATTTCTATTAGGAAACACGTGCTAAATAAAAGAAATCCCCAAATGTCAGATGAAAAGCTGGGTTTCATCATCGGACGTTGAGACAAAATACGAAATTCTATTCTTCAAACTCAAGCACTTTAACTTTGGATAATGATCGCTATGATCCTCACTTAAAAATTGAGTTTTTACCCCAATACTGATGTAGAATGTAGATCTTTCAATAACCGTAATTAAATAATTCAGTACTACGACTGATGACGAGTTTCTGTACTGGGTGGCAGCTATGCGTACTTATATAATTCTATTTAGCTTTGCGTCATTTCATTCAGCAAACTTACAATTATTTCATATTAAATATCTAGATGATTACTGTCGACACACGTAACAGTGTTGCCAACATAATAAAAAGGTAATATAGCACTGCAGCAACCTCAAATCCCACGACGGGCAGACTCTACTACTTCTGTGCCTGTCTGCGTCGAATTTTGGGTGTAAGGCCTGCTGGGTTTCTTCACCGTACGAGCGAATGTTAAATGCGCATTTAGAAAGTCCATTGGTGCACAGCTGGGGTCTCGAATCTACGTTGCAAGGGATGAGAATCTCACCTTGAAGCCACTTGGCCAACTGCTCAACAACAGCTCTTAATATTAATTTTCTATAGGGACTAAATAGCAGGAAAATTTCTGCTTCTGAAGCCGTAATAATAATTAGAAACAGGACAGTGGACAGGAATAACGGATAATAAATAGATTTAATACCTTTTAACGGGGGTCCCTCGTTGCTTATCAGCCGCCGGTTGTGCAGCAGGCGAGGACTTGTCTCTGAGAGGTGCAATACGTTCCGGGTGGGGACGATGTGTGTCCGTCGCCGTTGGCGGGGAACTGTCTATATTAACATTTTTAATCGGAGACATTATCAACATTACTACAGGACTAGTCTGTAAGCGTCGATGCGATTGTCCTCCACGTTTTCTTTGTATTCGTTTTTGAAGTTATACTTCTTTAGGCGCGTTATGAAAAATTGATGAGAGTGAAATTTTACTGTGATGAGAATGAAGTTGCCCACGGATGATGCTACGGCATTGGACATAATTTAAAATCAACATTCGAATAATAATAAATATTTATGTATTTAATTTTTCAAATGTAAACTGAACTTTATAATGACTCCTTTTCCAGTCTTTGATTATTTAATTGTAATTAATTATTTGCATGCAATCAAAAACTATTTTTAATACATAATACCAAAGAAGTATAACTTCTTACGCGCGTACATAAGTACACGCACCCTTTTTTAACGTACTTTGAACTTTCACCCGAGTGTTCACACGGTAAATTTTCATTCGTGTAAAATACGAATAGCCGCAGTCTTCACACAGTTGTCACAGTGAGCGAGAACGAGACAGAGCTATATTATGTGCCCCTCTAAACCGAATTAACGTTAAAGTTCATTCGATTTGCTTGACAAGTCCGTTGAGTATTCGTTTGAACGTATAAACGGTGTACGATATTTTGCAGTACAAACGCCGTGTGAATGGGTCTATATGTACACGTCTATGTACAATACATGTGCCACTATTTATTCGTTAAGACGTATACTGCAAAAAAACGTGCAGGACAATGCCGTGTGAACCCAGTCTTAATCTAACCAAATAAATACTTACGTCATTTAACGATAAAACCTAGTTTTTATATATAGGAATTAAATAATAAGCCTGCTAACCTATGTGGATATTCGACTCCTATCTGAACTAGAATTTTAAAATTATTTTCATGATTAACCAATCGCAACATCAATTTATCGTTCTTAAAATCAATATCTACACACATGAACTAAATTTTAAAGACATGGTTTGAGTATACATAATAGCCCCTCTTCAATGTTTGGTTTGCATTTTACATAAGTTAAAGCATAGGAAAACACAAATTTAGACTGTAAATTGTGTTGATAATTTTTTTACACTTACTTGCAATATAAAATTCCTTGACCTCAGCCCGAGCTGCTTCGTCAGCCATTCTCTTGTTGTCAATGATAAGATGATATGCAATGGCGAGTTGATCATGGGGATCACCAGATAGTAAAGAACTATGGACTTCTTGCTCACGGACGCTAAATTTTTCACACACTTCAGCTATGGCTTCTGTATCTATTACTCCACTGTCCTGAATCATAAAACAATATAATTAATTAATTAAAAAGAAGTGACTGATGTTGAAAAATGTAAATAAAAATGTGTAAATAAGAGTAAAAGTTTACTCAATATTTAAACACTTCAAATTGTTAAAACTACATAGAACCTTACCTGTTCCACTGGAGATGGAAAGAGATAATCTGGAAGATCTTTTTGAAACCAATCATGTTTTTTCACATCCTCAATTGTGGCCCTTTTCATTGGATCAACTTGCATCATATTGCACAACAGACTTACAACACTTTTATTTAAATATTCTGGTATCGGAAATATTCCAGATTTTATCTTCCTAAATAATGTTGGGACATGTTCATCATCAAATGGTAATGTCCCACAGAGTAATGCATAGAGAATGACTCCACATGACCAAACATCCACTTCTGGTCCAGCATATAATTTTCCTGATATAACCTGTAATTACATTGTTTGATTAGCTGATCTGTTTTGTTTTAGCTAATCTTCAGTCTACAACATTGTATGGACCATGTTTTAATGATTAGAACTAAAAATGTGGACACTGGCTAATGGGCTCCATGTTCATTTTTATTTTTAAACTCCAAAAAAATAAGTTGAGCTTTTACGATTTGGCTACATATGTTAAGAAATTTCATATATTAAAAAAACGGAATAAATAATAATTAAGTTATACCTCAGGTGCAGCATAGTTTGGTGAGCCACATGATGTTCTCAAAAATTCTCCATCCATCATCATGTTGGACAGACCAAAGTCAGCTATTTTCACATGCATATTGTGATCTAATAAAAGATTCTCAGGTTTGAGATCTCTATGAACTATCATGTGTCTATGACAGTAGTCAACACCTGATATGATTTGCTGGAAGAATCTTCTAGCTTCATGCTCTTGCAACTTTCCTCTCTTTACTATATAATCAAATAATTCCCCCCCTGACACATATTCCATAATCATAAAAATATCAGTTGGAGTAGATATCACCTGAAATAATTGTTTAAACAATATTTATACATTTTATTATAATCAAATGCCATTAACATTACATTTCAGTTACCAGACCTTGAGTATCTGCTTTTCTTTGTATAGCAAAATAAAATTGTGCACACTTACTTGGTAAAGTTTAATAATATGAGGATGTCTGAATAGTTTTAAGTTTTGGATTTCTCGTCTGATCTTTCCAACAACATCTAGAGACTTGATTTTCTGCCTATTAAGGATTTTCACAGCCACCTTGTGCTTTGTTAATTGATGCTCACCAATCTTTACTTTTCCAAAGGTTCCAACACCGAGAGTTGCTCCTAAAGTATAGTGCCCTATCTTAACGATCGGCTGAGCTCCACTAGCGACCACAGGTTTGTCCGACATGTTTTTGAACAATTTTAAATTAAACAATTTAAATAATACTGATGAAAATAATAGTTTTACGTCACAATTAAAATCACATCGCTTGTTTTAAAGCCTGAAAATGTCACCTGTAAAGCAAATAAAAGTTTTACGTTTACGTGAAAGTAATTCAAAAACTAATTTACGAATGATTACTAAATAGTAAATAATATAAACCTTTTCTCATTTGTACGTTTCTCATGTTGTTTTTATGTTTCAGTTTAATTATAATATAGTAATCTTGTAAATTGTCAGTAGTCATCTGTCAAGTACTTTAAAAAATGGGGAAAAGGTTATTTTATATTGCCATCCTACAATTTTATTGTGTATTGTATTGCCAAATTTATATGTTTGACAAATATCTGGGACATTTTATTTCTTTAATCTAACCTTATTGAAAAAATATCTTTACTAAAATATATTAAAGTCACGTGGCGATGTTTCGATTCTATTAATCACTATAAAAAATGAAATATTACTGTATCTGAAGTCGCTGATCAACTTTAAACATAATTCACATGATTATTACATCATTTATTGATCACTTTAGTGGGAGACGATCCACGCATGTGGCAACTCTGAATGCCTATGCCCCGGCCCCGCCCCGCGTCTGCTTGTGCCCTTTCCTGACGAGCTGTCGTGATTTCGTTGAAAGTGGATTTATCTATTTAATATTTACAGTATTTTATGATTTTCCAAAAGAATAAGTGTGTCAAGAATGGATAAATGTGGAATTTGTTTGAAACCTGCACAGGTACGTATATAGGCAAGGTTTATGACTTAATTATGCCATACTAAAGCGGTCAATATTTTTTGTTTTCCTTGCGTGATTGTTATTTTTATAACATACCTAGGTATCCACTGTATAGTTCAATTTAATATCGTAACGCGAACTTAGTAACATAATATAAGTTTCTACTGTTTGCCTAACTAGATATAACGGTTTAATAATGATGCTTGATTCTAACAAAAAAACTAAATACGTAGAACGATGGTAGGTATAAAACCAGCGCAGCCCGCCTTATTTTTTTTTATTTACGTACCTCGACTGTCGTCGCTCAAGTTTTTTTTACGTCTGGCTCCGCATCGAATAAAAACTAGGCAGTGTTTGTTTTTTAGAGTTCTCAATGTTCTCTTCGTTGAAGCTTTTATATTGTGAAATTTAACGTGTTTTTTTGTAATTGAAAAGGCTAGGTTTGAATGCAGTTTTTCGTAAAAAAGTAAAATAGCTTATAATAATTCCTACTTGTTTAACAAAATATTAAGGTTGATTCACTAAAGTAAATAAATAATAATTATTACTTTAGGGAGAAATTGCTTTGAATTGAGTTTTCTTTCTGACAGTAATTAAATATCTTTATATATTCCTTGCGTGATTGTTGTTCATTGTCTAGAAATGAACACTGATCATAGACAACAATAATCCTAGTGAACACTGTGGGCATTAAAAAGATACACACATACTACTAATAAAATACAGTCATGAATTTTATCTAATAACTAGTGGACCCCACAGACGTTGTCCTGCATGATATTTAAAGCGATTAGGATATTAAGCAAAGTATGAAAGTACCGACTGCAGTGCCATCTGCCGGGCTGATTTGTGAATCTAAACCATTCCCAGATCCCCTTGAACACACACAAAAAATTTCATCAAAATCGGTCCAGTCGTTTGAGAGGAGTTCAGTCACATACACACGCACAGAAGAAATATATATATTAAGATAATTAGTTGTCTTTACTTTGGTTAGCCTGTAGGTTAACATTGTTTTAATGTATTCACTTTAATTGTTTGTAATTGAAGAATGTATGTTGTAATGTAGATTACTAAGTCAGACAATCAATGAATACTAAAAACATTGTTTATTCTATACTGTGAAGAATATTGGATCTTGTTTTAACATTAACTATCTACTTGTAAAGCTAGCATTTCAAGCTACAAAATTTATGTATACAAAGTAATAAACTTCTAAATGACATCTATAAAAGTTATGTGACACTGAACCTTTCATATTAATGTTGCTATAAAATTGAAGTAGGCCATGCATTTATAACTTTTTGGAAGTCATGCAATTAAGCTAATAAAGTTGTTTTTGTGATTTCAGCAACTCTTTGAAACGGGTACTGATTCTGTGTATGCCTGTTTCAAATGTCAACCTCTTGTCCCTGAAGTGACATTAGATGACAGTGATCCTAGTACTGCTGAGCAGTCTTCTAATAATGAGGAGGTAATACAATTTAAATAATAAAGACCTATAAACAGCGAAAGAACAAGAAAACATGACCAATTTCTAATAACTATAAATTTTACTTATTTATTTTAATATTGTATTGTAACAATGTAAGATATTACAGCATCAATTAATTACCCAATGTTTCTGGCATAGCAACAATTGAATATAAATGTGTCATAATGAAAGTAATTATATCCTTTTTAATTGCATACAGTATTATTTTCAGGAGCAAACCAATCACAAATATAAATGTAATGTATGCCATAAGTCATTCCAGAAAAATATGCAGTTGCAAAATCATATGCGGAATCATCGTGCAGAGAGGCGATTTGTCTGCACTTTCTGTAATAAAGGTAAGAATTGTGAGGAAATCTCTATACAGAAACTATTATATTTTTCACATTACATAATACATTTACTATGAGGCTTCCAGACTAAGGCAATGCTTACAATGTTTATCATAGTGCTTAGTTGACACCGAGGGTGAGATTCAGATAGGAGTAATAGAGACAATTTTTATTGGTATGTCAAAATTCGTATTGTTTTTGACATATGGGAGTCATACTTAGCACTTTTAATTTTGTCTCTGAATCTTACCCTAAGTACACTTAAATACACCTAAAGCTTTAACTCTCTTTAGCACACAGTGAACACTATTTCATAGAATGAGAAAGCACGCAAATATACTTGTTTTAATTCTTTTTTATTTTATATTTCATTTCAGCGTTCTCCCAATCAAACAATTTGCGCGCTCATTTGCGTATCCACACCAATGAACGACCTTACAAGTGCCAGGAGTGCGGCAAAGCTTTTACTCAAGTTAGTTTTTTCTTTATATAATAATAAAAACTTTATTCATGACCGAAATGGGTTGTTCAATATCTATCGCTAGCCCCCTCACTAAGTCTCAGTGTTGTGGGTAACTAGATAACAATGATTCCGTGGTATATGGTACATGTTTCAAACAGTTTTTTTTTTAAAGAAAAAGTAGTTTTAGTGTAGTTTAGTACTACAGTCAAACAAGTAGTATGAGACATTAAGTATGCATGAATGTGTATGTGAATAGGTGTGTGTGCGTAAGTATTTGAGAGTTGTTATAAGCGTGCGCTGTGTCTGTGTTAGTTATTGGAACCTCAGAGATATGCCAAGATATGTAGTAAGGCCTCTGTAGATTCGAAATCCAATTCTGCTAGCGTAATATTTATATGATTTGTGATCTTTTAACTATCTCTGAATCCATAGATTGGGAGATTTTATTATAAAGGAAGGAGCCCCTAAATGCAACGAAGCGTTGGCCAAACACAGTCCTTCGTTTTGGAATTGGGAATACAAAATGTCTGTTGTTAGATGTGTCCTGATTTGTTAGTCCATGGTGTTTGTGATATCTTAAACAGATCACTAAGATGCATTAGATAGCATTTTAACTGAATAGGTTTTTGTTGTTGTCTGTGGTTTTGTTCATTGTCTAGAAATGAACACTGATCATAGACAACAATAATCCTAGTGAACACTGTGGGCATTAAAAAGATACACACATATTACTAATAGACTACAAGCCCATAAAAAAAAATACCTGTGAAATGAACCAACGTGAATAACGCTTAGAAGGCTGTTACTATAACTGAAAATAACTCTGAGCACTATGCCGTCATTTCTGAGCGGTACATGTGAGCACGTGAGTGAATGGAATTTATCAGGTACAAATGAGGAATTTCGACTAATTATTAATGTGGAATGGAAATATGTACGGCGTTTACGGGTAAAGTATCTGTATATGTGTCCAAAAGGAATTACACAAATGCCGTACAGTAATAAATGACCTATATGTTGCTTCTGCAACTATCGTCGAATTAAAAATTTGCACCGACTTCCGGCACCATCACTTTAGTACGGCACTAGGTTTTTCGACATTTATTTTTAATCATCTATACACTATAACAAAGCCGTACATTTCAGATATAGTAACAGCCTTCTAAGCGTTATTCACGTTGGTTCATTTCAGAGGTATTTTTTTTCATGGGCTTGTAGTCTATAACTGAATCTCTATAAATTGTTTGCCTCATACATAGAGAATCTCCTCGCATATAATATACATATACACATAAATCTAGAAAATTTAAAAACTACAATTTCAGATTTTGGTCATGATTGACTGATGCAAATCTATTGTAGTTGTACTTTTTATAGGGTTTTTGTACCATTTTTATTTAATAAAATATGAGTTGAATTCAATGACTTGTAAATAGTTTGAGATTAACCTCGACCTTCGTATTTAGATTCACAAAAAGTTGAACCTTAATATTTGTTATAATATAACTAGTACAAGAGACAATTAATAATATTAAATTAAAATGTAATGAACTCGAGTTGAGTTATGATAATAATATAATAATTTCGCGTTTAATTTCGAATTTCTATATAAATGTCGTTCACACATTACATGGGTAAAGCAAAGGCAATTATAATTTATTTCTCTGAGCATAATATTAGTTAACCGGAAAAGTAAATGATATAAATGACAACACACTCGGAACGTCTAGGAATAATTTGATTAAAATTCCTTCAAAAGCCGGCACCTCATTGGCGTTTTAGGTGTACATAGGTGGCGGATGGCACTTTATTCTAAGTTCGTTTGTCCTATAAAAAAGTATGTGCTATCGATATCGCGTTATTTATACGATGTTCTCCATTGTCAGGTAACAAACCTCAACAACCATGTCCGCCTGCACACCGGAGAAAGGCCCTTTGTGTGTCCCGAACCTGGCTGCGACAAGGCCTATGCACAGGTGAGGAAAAATTTATTTTTTAATCCATATCGTAACAGTTGCCAATGAGAAATATAGTTAAAAATTTAAATGTCGGATGAATGCCACTATATTGGAATCGCTGACTTCAGGGATCGATTGAAATATATAGGTCTTAAGGAATCAACACGTGATAATTGTTAATTGATTAAAAAACGGCAATGTTGGCCTTATTGGCTTCAGCGTGCGACTCTCTTTCCCCTGGGTCTGACACACGCTCGTACAGTGAAGTCAAAGTCAAAATCATTTATTCATAAACATTGATATACAAAAAACCCAAGATGCACAGTCTCGAATAAAAGTAACGCTCGAAAGTGTCCTGAAACACTATTTCTGTCTCTTTCTATAAGTTACAAGCATATATTATTGCAAAATCAACCTTACGCGAATTGTTTAAAGTTGTTATTACAACGCAGTGTACTTAAAGCCAAAAAATTTTACGACCGACCGCGGTCGGTAGGACAAGGTGTTGAGTGGAGTCGAACATTACTTTTTTATTTACAACTATTTAACATAATTTTAAATTTATCCGACTTTTCGCGTGCTTTACAGCGTGCGTGGTCACGGTGACTGAAGACAAAAGGTGTTGGATGTTAAATAGTTATAAATTTATAATAATACATAACTTTAATCCGGTTAAAAAGGTTTTTCTTTAAATTAAAAAAAAAATTAAATTGGCTACCTCCTGACCTACACTTTATATAGTGTAAATATATTTATCAAAAACTACACACAAAAAAGTTCAAAAGTACATAAATTTATTTATAAAAAAAAAACACAAATAAATAACATCGACTCCACTTATTAGGTAGTAGAACAGGGTCATTCTTATAATGCGACTAAAATAAAAAGAAGACTGTAATGCGTTGTTCTAACACTGAACAAGCAGCCATTGAAGTTGGCCGTATAGAAGTTTGTGCGTTGAATGAAGTTTTTAGAAAAAATAAACAAAAATCACACATTGCTTGTTATAATCAGTCATAAAAACAACAAAAACTAATCAATAAAGTTTTTTAATTACCGAAAATACGATATCCCATCCTTTTTTAGCCTTCTTGACGTTATATTTTTACAATTTCTCACAGAACACTTTGGCATTTTTGACAACTGCTCCCAGACGCGAGCGACGCGAGACTATTTGAAATGAGCGCACAATTTAGAATGTTGCGCTCATTTTTTGAGGACGTTTTTTAGACGTTGAGTGTGCATCTTGGGTTTTTTGTATATCAATGTTCATAAAGGTAACACAATGTACACTTATGAACGTCAAAAAAAAGAAAATATATATTATTTGAAATGCTTCTAATTTTACATTTACTGCCAGTTCAGTGAAGGCACAAGTCGTGAGGAAACCGGCATGTTTCAAATCCAAAAACGACGTGTGTCAGACAAGACAGACTTGTCTATGAAATAAAATCCAAGAAACGGATGCAATCTGAGACCATGACTTCTTGCAGGGATTTTGGCGTAATTGTGAAAATTTTCTCCATTTAAAATTTTAATTAAATACAATTTAAATTCAGAACCTGTATATGTCTTGTGCATTATTAATTTAGCCATGGGCGGTAAAAATAATAATAGTAATGGTTTAGGCATTCTCTTATGTGTGTTTGAGTCACCACAAGCATTCAGCAATTTTATCTCCTGAGTTTTTGTTGACATTCTAAATAATCTCTATTGTTTGTTGTACATGTGTTTGACATAGTATTAAATGCTTGTCAAATCGGTTACGCGCATAACTATTCATACAAATTGAGATCCGACGTAGTTTTTCTGATAAAATTTATTTATTTTCCACAATTTTTCTATCTTTACAGTTGCTGTTGAATCTCTCGATAATTTGATTTTTTTCCGGTCCCTTGAAAAATATTCGACAAATTGAAAAAAACAAAATTAATTGTACCTTGCTTGCCAACATGTGCTAAGTTCCCTACTCTTTATATTTTGAAGTGTTTATAATGTACAGACCTGTCAATTGTTTTTAATTACTCTGGAGAATGATAGACTGAGGTCGCTCACTCGAAAAAACTTACGGACTTTTCGAAATTAAAATTTGGAATTTGGTATTAGGAAATTTATCTCTGGTATGAGTTTAAAATAATCGAGAGTCAACCGTATTACAAATACGATAGAACTACTATAATACACCGATATTTCTACAATTAAATAAATATAAAAGGGTGCGTGTACTTATGTACGCGCGTAAGAAGTTATACTTCTTTGGCATTATTAAAAATAGTTTTTGATTGCATGCAAATAATTAATTACAATTAAATAATCAAAGACTGGAAAAGGAGTCATTATAGTCAATATTAGTTCAGTTACATTTGAAAAATTAAATAAATAAATATTTATTATTATTCTCTTACATTAAGTGTAACATAAATTCTATTATTATTCGAATGTTGTTTTTAAATTATGTCCAATGCCGTAGCATCTTCCGTGGGCAACTTTATTCTGTTAATTTTGTGTCACGATGCGCGCGCATCGTAAAATTTCACTCTCATCAATTTTTCATAACGCGCCTAAAGAAGTATACCTAACTTCAAAAACCTATACCTAGATCTTAATGATATAACGAACAGCTCTTGTAAACTCAACCAGAGTACAAACAATTAGGTCTACCTCGATAGAAATCTTAAACATTACGTGTGTCGCTCGCGTGAGTGTCGCCTCGGTAACCAAATTGAAGTGTGTGTCCGCGGTGCAACTAAAAGTTGTGTCTTCCGCCTCAGATTCTTGCTTGGGACCCGTAGACCTAGTCTTAATTTTTACCCACATTACCAGACCCATAAGTATCCATATATGATATAGCAAGCTCTCTTCTGAGGCGTCATAACACAATGCATAAGCGGATACACTTCATACAGTCTCTTATAGAGGTAACAGGTGAATATATTTTGTACTGGCTCTAACATGAGACTGTATTTAGCCTCATAGGCCCACACCATCGCACTATAAACTATTGTATTCTTCTCAATAGTCTTAATTGCACTGGTATATATTAAATACAGTAACCTTAACTGGCAGGATATGTAAAATCGATTAGTTAATACCCTACGGTACTCTGTAATTTACAAAAGCGGTATCGCTCCCGATGTTTTTATTCTTGCAATTTGATTGCTCTCAATACCTAACATAAGAAAATCGAGATCATTATCGTAACACAGTTTTTTTTTAAACCATTACGGATGGAGGAACGTCCTTCGTATACTAGTTGTAATAAGTTGTTGTATTGTATAACTGAGCAATAAATAATAATTATTGTAAAGCATGGGGTAGGACTGTACGCAGCGGTATTTATCCATACTTCAGATTATACAGTACCTATTTATAATTGATTTTCAGGTGACAAATTTAAACCAACATCGCAAGCGTCATTTGTCTGGCCGCCCCTTAGAGACGTCGTACCAATGTCCGATGTGTGGCCAGAGCTTTGCGCAAAGGAATCATATGTACACGCATAGGTAATATGATCATTAATAAGGGTATTGTAATAACAATTGATTATTTGATATGGATACAGTATCGTTGGGGTGATTGGGGTAGTTTACTGTAATATATTTATTAATATAATGTGAATTTAATAATATTAATTCCATAAAAATATTGACGAAATAAATGTATTCTAGCGATGCGGACTAAATTTTCGTTTATGCTTTAGAATTGTATCTTTAAATTTGAATTTAATAAATTCTAACACATTTTAATATCCCGTTGTCCTTATAACAAAAACTTAATTTTAAACGTTATAATATAACTATATATATAATTTTATACACGTGCTTTACATAAAGTTGATAATAATATTTATAGTAATTGAATTATTTATGTATAAAAGGAATATTTTTAAGGAGACTGATAAGCACAAATTATTGTTTATGAATGGGAATGTTTCTAGACGCGAAGCCCATTCGACGTTGAAGAGCCCGGTGCGGGTTCGGTTCCCATGCTCCATGTGCGACGTGAAGCTGCCTTCCGAGAGACTTTTGCAGGTCCACATGGCCAGACACCACCAGGAGGATGAAGAAGAACGTAAGAATAAACTGTTTACTAAAATGACTTTTAACAAAAAAAATTTGTATCTCAACTGATATAATTTTAAAAACCATTTTACTAATGAAAAGCAATAATGATATTCCTAAAAATTTCAACTCTTCGTATGGAATTTAATTTGTGTAGAAGATTTCGAACCCAACCACGCATTCGTTCGTTAAATTGTGTGAGAAATATGATTATTTTTTAAATTTTATTTAAAATTAATGTTTATTAGATAAAGTTATAATTTTCTGGAAAGAGACGTAATATTTTATTTTTTAATTTTACCATATTTCCAAGGTGTAAATACGTCTCGCGATATGAACAGCTCATGTCGGCTTTTTACTTGTTGTAATTAAATAATACACATGATTGATTCAGAGATGCAATACAAGTGCGTGTTCGCATCTTGTGGGGCGATAGTGGGATCTCCCCGCGAGCACACCGAGCACTTGTTACGAGCGCATCAGTTGCGCGTCCTCGCCACTCGTGCGCAGTCCCCACCCAAGAGGGGTCGACCGCCTAAGGTACATATAACTTAAAAATTATAGGATTATACTATTTGCTTTAAATGTAATTAAAAAAGAAAATAGAATCTTTGCATTAGTCTCGTTTCGAGTCTAGTTCGCCTTAAGCGAGTGTCATATGGACACATGGAAAAGTCAAGCGAGTGTCATATGGACACATGGAAAAGTCAAGCGAGTGTCATATGGACACATGGAAAAGTCAAGCGAGTGTCATATGGACACATGGAAAAGTCAAGCGAGTGTCATATGGACACATGGAAAAGTCAAGCGAGTGTCATATGGACACATGGAAAAGTCAAGCGAGTGTCATATGGACACATGGAAAAGTCAAGCGAGTGTCATATGGACACATGGAAAAGTCAAGCGAGTGTCATATGGACACATGGAAAAGTCAAGCGAGTGTCATATGGACACTTGGAAAAGTCCTGTGCCCAACCGTGATTCGAACTCACGACCTCTGGGTTGACAATTAACAACAATTAATGTTATTTGTTTTCGCAGATGAAGGACCCTCTGGAACTAGATGACGACGACCAATCAGAATTCGAGGTTAGATGTATTTAATTTAATTTTTATTTTGTTAACAATCTTCCTCTATCCTTAATGTATTTATTTATTTAAATTAGTTTTAACAACGGGCATTCCAGTAAAAGCTAACATCTAAAACAATAAAAACTAAATGTACACCTTTTAACAGACAAACAGCATGCAAAGAAAGAAAGAAAGAAAATTTATTAGCTAACGGACAATTCTACGAAAAGGAATGACAAAATGTTAATTGTAAATTGAGGAATCCTTAAGTTTTTTTTTTGAGATAAAATGGGGACCATTGATATGGCTTTTTATAATTTTATATATAACAGACAGGTCCGCTTAGTCCAACCTGTATATTAAAATAAAGTCTGGCTAATGAAAGAAGATAATTGAATTATTTGAAAACATTCGGATGCCAACACAGAATGTCATTGAATTTCTTAGGTTAGTATGATTTTTTGTCTTGATGCAATTACTCATTTTTATTTCTATTATATATTTTTTCCGAATAGTTAACAGGTATAATAGCCTAAACATATAGAAAGTTTCATAATCAATGTGAGAGACAGTGATAACAGCAATGACTCTGATGAATCTATGCATATTGATTTTTTGGATTCTGATTTTGATTATTCCGATTAAAGTTGTGTTTTATAATAAATATAGTTTTAGTTTTCCATGCAATGCTAGTCATTTTAAGTATCAATAGTAAAAGACCAAATACGTTACTATCAATGTAAAAAAATAATAAAATAAAATCAAGTATCAAGTTTAATCCACAAAATATATAAAACTTTTAGAGATACCATACTATTTTTTTTTTAATTTGTCGTGCTTTTTCGTTATCTTCTTTCATTACCTAGCCAGACTCTCTCTAGTTTAACTTGAAATTTATTGGGTTATCTTTCAAAACTCTGAAGGTTAAATCAAATTTACTAGCTGTGCTTTAACATACCATTTGTAATAGAGTTAAGGAAACACTTGAATAAAATGATGAATTTGTAATTTCAGGTTCCAATCATAAAAGAGGAGCCTCAGTACATCCCCAAGTTAAAAGTTCAAAGTTTATTTCAGTGAGTGAAACAGACAATATTCCTGATAAATTATAAAAGGCGTTATAAGTACTCTGCGTGGTTGTTAATTCTAGTGGCTCATACAAGATGGTCCTTCGAGCCGGAATTAATTTTTTTTCAGACAAAATCTTGAATGGGGGCTGGCTATCTCATTCAATTTAAAATATCTTCAATTGTGATATAGATATTTTATACAGGTGTTGAAATCACTAATCAGTTGATATAAAAGTGATAATCTTGACACACGCAGTGAACCTATAGTAAATGTTACGCCGCGTACTTAGAATATGCATTTTGTATAAAAATAGTTTTGCAATTTCGATGGTTTAGAATACATTCCCATCATTTGAGTTTAAAAAATTCTTGTAAAGGGAGAAATAATGAGATTGGAGCGTTATAGCAATTAATAAGTAATAATTATCTTATTCGCTTACCATAAGTGGTTCTTACATTTTTTAAATCGTTTAATTTCATGTAACGTAATTACGGTATTGGTAAGTTTTGGTTACTTATCAGTCGACATTTTTTTGTACTACATTTTATATGCAAATTATTGAGAGTGCAATATCATTTCTGTGTAACATAAAGAAAGGAATACATATTTTTAGATATTAAATAATTATAAGATTCGCAAAATTGTAAAAGTTGAATTAGCGTTTGGCTGGTTATCTTAAAATATCTAATATTTTTATTGACCAAACACAATCGGAAAGAATAAATATGTATTTTAATATTTTATATTGTTTTATATCTAATCATTTACATTAACAACCGATGAGAGTAGGTCATATTAATGTTATTGCTGAAAATAAATTGGCTTAAAGAGATGCGCTGAAGTGGTTTTTATGTCCTACAAAGGTACTACGCAAAATCTTAAAATATATTTATTAAAAATTAATTTTCACTTCAGAAAAAGGCGTTTAGATGGTATGTATTTAGTCTGAAAATCACGCTTTGCACTTATCGTGTAGGTAAATATTAAATACTCTTAAATAAATGTATAGATACGTGATACAATTAATATTTTAATGTAAGACAAAATTGTGTAATTTGAATATAGTTCATTGGTCGGTTCGCTGAGATATAGGCTGACTGTTTAATCAAATAATTATCTAAGAGAACCGGCAATAATTGCGTTTTAATATACGATATAGATTATCTTTTATAAAAGCTATATTGTCATGAAGATTCAGCAAAAATAGCCATTTGTTTTTAAACAAGAAAATTGGAAATTTATTATTTAAGACACATGATTTTATAATTAAAACATCGTAAATATCAATATATTTTGCCCGTTATTTTTACTTAGTTTTACTATAGATAACTGTGACTTGCGTTTGGGAGAATATCATTGTATATTTTAAGGTTTATAGTAATAGTTTAGTTTAAAAATCGCAATATTATTATTTGAAATGTCGAATATTTGTGTATAGCATTGAATCGCTTTAAGCGGTCGGTATATTAAACCTAATACTGCTTTAAAATACAGCCGTATTTTACCGTGACTGTATTTTGACTGCTGTTTAAAAATACAGACTACACATTGACTGTGCTAAGTTTTCTTCCGTGTTATTTTAACGATAGCAATATTATCTTCAAGTACATAGATTTTATAAAGTGATTCTAATATAGATTATATGATTGACCGCATTTGATAGTTGAGAGCACATGTTGATGAATAGATAAGATTTATAGAGTAAAAAAGATTTAAGTATTAGGAATACCTTTGATGGAGCTCGTTTTATATCAAAATAGCTATGATCATATAAATTATTAATGTTTTTTGTTTTACATTGCCATTGCCTTTAGCGATTTTGTTCTGATGTTGTTAAAGTCATTATGGGTTTGCCGTTAAAAAAATAAACAACATTCACATAGTGAATTTATCAATATTTTGACCATCGAAATTGAATTTTTCACAATTTTTTGTTTAATTTCACTATTACCTTTGGGAGGATTTCCGGGAATAAGGACTATATTTCGAGCTTAAGCTTTAATAGCTAATTTCTTTTAAATTAGCCCAGTCGCTGGAACAAATCTTTTAATAAACGAGTTATTGGAAAAAAATACAACTTAATTACAGTTGTTTATATATAGTTAATTATTTATCCATTAAACAGATTTGTGAAGGTCGCTTTCGATTTCCACAATTGTAGCTACTTTGGTATAAAATGCAGAACTTTAGTATAAGGTGAAAATGTTCCTATGTGCGTCAGAGTGTGAGGTGGTGTTGTTTAGTTCGTAGATGTAATATAGTCGACCATAATGTAGCCTTGTTAAGTGCGACCGAGATTTTTCTATTAACATACATTTATCTTCAAATATACAATTTTAAATATAACCTGCTGTTTTATTTCTATACCTAGTAAATAAATAAAGAATAAAAATGGAAATTATGGAAGAGCTGGGAACCCTGACACAGGTATTTCTTACTTAAAAGGGTTCCCGAATCTTACACATTGTAATAAAGGCATATAAAGACTTTTTTATTTAAAAAAAATGTGTTTATTCATTATAAACAATGCATTACAATTGGTATAAGATTTTTAAGTTAAAAATACCCGTGTAAGGGTTCCAGCTCTTCCATAAAAACTATAGTTAATTGTTATATTTTCTTTTAAATATTCTTTTAGATATCGTTAAAACTTTTAAGCTTATTAATTTAAAAAAAAGTAAAGATATATGGGGTATGTCAACAGTCATTTTAAATTCCGTTATTAATGTAATAAGCTCTGAATTGTCTATAATTTTTAACAGATGTATCGATTGTGGAGTCTTTCCGGACGAAATGAAATTAAGTAAGATTACACCGTTGTTCAAGGCAGGTAGTGAGTCTGATCCGTCAAACTTCAGACCTGTTTCCGTCCTCCCTGCGTTGAGCAAAGTTTTTGAAAAGATAATGCTAGACCAGCTTTCTTTACATTTTAATAAAAATAAACTCTTACATAATAAACAGTATGGTTTCACTAAGGGTCGCTCCACAATCGAAGCCGGTGTGAAGTTGATTTCGGACATATTTAACGCCTGGGAAGAATCATATGATGGAGTCGGCGTCTTTTGTGACCTGTCAAAGGCCTTTGACTGTGTTCATCCTGATATACTCGTTGGAAAGCTTCAACACTATGGCGTTGATGGCAAAGCTTCCAGCCTGATGAATTCATATTTAAAGGGAAGGATCCAAAGAGTTCATGTCAATGGAGTCACCTCTCCGGGTTCGCAGGTATCAATGGGCGTCCCCCAAGGATCGATTCTCGGGCCTTTCTTATTTCTGATTTACATAAATGATCTCCCATTCTTTGTCAACGAAGTTCATGAGATGGTATTGTTTGCTGATGACACTTCACTTCTATTTAAAGTGAATAGGAATAACGTATTATTGGACGATGTAAACAATTCTATCTCTCGTATAGTTAACTGGTTTAATGTAAATAACTTACTGCTTAATAAGAATAAAACAAAATGTATTAGATTTACAACTACTAGCGTAAAGCGAGATATTGGTAACCTGAAAATTAAGGACAGTGAACTAAACTTTGTTGACAAAACTGTTTTTCTAGGCATAACAATAGATAGTAAACTCCAATGGGGCCCACACATAGAGACTCTTTCAAATAGGCTGAGCTCTGCAGCATATGTAGTAAAGAAAATCCGACAGTTTACTGATAAGGACACGGCTAAAATAGTGTATCATAGCTACTTCCACAGCGTTATGTCGTACGGTATTTTACTGTGGGGTGCTGCTGCAGAGGTTCAATCCATATTTGTGCTGCAGAAGCGGGCTGTTCGGGGTATTTGTTGTGTTTCTCCGAGGGAGTCGGTACGGAATAAGTTTAAGGAATTAAATATTATGACACTATCTGGTCAATATATTCTTGAAGCCTTGTTGTATGTCCAAAAAAATATAAACGATTTTAAAACAAATGGTGACTTTCACCAGTATAATACGCGAAATAGAACTAATTTGAGTGTACGACCAACCAGGCTCCAAAAGATAAACCACTCCTTATATGGAAATTGTATTCGTTTTTACAACAAACTCCCAAGCGAAATTAGAGAATTATCACTAAATAAATTCAAAGCCCTTGTTAAACGAAAATTAATCAACAAAGCCTTTTATAAATTTGAGGACTACTTAAATGATCCTAATCCTTGGGATTGAATTGCTCCAGTTCAAACAATTTGTATGACAATACTTGGCGATTAAAAAGAGTGGCGGAAAGTTTCTTGCCAGTTCTTCTTACCCGCTCTACGCCCTTGACTTGCGAACTGGTAGTAAATGTAAATTTATGATTAATTTAACTTGACGATTCAAAAGTGTACTTGGTTACCCACTTGAATAAAGATATTTTGAGTTTGAGTTTAATTATCTATATGACGATGAAAGAAAATTTATTTCTTCATACTTAAATACATAATAAATAAAACTATTTCTAAAATTTATATTGTAAGTATACATGATCGGTATCATTATCAGATGAGTCGCCTGCCCATTATTTTCGGTTTCGTAAAAATAACGCGGTTTGAAATCCATTTTCCAATAATGCAAAAAGTCCCTATAGCAATGCGATTTTACTTTCACATGTTACGTTATAATTTAAAGAAAGTCGGCAGTGTTCAGTCGTGAGTCGTGACTAGTTATTTGGTATTCGTTAAATACCTTACGTAAATAATAAATATCACAGATATTTAAATTATCACGATAAATAAAATAAATTATAGATCATAATTGCTTATGTCGTGTCTTAGTTGAACATTAATTGTCTTGGAAACAGCACGCAAGTTCATCTACGTGTAGGTAAGTGATCATTAATATAATTCATCTTGTAACTTATAACATGCTTATAACTACATAGCATTTAAACGACTTGTTTTATCCTAACATATTAAATGATTATAACGAAGAATAAAAAAATAGCGGGGTTGAAGATTTCATAACTAAAAGAGTTACATCAAAGACTATCAAACTGTCCTGTCAAATGATTAAATATGTAAAAACGCGGGATAATGGAATAAAGAGAACGTATTGTTTATCGATGCAATTTTCTATAAAACTTCAAGGTTTTATTTTATGTCCCTGATACACGATACGTTATAAATACATTGTGCAATAATTGTAATTACTTTAATTTTTCTATTAATTTCATATGAATTTAAGGATTTTAAAAACAATTCTATACAACACAGTCGTTAGATTAGAGTATGGAGAATGCAGTATTTATCTTCCCCACTCTAACGCTCAGTCTACCTGCTCTGACATATGCAAAAAAATGGATGTTTGCGGGACTCTCGATAACTTTGTTAGATTCAGTTCGAACTTGCACGCGTCGGGAACATTGCATATCTTTTGGGAGTTCTTTATTTTCCATATAAGTTTTAAAATGTTTCTTTGTAGGAACATGGACCGCTGGATCGGAAAGACGGCTGTTGTTACTGGCGCAAGTGCAGGCATTGGCGCTGAGATTTGCGTTCAATTGGCTAATTCCGGCCTAAAGCTCGTCGGGTTGGCCAGACGAACGCAACTTGTGGATGTGAGAATTACTCTGAGTTGTAGATCATGGTTACTATGATTTATAGCTCCAGCAATATAGAATATACACATAGCTTAATAAATTATATAATAACAGATTAAAAATAACTATTCTTCGATAAAAAAGACGATAGGTATATATTGATAACTACATAAAAAAATAAATTGCAAGAAAAATTGTGTCGCAAATTGTTTTTGGATCCTTGAGAATATAAACGTAGTTCTTCTCATAGAACGGATACAAAATCTATAATTTAATAATTACTTACTTCGCGGCCTTTTTTAACCCACAAGATTCCAAGGCAGAACCAGAAGATAATTAGTTCAATTCCCGGAAAAGTGTTATGTTAGGAAAGCGTATTATTCAATAAAACTATCAACGAAACGTAGAAATCTGTTTGTCGATAACATCATTTTTATACACTTGTCAACATGGAACAACTTTGATGTGTTTTTGTTTGAATAACAGGAACTGAAAACACAAATAACAGGCTCTGGTAGTATTCATTCGATACAATGCGACATTACCAAGCAAGAAGACGTCGAAGCAGCATTTAAGTCAGTGGAAGAGAACTATGGAGGCACACACATACTCGTCAATAATGCAGGAGTCATGTATCCCGGAAATATTAGTGGTATAATAGAATTTTTACATATTTAATGGCTTATTTTCACAGCAGGGTTGGCCTAGTGGCTTCAGCGTACGACTCTCATTCCAGAGATCGTAGGTTCGAACCCCGGCTGTGCACCAATGGACTTTCTTTCGGAAAACATCGTGAGGAAACCGACATGTCTTAGACCCAAAAAGCCGACGTGTGTCAGGCACAGAAGGCTGATCACCTACTTGCCTATTAGATTGAAAAATGATCATGAAACAGATTCAGAAATCAGAGGCCTAAAGAGGTTGTAGCCCCACAGATTTTTTATTTTAATGGCTTATTTTCTGGTAAAATTATTAGAGATACAGAATTTTCCATACTGATATTGTAAAGCTGAAGAATTTGTTTGATTGAAGACACTTATAGATAGTCTAGAGATCATTTTTCTTTTTGAATTAAATTTGGCTATAAAACATTTTTCATTGATGATGAACTAAACAAATAATGTAATAAACGGAAGAAACATTATCGAAGATTGCAGATTGGGAAAAATTTATACTAAAATCAATTCTATTCGAGAAGGCCTAACGTGAGCTTAGCGAGTACGTAACGATGATATCCTTGACGTTGGTACTGTAATATTTTTTGAAATCTTACACGCATAACACTTTTTCATAGAAATAGCATTTTCTATCGAAATTGCAGGCACAATTGTTAATGACGCGCGCACATTAACAATCATATTTAATATTAATAGATTGTTCTTGGGCATAACATAAAATGGCGGGAGTCAAATTCAATTCGCCGTTGTAAAAATACAATAGACCCTTGAAAACTATTATCTACTCAAAAAATACTGAAACAGTGCCTCGCTGAGTTAAAAGCGTTTTTGATTGCTGAAAGGGACTAATAATAATTTGTTTTCAGAGTTCGGAGACTCACCCGTAAGCTGTGATGAAATGTTATCAACAATCGACACCAACGTGAAAGGTCTGATACTATGCACACGACACGCTCTTAATTCTATGAAAACTCATAACTTTAATGGGCACATCATTAATATATCCAGGTAAGGTCAATATCTTTATCTCCTTCAACTTCTATACTCTATTCTATTCGTTAAAACTCCCTCTTATCTTAAAAATGAATTCAAATTCTCAGGGCCTATATATATGTATGTATATGTTATGCTCCTGTAATAGATGCTTTTTGGAAATTCCATCATACAGCTCATCCTTTTTAGGCCCGCCGACTCCATACGATTGGCTACGTCTCTTACCTCTAAAGTGTTCTACATAAACAATCTTGACTTTTCTAATTCATGTATTTTCTTATTCTTTTGTATTGCATTGAACCGTGACATCAGATTTAAGTTTATTTTATTATTTTATTTTAGATTAGGTTTGGTAATTCTATAATTTGTTACTTGCTATTTTTTTAAATTTGTTTATGCACTTCTTGGAATTTACCCTCAATGTTTATTTTTTTTTATTTTTCCTTTACTAGGGTTGTCTGGAAGAAATCTAAGAGAGAGAGAATTTGTTGAATACAAGTCAGATCAATTCTAAATCGGATCCAATTGCAAAAATTTAATCTTAAACAACTTTCCTCACACTTTCACTAGTCTATTTTCTTAGCAGTCTTGCCTTGCTTTAGAAATCTTGTCTAACGTGATTAAATCCTTGTAAATAAACGAGAAACGGATCATTATGTTTGAAGAAACTGAATTTTAATGAATTTTTGTATAAAGCTAAACAAATCTGAAATTGAGAGTGAGTGACATTATTACTTCGTCCAATTTGTTTTATGCTTTGCAGGTTTTGTTAGGAATTTATATAACCCAAAATTCAATTGTAATTGATTTTTCAGCGTTGCGGGTCATTACGTGCCATTTTTACCTGTGTTTAACTCATACCCAGCGAGTAAGTACGCAGTGTCGGCCTTCACACAGTCACTTCTCAACGAATTAGCGCATTTGAACAGCAATATTAAAGTTACGGTATGATTTCCCTATTCACATTTTTATTTAGGTAAATTTCAAACCAAACCGGTGATTATCAAGACGGAACGTCGGATTCAATCTAATAATTAAATATAAGAATTGTCTAAATCTAGGAAAGAAGCTTAATTTAGAATTCAGCAAGCATTTTTGTTAATTAAAAACACTAAATGTTGCCAGAATTTCCTCTGTGTATTGCGATTCTTATACGTTGAGCAAGGCAAGGACCAGACCACCATCTAAATTTTATTTATATATCGTTTCAGAGCATAGCGCCGGGGCTAGTGAAAACCGATATGGTCGAAAGGGAAGGTAAAACTTTAGATGTACCGATGCTGACTCCAGGAGATGTAGCTGATGCGGTGTCTTATGTACTCTCCACTCCCCCTAACATAAATGTAAGCCTCACATTATTCATAAACATACTAGACGTTTTGTCTCTGTAAATCTTATGTCAATTGTCAAATGAAATGACGTGACAGTACATTTAGCCGGCAACGCCGACTGACAGTTAACGCTAAGCGAAGTTGTATGGGGATGACATTAGCGTGATTTTGTCACGTGACCATTTTCATTTCATCCTAACATCAGATGAGCCTTTCACCCGTTTGCTCACTGTTCTATAAAAAATATTTTAATGTTATACTAATTGACAATTGAATATATTTGTGACGCGCTTAATTAGAAATTATGTGCTACTATATATGTAAGTAGGTACATAACATTATAACGCAGTTCTTTTTTAGTCTTCTAAATTTATGAGTTCTCTCTATATTAATTAATTTGTGTTATGCGCATAAGCACAACATATGAAAACAGAAATTTCTTTCTATACTTTTATGTTTAGAAATGGGTTATGGTGTAATTGTCAAATTGTAAACATTTATTTTTCAGATAAACGAGCTTTCTCTGTGCCATGTATCGGAGAAGAGGCTGTAAAATCAAAAAATATTGCTATCCATAACGTTTATTATGATAAAGGCGCTTATTGGGAACTATGTTGAAAAGCGCTAGACGAAGCCAATCCCAGGAAACTAGTTGTAAATTGAACGAGGGCGCGTAAAACGTCCAGTTTAAGGGTCCAAAATATAGATGGCGCCGTAGATTCCGCGCCTTCGTTGCTCTGAAAAAAATAAATTTAATTAATCTAAAATATATATATGACAATAAAACACTTGTTTGTATTTAATAAAACAGACTTTAGAATACGTAAATAAATTCAAAACACTATATAAATACATAATTCGCTTTCGTAAATTATTTTGAAGACATTCGGATTGTTCATTTAGCTGCGATGTTAATTCAATTATATACACGTTTAAAAATAATAATTAAAGGTAATGTAATTAAATAATTATTTTGGAATCTTTTTTTATTTACTGCTCAACACAGGTCACAGTAAGGAATCACTGGTGCTATATTTTTTGTCGTAGCCCAATTTATTAAATTATATAAGAATAATACAAAACAACTTTATCAATAACTTAATTTTACAACTAAATAGACATATAGTGGCCGAATCGTAAAAATATTACTTCATAAAATGAGTAGCTATGAAAGGTCATACAGTTGAATCGTCAATTTCGTAAAAGCCCATGAGAGATGTAAATTGTCACCAAGAAATAACCTAACTTTTTAAATAATATATTTTTACTGAATTCAGGATTCATTTATATAAAATAAAAAAATACCATGAATTACTATTATTATTAATACTCCTACAGGAATCAACCTCATCACCTAAATATTAATTGGCCTCGGATTGCGTCTGGTTAATTTTTATTTCATAGACAAGCCTTCTATCTGGCACCTTGTTACGTATGTCATAAATTTCTGACAACCTAAATAAAAAAACTAACGGGAAATAAAGCAACTATTCAGGCCATACTAATGTACGCGCGTAAGAAGTTATACTTCTTTGGCTTTCTTTATTTTTTTTAAATATTAAATAATTCATAATAAATATTTAACGTTAATAATTTAATAATATTTAATATTTTGTACATTATTCAATTATTAATTAATACTAATAATAATAATTAAAATTATTTATTATATTATTAATTCAATTTTATAACTAGGTATGTTTCATAACCTTTTAACTAAGTAACAATAGGTCTTTGTGAAAAAGCATTGCTAAATTTCTTTGAAAAAATAATTAAAACTCTTTTATTTGTTTAAAAGGTACTACAAATGTCATTATGGTCATTCAAAATTCTTGGCATAGCTGCTAACTTCACGCATATTCTATTTATTTTTACTTGTAGATTGTTTTATTCCCATCTCGCTCGCGCACGCTCGGCGCCCATAATGATAATTTTGTGTCACGGTGCGCGCGCATCGTAAAATTTCACTCTCATCAATTTTTCATAACGCGTCTAAAGAAGTATAACTTCAAAAACTATTTGACATCTTGAATATTAAAAAAAAACGTAAAGCTGGCCTCATAATTTCAAAATGTTTTTCACGTTTAAATTATCAATTCCACGATCCGGCCACGATATGAAGATCACATACAAGCTAGTTAGATCTATGGTGTAAATACACAGCTTGTATCTCTACAAGTATACACCTAAGAAGTATAGAGTTTAACAAAATGGTTTCTTTGTATGTTGGTGTTTATGATTCATGAATTTCAAGATAACGTCTCCACGGGTGTGAGCCACCGGAACTGCCTTTAGACATGTTTCCGAGAAGTGCCATCAGTAAACTCGAGAAAAACCCAGCTGAATCCTTCATTTGCGGCCCTTCATTCTCTTCTGAGCTTGCGTCAGGATCAAGTGCCTGGAAAAATCACTTTCAAATAATTATAGATAATTTATTTTATTATGGAAAATGTATGTTTTTTACCGACTTCAAAAATGCATGTTATCAGTTTGACCTTTATCAATTGTGTTCTAATTCAAAAATAATAGAGTATGTTGATCTATTTAAGCTACCGACCGTGTGTTAAATTTAAGTATATGTGTTTGTGTTTGTACGTTTGCCTACAAATTTGTTGGCTTAATAGAAACATCGAAAACAGTTTCATCGAAATCGATTCAGTAGTTTGTGAGTTGTAGTTACACGTAGGTCCCTTGGTAAATGTAGGTACACAGATATCTATTTAATTACTCACAGCACTGGTCCCTTGAATCAATTTCGATAGCAAATTACCAAAAAAGGCTCCATTGTTTGTCTGAAATATTTTAAACGTTAATTATTATAATCAAATTTTTGTAATGTCTTCAATATAAACCATTAACTCTCACCGAACCACCTCCAGTAATCGTGTCCAAAGACGTCAAGAAATAACTAGCTATAACAGAACCAGGATTTTCGTTCCCTTCCGACTAAAAATAACATTGCCATCAATAAAAATACTATTAAAGTACGATAATATTACTATGAAAATTTAAAAACGTACCAATAATCCTACGAAAAGACCAATTCCCGAAGCTATCAACGCGTTTAAGTCAATTCCATCGCCCTAGAACATAAAATTACTTGTATTATCTGTGATTTGAGAAAAGAAATGTTTTTAATCTAGTTACTTACACTCAAATTGGCAATAATTCCACTAACTGTTGCAAGAAGCGATCCTAAATCAGACTGGCCATCTTCCTAAAATCACGAATATTTAAAATAATAAAAAATTCCAGTATCCAATTGCTTTGATTATGAAAATACTATTAATATAATGTTCAGTAAAATTACCGGAAATGTTTATTACGAGTCGAAATACTTTTTGGGACTACCAATGTTAAATAGAATTCATATGTTAATTACTTACACCACCACTTAATCCAGCCAGAAGACCCAAAATACCACCTCCTTGTCCATCACCTTCAGGTTCATCATATTCATCCTCAACCGAATCCATTTCCGAATCCAACTCCTGATTTGAATTCCGATCGTCATCAGTTTCCTCCGAATCCATAGAGTCTCCTGAATCACTCTCGTTCTCTTGTCTTTGGAAAGTAGGTTTTAAGTTGTTTACGTAATCAATATCATTGATTTGTCTACGCACTATTATGTGTGGAGTAAGTCTGTCCACCGTAAGTCTTAGGATATTCTGTAGAAGTGTCTGTAAAACATGTACAAATAGTTTTTTGCACTTAATGACTATAAAAATATAGTAAATATTTTAATTTTTAATATTTTTATTGCGATAAGAGTTTTACATAAATTCATATTAATGTATTGAAAAGAGTGCGTAAGAACTTACCTTTATATTTTTTCTGTGCCAGGTGCTATTGCACCAGTGTAATAAAAAATTCATGCACTAATTCACACGTGATATTAAAGACAAAAAAACCAAAAATGTATTGCTGTATACAACGTATACTTCAATACGCACATACACACACACACACAAATAACTAATCTTCCAAAGTCGGGAATTTATTAGAATTAAATTTTATTACCGCTTAGAATTAATTCGTGCAACAAACGGTGCGATTAGAAAACTTCACCTAACTGGTGCCATGCGTCAACCCACTATATAATTATATATACCAAAGCAAATGAACGCAGAAAACTAGTGACAACTAGTTCATATAAACAAATTAATGTTTGGCACCAAACATACAGATCGAATTAGTATTAAAAAATTGGGAATTATAATCCAGTTACCCACAACACAGGGACTCCCTAGTGTGGGGACTAGCGATAGATGAATTATGTCACAAACTATTTGTCATGAATACTTTTTATTATTATTATTATAAAAACAACTTCATTTGTTTTGTATTAAGATACGATTTAATTCCACACTCAATCCGTAAAATGTTAAGTAAAGTAGCGCTAAGTATGACCCATATACCCGTTTCCCGTATGTCAAATCCAACACATTTTTACGTCATACTTAGCTAACCACTGATGCTTTCGCATTAGTACGGAGTTTTATAATCTAAAGTTGTGCGTTTAATACAAAATAGTCGAAACACTTACGCTTGCAAGGATTGAACTTGGAAGAACAGCACCTAGTAGGTGAAATATGCTGAATATACTGCTTCCGCCTCCAGAAGACGCTGGTGCGGGGGTCAGGTCATCAATATCATCATCGCTCGGGTCGATGGGGACGGATACGGGATATGACTCCTTTACAGTAATGATGGCATCCTTGTCTTCTGTATCTTCATTATTCACAGTCAATGGTAAGTCCGTTGTATCTGTCTAATATTAAAATAGCTATATTAAATTGGTTTCTTGGTTATGGAACGTCGATGTTTGTTTGTCTTTGTGCCGTTTTATACGGGAAATATAATAATTATAATTTTAAGTTATATATATCATTGGTCTTAAGAATATAAGTCTGTTCGAAGGACAGAAAAACTGTGTACAGCTTATGTTTCCATCACACTACTGTAAACTTCTTCTTTTTCTTATTATGTTTACAATAAATCATTTATCATTTACTAGATACATAGACATAACTTCGTTCCTTACGTGGAATATTTATATTATGTATTTAGTAATTGAATAGGAATACACAGTGCAACGCGGCTGCTTTATCTTTTACAGTCAGCCATAATAAAAATAAATAAATCATTGGCGCTACAACTTTAGGTCTGGGCCTCAGATTTCTGTGTCTGTTTCATGATCATTTGTCAATCAAATAGGCAAGTAGGTGATCGGCCTCCTGTGCCTGACTTTTTGGGTCTAAGGCAAGCAGTTGCCTCACGATTCACCGTTTAAGCGAATGTTAAATTCGCACATAGAAAGAAAGTCTGGTTGCAGAACCGGGAATCGAACCTCCGACCTCAGGGATGAGAGTCGCACGCTGAAGCCACAAGGCCAACACTGCTCTATATAATAAAAGAAAACTGTATTAAAAAATAATTGTGAAGTGCAAATGTGAATCTTATTATATAATACAAAAAAATAATAATTGACAGCTAGCTTGTACACTTAATAAAGAAGTAAGAGAACAAAAATAACGCTACCATTATGGGATCGCGAAGTGTATTAGGGAGCGTTCAAGTATTACGTCACGCAATTTTTGGAGATTATTGACCCCCCACCCCACCCCATGTAACGCGCCGTAACGTTTTTCTGTACCCAAGTATAGTAAAACGTTTCTTGACCACATAGTGACTCTTTATACCTAAAAGTTACCATTATGTGGTATAAAGTATTGCAAAGTCGAAAATAATATTAACAATAACGCGTAATTCAATCCCCGCCCCGCATCATAACGTTTTACAAAAGGAAAATTCGTTACGTAATACTTGAACGCTCCGATGGAACTTTCTTACTAATCAACAGTGTAATTTGCCCAACGTTAAGTAACGTATCAATTAACTAATTATTAAAAAACAAGTAAGTATTTATTCGGAGATAGTTTAACGACTCTGAGTAAGGTGAACTTAAAATAACCTCGGCTGATGAGGTCCAACCTTGTTATTTACGAAATGACAAGGAAATTAGTTGGTGGTATTTTCGTATGGTTTTTTTCTTAAGGAAATATACATATAATCTAGACCTTGTGCCCTTCACATCGCAGGTACTGTAAAAATAATACATTCAAGTTATTCACTTTAATACCCATTATTATTTATTATTTAGTGCCATTTTCAAAACGATCACTATTACCACTGACGATCTTTGTGATTTGTGATAAATAAAACAGTGGCGCTACAACGTCTTTTTAGGCCTTGGACTCAGATTTCGGAATCTGTTTCATGATCATTTTAAAAATCTAACAGGCAAGTAGGTGATCAGCCTCCAGTGCCTGACACATGCCGTCGACTTTTTGGGTCTAAGACATGTCGGTTTCCTAACGATTTTTTCCTTTACCGTTCGAGCTAATGTTAAATGCGCACATAGAAAGAAAGTCCATTGGTGCACAGCCGGGAGTTGAACCTACGACCTCAAGTATGAGAGTCGCACGCTGAAGCCACTAGACCAACACTGTTCTTTGTTGTGATTTGTGATACCATGGCTTATTATAAAGATGTTCTCGGATCGTTTCCAGACGAATAAAAATTATGTCGGGTGAATTAATATTATTATAATGAAAACTTAATATCACTAAGTATTTACAATATTCTTAACCTACATAGTACAAAAATGTTTCTGCCAATGTCACCATTGGGAAATCAATTAATAAGTATCGCAAAACTATACAGCGAGGAAATGCTGCCAGCGTTAAAGGTACACTGCCACAGAGACCAACCTTTTTAAAGTTGTTTTAGTTTTCTTTTTATAAATTTTTGAAGTGAAACTTTTTTACGCGCAGGGGTGTAAAATTATTACGGATGTAATGCAATAATAATGATATTAGCGTCACGAAGATGTGCAGCGTTTTTGTCGAAGAAAAGGGAGAGAGCGATTGAGATCGATTGAGATTTTCAATTTGTATATATATACACAAAAATTGGTATACAAATACATGGAGTGATCATATACTGGTACATGATCATCTATGGGGCATTTACCTTAGTAATAATTAATTGACAAAAAGTTTCACGATTGACATGTGTATTTTGTATGCACGCACTTTTTAAATCATTATCGCAAAAAGCTGTATAAAAAACTTACCGAAGTACTTTCTTGTCTTCTCATTCTAATATGTGATGGGAGGCAGAATCCATGCGCTAATAATGTTATAGCGAAAAACACACCAAAAGTCTGTCTATCCATTTTTGCACTGCACAAGAATAAAAAAATCCATTACTATTTATAACTAAGCATTACTTAATTAGCCCTTACTAGGAATTTCATATACCTATTTTGTATTAATATTTAACGTTCAAAAAGTTTATTTATGCAAAAACTTTATTCACAAATTGGCTTTCTAGATTTATTTATTTATTTACGATGCAATGTGTCTTTATCTAGCGAGTTTAAATAATGTTTGTATGGGCCGGTGTAACTTATAACTTTGTACATGAGGTCTCACTATACAGGTAGCTATCATTTTGTAATTTCATTTTCTGTCGTTTTTAATTATATTTTCAATATTTATATCGGATTAGATTTATTATTAAAAACTTCTACTTAAATATAATAATATTATAACGTTAATCCATTTATGCCTAATTAAAATTCTAGGTACATGACAGTTTTGTATAAAACCCATAACGGACATATTTTTGTTTTTTTTAAGTGCAAGTATGTCAAATTACACAACACGCGTCGAAATGTAGGCATCCTTCGGAATTTTTAAATGTCAGTTAAAGAAAGGATGCGAATCAACTCGTGTTATGAAGCGTTAATTTTTTTAAATAAACCCATTTAAACTCAGTTTACTTTACAGTCAGCCTAAAGAGACCTTTTGAGTTAATAAAACTAGTAGAGAGTATAAGTAATAATTAGCCATAATAATTTAATACTTAGAAAAAAAACTTTACATTATTATAAATGGTAAATGGTCTCAAAAAACACTCTGTATATACCAATTAGGCCTGAATCCCAGCTATCATCATTGTGGAAGTCGTATTGCGTCACTCGAGTTGCCAAACAAACTGCAATGTCTCCTATATCCGTTGGCAAATTATAGACTACATACAATGCTTCCTTAAGTTAACCACAGCTTACTGCGGTCGGTAGAAATTCGTTAATGAATTTGTATTTTTATTCCTATTATAGTCATTATTTATTATAAATTAATTAATTTGATTACTAGCTTCCGTCCGCATTGCGAAAATACAAAAAGTCTTATTATAGCCTCTTCAAGAAAATCGAATTTATATCAAATTATAATAACACATCTAAAACTTTCTCAGAAATCTATTGGTGTTAACCGTACGAACCGTTTATCGCGTTCATAGAGACGCGGCCGGGGATGAAATGCTATAGATAATATCTGCGTCCGGCATTAGCTTATTAAGCTGCTAGTGGTTTAATTAATAAGAATAATAATAAACTCTATCGACAGGAACGTATGTGTTTCTCCGAATATATTTTGCGACTTTTTTAAGCATAGATGATCATTCTGCTGAATAAGACAGTTCGGAAATATATTGCATATAGATCTATTTATCAGCTGACATTCACAATATTTTATAAGCATATATTAATTTCTATCTATAACTTTGTAAAACAGTTTTCAAACTTCAACACTTGGCTATCATAAAGGATATTATGGACTTGTTATAGTATTAAAACAATTATAGTTGTAAATATAACGGCCTACCATTTGTGGATAAATCGCTTGTAAGCAAGATTTCAAGAAGATAAGCAGATTACTACCTACTGCATCGCTGTCCTTTTTTACGTATATATAATAAAATAAACACAAAAAATGGTACTTACTTAAAGAATACAGTTCCAGTATTAAGTGTATCACTTTATGAAGTAAACTGATTTGATTTTGTGGTTAATTTGGATCGAAGCGGCTGGCCTTACTCGTAAAAGGCTTCAAGGTTGCCCAAGATTAAGTTCAAAATATGACGTTGCACATGTAATAGTACAATTAGTATTTACGTGAAACCTGTTATTGAAAAGTGCTTAAGTAATTACTTAGAACATGCATCTAAAACATTTTCGAATTACGGCTTTTAATCTAGTTGCAAATTTTATAATATTTCGACGCCATTAAAATCCTAAAATGTCAAGTAAGTTTTTTCCCGCGAAAACATCATATCTATGTTTTTTTTTCATTCATTCAATTTGTCATCCATGTTTTCTTTCTTTTACTACAATATTCATATCATAAACAAATGTCTACACTTAAATGGCGATTAACAAAGTACATATTTAAGCGATTCTTATAAATCATTGTTTTAAGTTTTAAAAGTTGAATCATATAGCATGTTATGCGTAACTTCTGAAATGTTTAATTTTGGAAGCTTTCCAATATTTCAAACAGTTGTCGGGTTTATGTTCAAAATTTCCTTCGTAGTTTTACTATCAAAAATAAATTTATATATTTTTAACTTCGGTCGTATCTTGTCGTATCGTTATTAGTAATAACACAACATCATCAGCATCGAGCACCAGTTGACACAATTGCATTGAGTATTTAAATAAATGGAGTATATTTTCGAAAGTTAGTCGTGATTTATTCCTTATTTAGTAGTAGTACTAAACTATAGTAGGAAGTTTCAACAATATATGAATTACGAATGAAAAACAATAATTGAAACACTCATTATTCTAATAGATTTAATATCGTATACATTTAGTCCGTGCCGACAGACGCGTCAGCTCTGGGCGGCCGTAGTTTCTCTAGCAGTGGTATTGCGACTCCCACGAGTTCTTCCCAGGCTGCTAAACGACTGCAGGGATCACATTCACATTCTTCCACCTCACCCTCTTCAAAACCCAGGTCCTCGCCTGAACACCTGTATAAAGAACATATGACAATCGATTTCTACAACCCCATAGAGAAACTACCTACTCGTGGCTTTATAAATAACGATCTTAGCAAAGCAAAGTCGTATATTTTATCAAGAATACTTGAAGAAAAATAATATGTACACACATTACCACTACACTAAAATATAAAATTTAAAATTAAACGTATAGCCATTTTTCATATTTAATCAATCATCTCGGTAATAGGTATATCATATGCCGTATATCTTACCCAGTTCTATCAGCTTCTTCGTCAGAACTATTTTGAAATCGGGGGTCATTTTCATTCCCATTTTGGTTTGATACATTGTCCCCTTGCTCTGCGGCGAATTTAACCTAAATAAAACATTTATGTAACTGAGACTTAGTACTGTCAAAACTTCTTAATAAAACTTTGCAGATACTGAGATTAAGTTAAAGTATGCTTCACGTTTTACAATACCTCTCGCCTTTAGTAAGAGTATAACCTCTTGATTCATAAAAACTAAACCAGTATAACGTCACTGTAGAGTATCATTCTCCTCGTATGTCAAAAAACCATTTATTTTTTATTCTTAGACTCTTATGTCATTTAACTGGTATAATCATGAAGTAAGGACTTATTTATGTCATTAATAAATAAGTCCTTTTTACCATCCAAAACTATGGACAAAAACACATCTAATATATAAAATTCTCGTGTCGCTGTGTTTGTAGTTAAACTCCTCCGAAACGGCTTGACCGATTCTCATGAAATTTTGTGTGCATATTGGGTATGTCTGAGAATCGGACCACATCTATTTGTCATCCCCCTAAATGTTAAGGGTAGTCCACCCCTAAATTATTATTTTTTTAATTTAGATATTTTTTTATGATACAGCATTAAAAAATACATACAACCCCTAATTTTCACCCCTCTACGATCAACCCCTATTTTTTATTATAAATGATATAGGTACATGGCAAAACGCGACGTTTGCCAGGTCAGCCAGTAATAATATATTAACGAACATTGACGAAATTAAACATTTTATTCGTTTCCTGTAATGTTTGGTTCTCTGGACATACGAGGTTACCATTCTACTACAGCGACGATAATTGTATATTTTAAAATATATTACGTTTATTTCGTTACTTTCTGTCAACATGCGCCTGTTGATGTTTATTATCATTTAACATTAGTCAATCACTGACAAATTTTACGAGGTGGCTCTAAATGTGTATAGCTTATGGTGTCACATCTCACAAAAATAATATTATACATATGTAAGGTAAGGTAGATAAGTAAGATGTTATTTTAATTTGAATCATTTGCACATTTAAATCAGCTCAAAGTGGCGAAGACTTCAATCCCTTTATTATCGTAGTAAGCCTGCTCAATAGAGAATCCTTGAAGAAACCTTGAGTCCTTGAACCTCTGATGCTACCCGTAGGGTTTTGTCTGTTACCTTCGCACTCTTGATGCAGACATCCCGTAATTGTTTATGTTCACTATTTAAACTCAAACTCAAAATAACTTTATTTATATAGGTAAGCAAGTACACTTATAAACGTCAGAAAAGAAGTTAAATTAATTGTAAATTTACAATTACTACCAGTTCGCAAGTCAAGGGCGTAGAGCGGGCAAGAAGAACTGGCAAGAAACTTTCCGCCACTCTTTTTAATCGCTAAGTTTTGAGTCATACAAATTGTTTGAACTGGAGCAAATCAATCCTAAGGATTAGGATCATTTAAATATTCGATCGTCAAATTTATAAAAAGATTGATTGATTATTTTTACGTTTAACGAGAGCTTTGAATTTATTTAGGATAATTCTCTATTATTTATATCTATATATTTATATGTTAGGGCACAATTGTAGGGCATAGGTTACATAGATATAATACATTTTTATTTACTTCTTAAATAAATAATAGCGTTAAAATACGCTGACGGATATATTATACTTATAATACGGAAGAGAGTTTGGTGACGTTGGCTCGTCGACGAACGGACCGTAAAAATAATCCAAGCAACATTCGTTTTAATTATTAAAGTCTTTAATTACTACATTGGAAATTATAGCATAAATATTAATTAATAATATAATGATAAATTCTGTGAATCATTATTAATCATATAATGATAACTAAGATAATGGATCTATTAGCATAAAGTTAATGATATAAGTAATTCGTCGAATGAAATAAAATATTTCGTTTATAAATTTTTGGGGTTGCTACACTATCATTGCATTATTAATGTAACATATACTGTAAAATAAAATTGTTTCACCCGATCTTAATTTATATGCGACAAAATATAAAATTAGCGTTAAAATGTAGAAAAAATAACATACGTGTTGTTTATTTGAGTCACTGTTTCTTGATACTTCGCAGATGCTAAATATAGAATCATCGTCTGAAATAAAAAAGTAAAAGATATGAACATGTGACCCCGACGTGATTTGAACACGCAACCTTCTGATCTGGAGTCAGACGCGCTACCGTTGCGCCACGGAGTCTTGATGTTATAAGCTGAATTTATTGACCGATTACGTTGTACTAAATTAAATTTAGACTCTACATAATTACATTGAGTTCCAATATGCGTGAACAATTTAAGGGTTTCTAAGGATGGTTAAACCAAAAAAATCCTAATTAGGTCATGTTTTTATACTTAAATACCATATTAACTTCAGTGAGTCGAAACGTAATTTGTTTGTTAACGAAGAATTACTTTACAATTGATTAAAATGTTTTTTGTATAAAAAGAAATTTAGACAACAACATGGATTTTAGACAATAAAAATTTACAATTGACAAAAAGACATTCACGATTTTTAAGTCAAGCATCAGCTGAGATAATAGAAGAGATATACCAGAAAGAAAACCGTTTGGGCATTGGAGTTGCCATTATAAATTATTTGTTTTATTATTAAATCTTTATTTATGTATTCTTTTAGTAATCAAAATTATATTAAAAAAAGAACATATTTTATTTCAAATTTTCAGGGTACAGATCTCGTAATAAAATTAGGAACAAACCTATAAAAGTTGCTAGCGCATCGGCCGCCTCACGCGCACACTCGGGTAGCAGCGGAGCGTGCGCGTGCGCATTCCACAAGGCGCGGGCAAGCAACGCAGCCGTTGGCGCATCCGCCATTTCCGCGGCTGCGGTTAAAGCGTGCGCTGCGGTTTTCGCCCCTTCGCTTGTATTACAACCCGCACCGCATACGTTTACTAAAAGACCAGCGGCCGCAAAGCGAACACTTGCCTCCTCTGTATAGTAAATCAAAATGTTAAAAGCCACGTTAGAAACGCGTGACAGACGCCTTTGTTTCTTTAATAAACAATTGAATTTTTAAAAAAAATTTAACAATGAGGCAATACCTCATACATGACTGAAACTATTTTGTATATAGTAAATAGTTTTCAATTACATATACATAATCTGGCCATAAATACTGTTACAATAAAAAATAAAATAAAATAAAATAAACAAAAAATTACATTTGAATTTGGATTCTGTCATTTTTAAATGATTGTTCATTGAGTTTTGTCATTTTGGCACCAATACATTGTGCGATATTAAAATGGAATGGAGTGATAAAGAGAACCGAATCGCTGTGATTGCATTACACAAAGTAGGTATGGAGCCAAATGCAATTTTTAAAACTCTCCATACGCTCGGTATTAGTAAAATATTTGTGAACCGGGCTATTAATAGGTACAATGAGACCTCCTCTGTTTGAACCAGAAAATGTGGGCGTAAAATAATACAATTTATCCCTCGTTTAGAACCCTACGAAAGTTTATAAATTTCCTATGAACTTGCAGATTTTGCTATATTCCGGTGACATATACATATAAATAACAGGATAAAAATATTACCGTGTACAGAAAATCTTGGTAATAGATCTATAGCGCCCTCTAGAACCAGAACTTGCGCGGCCCGGGCAGAACGAGAGAGATTGCCAAGAGCACGCACCGCCTCGCACGACGCTATACCATCGCGTCGCGCCCAACGACACGTTGCTAAATGAAAAATATATATAAACTACTATGTAATTTAAGAATAAAAAATTAACTTAATTTTATTTTCATTAAATTTATAGTTTAATATAATGAATGTATTAGTGTTAGGTCAAAACACTAGACTTAGCGCAAAGTGTGCCTCCCCTATGTCAAAAACGCATTGTATTTTGACATAGTATTAGTCGCGATTGAGAAGGTGGCCCTTAATGTATAACCCAATTAAATTATTACGTATAACGTATACGCTTTTTGTACGGTATAACTTTGTAAATTTGTTTGTACAAACATCTTTAAGGCAAAAAATAGCTGCAGAAAGTTTTAGCTCTCTCAAGTTTTACCATTTCTTTTAAATAAATTTTGAGTTTTTTGAGAGAATTAATTTCGAAGTGATTTCTGAAACGGGAATAATTTTACTTCTCAAACATAAGTATAAGAAGAATGAAGTCAAACCTTTGCAAAGCAAATCAAGTGTGTCATCGAGTCGTCTCGGCGCAGGCGCAGGGTCTAAATAGAATGTGACGTTGTTCAGTGTCGCTAAGGCCGCCATGGCTAGCTCATCCCGTCTATTGGGATGATCGCTTTCTGCATTATGTACCTATGACATTTTTTATTTAAGTCCCGTGTACTCCTGATTTTTCTTTCCATGGAAACAACAGCCTTGCTATTCTGTAACTCACTTTTCGAACTCTCACAGCGGTTTTCGCAGCGGCGGTCGCGCTCAAATCAGTCGTGAAATAGTCATTTTACGATTTGGCATTCTGATAAACAATAAACTACAAGCTCCCTCCGCTTGTCAAGACGTAATGTGAATTTGCTTAACAGAATACAATGAGATTCCAAAAATGACGTGAGTGACGAAGGGAGCGTTGCTAGTGAGAGGTGAAATCACGGATTAACAGAATCGCACGGATGTAGGCATAAAAGTTCCATTCCGGAACTAACCTCCAAATCATGATTTATGCATTTATTATTTAGTCTTGTAAATTTAATTGGCAATTAATATTTTGTGTTATTCAACGAAGTGTATAATATAAAATACAACGACTATATATGACGTACTTACCCTGAAACACGCTAAGGCCTTCGACCCAGTCAATGGATAGACTGGTGAAATATCCTCCCTTTAGGTAGAAGAGAGCACCTTCCTTCCTCCACAAACACAACAAAAATTTCAGCTAATAACATACCTGATTATCAATCGATTTCTCAGCGACATCAAGGCAAGCCAATAACGCGCGAATAGTTCTTTCAGAATGTGTGGCCGCGATACTCTTCCCAACCGCCTCCGATAGACACAAATTCGCTATGACTCGTACAGTCTGTAGACAAACAGACAATTAGTGTCTGTGGGAAAATATTATGTGGCCAGTGTCTTATTATTATGTTTGCACGGTTCCTGGGTCATCGGGTTGTTTTAAATAATAGAGGATTTAAGTACTGTATATTAACCACTCGCGTACAATAGAATATAAGCGAAATAATGAAATGTTAATTGCTAGTGCCTGCGTCTGGTTATACTCTCGGGCGTAACTCCCATGATTTAGTTAATTGCTATGAGACGAATTAATGCAATGTAGCAGTCGAAGAGAGTGACTGCGTCTGGGTATACTCTTCTTTTCATGTGTTCTATCATAGACAATTTACTTGCTATATCTTACCTTTATAAGAACATCCTCGTTGGAGCCGTCGGAGCCTCCCAAATCAGAGCCTGGTGAACAAAATACACTGTAATATTGATAATAAAAGCCTTTTAGGCCTGGGCCTCAGATTCCTGAAACTAATCTTGTTTTGTTCTAATAGGTCAAAGGTGGTCGGTCAGCCTTCTGGGTCCGATACACGCCTTCGACTTTGGATCTAAAGCATGCGAAAAAGTGTTAAATGCGCACTAAGAAAGTCCATTGGTGTACAGTCGGGTTTGAAACTACGACCTCAGGGATATATCGCACGCTGAAGCTACAAGGCCGGCAACGCACTTGCGAGCCTTCTGGCAATATGAGTGTTCATGGGCGGCGGTACAGTTATCACTTCTCGCCTCCTCTCACGTTTTTATAACTTTATGATGATACTAAATAGACCTAATTGTTTAATGTTATACTTTATTATATATTTCAAACTGTTTTTTTTTAATCTTATTAAAACATGTTTAAAAATACAGAAGGAGCTTATTATCTAGTAAGCGATTACAAGTAATTCGATTTTACTAAACGTAACTTACCAACTAAATGCAAATCAGGATCTGTATTAAGCTCCTTTGCATCGCCTTCAGTACGTTTCGTGTATGACTCCAGAATAGTAAGGAGAACATCCAGACTGTTTTCTTCATTATAAATCTAAAAGTTTCACATATACTTTCGCACCACAAATACTAAAATGTTTTACGAGTCTATTATTGGTAAATGGTTAATATAACTACAGTTTATATTATCATGTGTTATTACTAATATATATTATAATAATACATACATATTAATCGTAATAATATTTTATATATCTCGGTATAATATGATTGACATCTACGCAACGTTATAGGTAAGCAATATTTAATGCAGGCTGTTTTTATGTTTTTTTTTAAATAAATATAAAAAACGTACTTCAATAAAATAATATAGATAATATACACATACATTAATTGACGCTTGATCGTCCGCAGCCGCCATATTGCCAAGCGTATACGCAAGTCGCACTGCGAGTGGCGCACGCGGCGAACACGCAGCGAGCGCGCTCAGTAACGCTCGCGAGCTCCACGTACAAGCACAGAGCCATGCACAACATGACTCTTCAGCTGATAATACACTAAAAAACATATTTTAATTTCTTTAAACTTAATTAGCTGCCCCCGCGAAGTTCCTTTCTCCTTAATGTGATTTTACTTAGCCTACCTTTTTAGTACATACCAACATGGAACATTTTACTATGACACCCCAGAGAATGTTCAGTTATCCGGAATGAAAGAAAGCTTTTTAGGTTCTTCTGTGAATTTTTCTCTATATAAACCTCGGAGTTCAAATCATCAGTTTTAATTAACAAATAAAAAAGGGGTTGATCGTATAGGGATGAAAATTAAGGGTTATATGTATTTTTTAATGCCACATAATAAATGATAATTTTTTTTTTTGGGTGGACTCCCCTTATCACTTAGGGGTTTGAAATATAGATAGTAGCCGATTCTCAGACTTACTGAATATGCATAAAAACATTCATAAGAATCGGTTGAGCCGTTTCGGAGGAGTATGGGAACGAACATTGTGTCACGAGAATTGTATATATTAGATAAATAAATACGTATTTCGACCTCCGTATGTTAGAAGATTCGATCGCTCCTATGGTAAAGGAAGACATGAGGAAACTGGCATGCCATAGACCCAAAACGTCAGCGTGTATTAGACACAGAAGGCTGATCACCACCTATTAAAAAAACAAATGACCACAAACAGTTACAGAAATCTGAGGTCCAGACCAAAAAGGCTTTTATATGTAATATCTGTATGTATATTACTATGTATTAAAACGTAGCTTTACCTAAGACATCTGGCGACATTAGTAAGCACATCCCGGTCCGTGTGTAACTGTAAAGCCGCGAGCAGCTCGGCAAGCGCACCGCTTGAAACAAACGACGGCGAATACTCGTTCGCATTCGCTAGGTTACGTAACGCGCCTGTTACTTGGTACAATGCGTGGACTGCTTGTTCGGATACTTGGCGTGGTCTCTCCGTTTTCTGGTATATACGAGAATAAATCCACAAGGCAAACAATATTAATTAATTAATACGGAATATATGGAGCTATAGTGTGTTGTTCCCACGAGAATGTATTATTAAAATATTAAATAGATTCAAATTATTCAAATCAAACTTTATGTATATAATATAAATGGCTACGTTTAATCATGAAACTCAAAAACTAATACTTAAAATAAATTTATTAATATAGGTAATCAAGTACACTTATGAACGTCAACAGAAAAGATGTTAAATTGATTCAAAATTTACAATTACTACCAGTTCGCAAGTCAAGGGCGTAGAGCGGGCAAGAAGAACTGGCAAGAAACTCTCCGCCACTCTTTTTAATCGCCAAGTTTTGAGTTATACTAATTGTTTGAACTGGAGCAAACTAGCATTAAAAAAATCTCTTATCGTTATATCATATACCATAAATAGACTCTTACCGCATTATTAAGTATTTTCAAATGCAATGCTGCAAGATGTAACGCCCCCGCACGATGCGCAAGCGCACAAAGCGTGGGCTCCAAGGCAAGAAAGCGTAGAGCCCCGGCTGCGTACACGCAGCATTCACTCTCCGATATTGGCTCTGCTCGACCGCAGCCTTCTACTACTAGTTCTGTTGAAAATACATTTTTTTGCTTTTACATGTGGCCAGACCATAATTTTAAAAATTTATTTTGGCTGCATCATGATGGGTCGTATCTCATGAAATTAAAACGACATAAACACTATATAACCAGTCTTAAAAATAGTGTTGCCCAAATGCAAGACCAAGACGAGACATAGGTCAGTCTTGGTATTGGTCTTGCGACAATACACCTGGTCTTGATCTTGGTCTTGATCTTGCAGCAAGAGTCTTGCAAGTCTCGCAAGACTTGCAAATACCTATTAGCCTATTGCTATTTATTGAACACGTTAGTTTAGATTTTAGATTATGATTCGCACTGTAAGACGTATGTAGTTGACTCTGTAACTACATACGTCTTACAGCGCGAATAATATTTTAATCAACAATCTAGCACTAGCCTGCAAATTGCAAAAAAAAAAATGAGTTTGGCGGGCTATCCTATGCTACCTATGCGGCTAAAATAAGGAAGTGCGTGTGTGTTGAGATTAGCAGATTTCATTACAGTGTGCGTAGGTACATTTTTTAGGCAATTTGTCGTTACTCGTGACTGGCACGCTTTGCTATGTAGGTACAGTCGTTAAAGTATGTGTAAGTAAGAAACGATGAAGGTACCTACTTCAACAAAATTGTATTCTTTAGAAAGATAACGACGATTATTTTTATTTATTTAGTAAATCATCGCTGAAGACAATAGTCGCTATTAGAGTAGGTACGATAGAAGTTGATAAATCGACACTGCAAATCTCGATTTTTGGAAGTGTGTGATTTTAAAACAAAATGCGTAAAGTAATATGACGTCGCTCATATTTGGAGCTTTTCCACGTTTCAAGTTTGTTAATATCACCCACTTCCAATTTTGCAGTGCAATGTCCTTTAAAAAGGTATAATAGGTAATAATAATAATATAAAATATGTATATTTTTATTACTTACAACAATTTTTATAATATCTACCTATCCTTAGGACTACATTCTTCCTTGCGAGGACAACATAATCTATTTGCGTCCGTTCTGAGCACCCGGAAACTTATTTTATTCTTTAGAACATGGGCAGTGGCGGCGACCTTTGACATGAAAGCGACGGCGGCAACACAAAGTCTAGAAGCTGACTAAATTTTTACCTATTTTGGTGGGGTTGTCAATGTTGGCATTAGCACAGAAAAATAAAATTAAGTTAACACAACGTTTATCCACTTTTTAATAACTAGGTATCCACCATAGAATATTTTTTCTACTAATTTCCTAAGTACTCAGTCTAAATATCTTTTTCATAATTTTTGTTTTTCAATAATTTGTTGTGTGTAATTGAATGGTAAACTCTAAATCTTACTTAATAGCTGACATGGCATAAACACTTTTCAATTATGCTGCTCACATTTTAGTACCTAGGTATCACTCACTATCTATCATTTACCGATATTAACAATTCAATTCAATAGATGCAATACCTACTTAGTTATTAATTATCATCTCGCCCGACAGCTTTAAACGCTGTAGTGTTCGAATTCGAGCCAGTGTGAGAATGTATTTAAATACAAGAAACTCAGAGCATTCAATTTATACCTACCTACTGCTGAGACATCTTCAAGGTCATTTAATTTTATCCTCCTGTACCAACTCTACCAAAATAGGTAACAATTTTGTGTGCCTCTGTCCGGACTCTTTGTCGGCGAATGCGGCGCTCAAACAGTGTCAAATGCTGTGATACACTCGTTGCAAACCGCGGCCTCTTTGTCGGTAAATTATCAAATAAGTAGGTATATAATACACCGACCGACCAACAGTTTATTCGCAGAACGTCACATTTTCCCAATCAACCTTGAACCTTAATTCTTTAGCGATAAAGTTGAAAATCTGTTAAAGAAATTTGACCGATTGTAGTACCTTGATGTGCTGGCGTCTGTACCATAATATTGGCTGCCGTAGAAACTGTTACTAGACCTACTCGACTCGCAGTTAGTTTTAAATTTTGCTTAATAGAAGAATAATATAAACTTTGAAACATAAGTAGGTACTTACATAATGTTTATATAATTTTGTTGGCTATAATTTTAAGCACATACCAACCTACGAGTTCTAACGTTAGATCTGCACATTAGACATAAACAAGCATAATACATTATTATAGGTTAGTTGATACCTACAAGGTATAATCTTTGCTAGAAAGTTATTCTGGGTAAATTTTATCACATGGGATGATGGTAACAGATTTGTGAGTATTAACATGCTACCTACTTAATAAATTGTTGAAATATAATAAGTACTTACCTACCTAATCAATACAATACCTTTCAGGGTTCTTTCAGACGATCGGCACGTTTAGTGTTATGACGATACCAACGGTTTTGATACTGGGGAACGTTTCTCAAAATCGAGAATGAAACCAAATACCTACTTAATAACGTCCAAATCTCAGTTTGTCTTAACTGCAAGACGCAAGAGTCTTGCAGGCTTAAGTATTGTCTTGCTCAAGTCTTGCAGGCTTCAGTCTTGGTCTTGGTATTGCTAAAATATGGCGGTCTTGGTATTGGTCTTGGTCTCGCGAAAATGCAAGAACAAGACCAAGACTGCAAGACCAAGACCGATTTTGGGCAACACTACTTAAAAACGACCTCATTGCAGCAATAATCATAAGGAATCATAAAATAAACGGTAAAGTGTATATTATAGTTGAATTGTCAACGTTTAACGATATGGCAATTAACGTTTGGCCATGTCATAAATGTAAATTGTCACCTTAACTTTCGAAATAATATTTTCTATCTACTTATTCAGTTCTATGACATTTATGAAAAAAGGTATGCTTAGCTCCACTCTAAGCCAATCACTTACACTATCTTTAACAATAACAACCCAATAAATAACAAAAATTTTAGACGAACTTTTAAGAAATCTATCTGCAATTAATAAAATTTCAAAATTTAATTAAATTATTATATAAAACACAGAATGTAAACAAAGGACTTAATGACTAAAAGATATTCTATAAATTAATGCCAGATTCGGAGTTACCTAAAAGATTACTATTCTTAAAGAAGTGGTCGTTTTTATCATTCCTCGCAATTTTAAACACCATTTTACAGGCAGCTGCCAGATGTGGACCGGTGACACGCATCTAAAATATTAAAAAATAAGGCTGTTTGACGAGATATAATATATAATATACTAGCGGACCCAACAGACGTTGTCCTGCATTATATTTCAAGCGATTAGTATATAAAACAAAGTATGAAAGTATCGCCTGCAGCGCCATCTGCTGGGCTGATTTGTGAATCTTAACCATCCAGGGCGCCACACAAAAGCATACAAAAGAAATCATCAAATCCGTTTAAGGGGAGTTAAGTGATATACATGCTTAAATTATACGTAAACCAACTAAATAAAAAAGCAGTGTTAGCCTTCAGAGTGTGCCAAATGAGCGCGTGCGCAACTCTTATCCCTGAGGTCGCACGACCGTGCACCAATAGACTTTCTGTCTATGTGTGCATTTAACACTCAGTCGTATAGTGAAGGAAAACATGGTGAGGAACCCGACATATCTCAAATCCAAAAATCGTTGGACACGTGTCAGACAAAAGGCTGTTCACCTGCTCGTCACCTAGGTAGTTTTCCAATTACAGCACTAGAGCGCATTATGCGGCATAATATGCTCAACGTTGTTGAGCACGAATGTTCCAACTACAGCAACGCTTCGCACAATTGAGCACTTACAAAAGTAATGTTCTCGCGTGATACTCGCAATCAATACCAACTCAGTGACAGAAAATTTACAAGTGTTTTGACGTGACAACGTCTTATAATTCGATAAAGCCGGCTGCACGCACGAAAAAACATGACGCATGCGGCGTTACCTCGCTCTGAGGCGTTCCATTTAAGGCTTGAAGTGCAAGCGAGAGCTCGAAACGAGCGACAAAGAGGCACAATCGGCCTCCGCGTTCGGCAGTATAATTGTATTTATGCGTACAAATAAATGTAACTTGATCAATTCAATTGTGATTTCCATTTACCTCCTTCTCTATATCCATACAAAATATCTATCAAACAAATAAAATTAAAATTTTCTTTTGAAAAATGCAACCATTCCATCAGTTCTTACGACGTTGTCACGTTCAACTATCGTCAGTAAACCGACTTTAGAGACAACCGATTTTTTTCTTTAAGTTGGCATTGATCGAAATTTTGTTTATATATTATCGTTAGTAATATTCTTTATTGTTGAAAAATTTGTAAGGCTTTCATTTCGTCGTTTCTCATCCATGTTTTCGGGACAAACGAGTCTACGAGACGCCCAAAAAGGGCAGTCATCTGGACACTCATTTTAGTGGATTGCCGGCCTTTGATGGAGTATAAATAGTGCTTTAATTAAATAAATAATTTATTTTTTCATTCTTTCTAAATGTCTTTACGTGCCGTTAACATAATAGACTAGTGCTTTATAATAAACTATTAACGCTTTTAACGCTATTAAAAACACCGTCACTTACCGTGAGCATAGCTCTTGCGATAGCCACCAAAACTTCATCATCACTATCTATATGCGTATATAAAGACCTCAAGACCAGGTCTCTAAGACTTCCCGTTGGTGAAGAAATCTCTATCTTGTTCTGCAACGCTTGAAATAACACCCTTGTCCGATTTACATCACACTTTTGTGACAGTGCTTCTGACAGTTCCAAAAGCGTCATGCTGAAAAAAATTATAACTCCTAACTTCCCATACTCCTCCGAAACGGCTCGATTCTTATGAATATTGTTATGCATACTCAGAAAGTCTGAGAATCGGCTACTATATATCATTCAAACCACCCCTAAGTGATAAGGGGTGTCCTTCCCAAATTTTTATTTTTATTTTAAAGAAATTTTTTGTTTTTATTTTTTTATGATACAACATACAAAAATACATACAACCCTTAATTTTAAAATAAATGATTTGACTTTGACTTTTTATACATAACACGTGCCCCAAGCCTAAATAAATTATCCAATTCCAATAATATCACATACACACAGAACTAAAAATTTCCTTTTTAGAAGTCAGTTAAAAAGCGAAAATTATGTTTTGTCTATTCATTACAATTACCTGTAAAGATTGTCGTGTGATTTTTTAGGCATCTGTACCGCAATTTGCTTAACTCCAACATCGCCCAATGCCCCATCATACGACAACGACTTGGTACCGTATTGGGACTTTTTTATATCTGGACTCAGAGCTGAAAACATGTATACAAATAGACATACATATAAAAATGTAGAGAGGAGATAGAAGACTTTCCCATTCCGCATTCTTCTCAGATTTATTTTTGAGCTCACACTATTACACACAAATACAGGGCTCTTTTTATGCAAGCATGCATTGCTCCCAAAAAAAAATATTGAAATTAAAGCAAAAAAAAAGTAAATTTACCCAGGGTTACCACTTACAAAAAAAATGTATTTTTTTATATAAGTCAAAATTATTCAAAAACTTATGGACTTTAAAAGTGCCCAAAAAATACACGAAAAATAATTAACATTTCCAACATTATCTAAAAATAAAATGTTTACCTAAAAATATAAGATTCCAAAACAGTATTTCTATAACGTTACCTTGACCGAACTTACCTTTAGCGGTTAAAAAACCCGAAGCAAACGAACCGTCTCCAGAAGACTGTCCAATGGGTTTAGTTATTGAGATCGCGTGAGATAAGTCGCTCTCATCTATTGAAAATTAAAAAAAAAATATAATGCCATAATTATAAAAAAAAGCCAATGGAGCTACAACTTTATTGTTCTAGGCCTGAGACTTCTGAATTCATTTCGTGATAATTTATTTTTTTAATAGAAGAGAAGGTGATCACCAAACTTTTTCACTTTGTTTTTAGTTTTCCATTCACCCATTTTTAGTTATTATTATTACTGTGTATGTTATTTTTTGTTATTGAAAAGGTTGTTATTCAGGTTTCTTATATCTCTCTATTATTTAGGTTATTTGAGTATAAATTAATTTCTTCGGAAATTAAACAAATATGAATTGGATTTTTTGAAGTGAAACTTTTTTAGACGCATGAGGGTAAATTTTTTTAAAAAACGTCACGGAGATGTGCAGCGTTTTTGTCGTAAATAAGGGAGAGAGCGATTGAGACCGATCGAGAGAGAGAGTGAGAAGGGTGAATTATTATTACTGTGTATGTTATTTTTTGTTATTGAAAAGGTTGTTATACAGGTTTCTTATATCTCTCTATTCTTTAGGTTATTTGAGTATAAATTAGTTTCTTCGGAGATTAAACAAATATGAATTGGATTTTTTGAAGTGAAACTTTTTTAGACGCATGAGGGTAAATTTTTTAAAAAACGTCACGGAGATGTGCAGCGTTTTTGTCGTAAATAAGGGAGAGAGCGATTGAGACCGATCGAGAGAGAGAGTGAGAAGGGTGAATTACCTTATAGAAATTCTATTTTAAAAAATTACAATTTTGTAAAGAGAATTTATAAAATATTAGTAGGCATTTTATATTTTATGCAAAATAATTTATTGAAATCTCAAATTACGAATCGTAAATTAAAATGCCACGGGTTATTTTACTATCGAAGAAATCAATTAAAAAAATAATTTTATTATTTGTATTAATTTTCGACACTTTTAATATTTTAATGACAATTAAATTCATTAAATTACTAACATAATTATCTTCCCCCCTCTAAGTCTCGGAAAGTTTTAGATTACCCTTAAAGTTTTAGATTTGTATAAATATGAACAAGAGTTAAAAATAAGTCGGCCAAAGAAGTTTCACTTCTGACATGTGTACTTTGTACGTACACGCACTTTTTTTATTACCATTAAACTAAATTATACACGTAACCAACTGGATAAGCCAAAAAGAAGAAAAAGCAAGGGCCAATAGAGCGATGGGCTGTCGAGAGCGAAAGGGTAGCTGGAAAAAAATGGATGACGTCGGCAAAAAATAAACTAGCTGGAAAAATTGGATGACGTCGGCAAAAAATAAAGTAAGCTGGAAAAATTGGATGACGTCGGCAAAAAATAAAGTAGGCTGGAAAAATTGGATGACGTCGGCAAAAAATAAAGTAGGCTGGAAAAATTGGATGACGTCGGCAAAAAATAAAGTAGGCTGGAAAAATTGGATGACGTCGGCAAAAAATAAAGTAGGCTGGAAAAATTGGATGACGTCGGCAAAAAATAAAGTAGGCTGGAAAAATTGGATGACGTCGGCAAAAAATAAAGTAGGCTGGAAAAATTGGATGACGTCGGCAAAAAATAAAGTAGGCTGGAAAAATTGGATGACGTCGGCAAAAAATAAAGTAGGCTGGAAAAATTGGATGACGTCGGCAAAAAATAAAGTAGGCTGGAAAAATTGGATGACGTCGGCAAAAATAAAGTAGGCTGGAAAAATTGGATGACGTCGGCAAAAAATAAAGTAGGCTGGAAAAATTGGATGACGTCGGCAAAAAATAAAGTAGGCTGGAAAAATTGGATGACGTCGGCAAAAAATAAAGTAGGCTGGAAAAATTGGATGACGTCGGCAAAAAATAAAGTAGGCTGGAAAAATTGGATGACGTCGGCAAAAAATAAAGTAGGCTGGAAAAATTGGATGACGTCGGCAAAAAATAAAGTAGGCTGGAAAAATTGGATGACGTCGGCAAAAAAATAAAGTAAGTTGGAAAAATTGGATGACGTCGGCAAAAAATAAAGTAAGCTGGAAAAATTGGATGACGTCGGCAAAAAATAAAGTAGGCTGGAAAAATTGGATGACGTCGGCAAAAAATAAAGTAGGCTGGAAAAATTGGATGACGTCGGCAAAAAATAAAGTAAGCTGGAAAAATTGGATGACGTCGGCAAAAAATAAAGTAAGTTGGAAAAATTGGATGACGTCGGTAAAAAATAAAGTAAGCTGGAAAAATTGGATGATGTCGACAAAAAAAAAGTAGGCTGGAACAAGATAGAGGAGTCCTTCTCCCGGAAAGGGGCCGCATCTTGGATTAGTAAAATTCGATCTATATCTATGCTTGTATAATGTATGTCAATTAGATGTGGATGAAAAGGCATCTTATTATTATAAACTGTATTATAAGAAAACTTACTATCAATGCTATTAGCAGTAGTGTTACGCCGATGTAGTGGTTTGCTCTTACCACTCAAGTGTGGTAGCTTTGGGAAACCACTCCATTCGTTACTTGATTTTTCTGGCGGCGACACTTTACTGCGATTCTGTAACATTGGATCTTAAATGGAAAGGGTTGATTTTGAACTACAGTGGTTTGAGTTCAAAATCGACCTTTTCATTACTTTAATATGTATTATTCATTTCCTTTGATCCCTTATATTTTATTACCTTATGAGATGAAGCCACAAAATAAATAAGTTAAGTGCATGTTCTATCAATTTCAAAGTCAACAATAAATTATAATAAAAAAGAAAATTCAGATTGATTTATTTGAAAAAAAAACCGCAATTAGCCATATAAAAATAGGCATGCAAATGTCATATTAATTATCAAAATGAATAACAATAATAAGAATAGTTATATATCATTCTTGTCAAAACATAAGGTCTAAATACTCTCCAACGCTATAAAAACACCTTGCCTTTAAAATTTTATCACCTTCCCCATGAAAGCATTACACGGCAGTGATCTCTAACATCTAGGAAGGTGATGAAATAGTTTGATAGCATAGCTATATCACCGATACGGATATTGGGAGCACTACACCGAAGTTACATATAGAACAGTATCGTTATTTAATATTTCAGAGTACCCGTGCAGCATTTTCCGTTATTATACCGGAATTTCAGTTTCCACTCTAATACCCATGTGACACTTACCTATATATATGACACTTACCAAGGCTTTTCTATTCTTAGCACTGTTCCTTTCACCAATAATTGTAAGATCGTCCTCATCCAGTCCGGCAATACGAGCTCCCGATGTAACTAACGCCTCCTCTTCGGTTAGGGGCAGATACTTGAGACTGCAATTGTGGAAGTAAAATTTCGTTATCATCGTGTATTACAGACTCGCCTTTATCTACTAATAGCCAAGAAATTTAGTTGGAATAAGGCGCCTTTTAGTTCTGGGCCTCAGATTGCTGTATCTCTTTGGTGATCATTTGTTATTTTCGTAGACATCAGCCATCTGTGCCAAGTCTTACTTCCAACCAATTAAAATTATCATTACTAAATTTGATAATGCAATTTTTAGTTTCTGAATGTATGGCTAAGCTATTTGTTAAGAAACAAAGTACTTTTAAGCCTCAACTACGAAACATATATTAATTTCAAATATCATTTCTTATTACCTCTCCGTGCCTGCCTAACTTAACGCTGGCCGTGAAATATGGAAACAAATGCATGCTAGGCGATGTCGTAGTACTGTATATACTTAGAAACAGAAAAAATGGGTCTTACTCAAAAGAGCTAGGAGGCCTGGCATCCTTCTTCTTGGATCGTTCATTGAACAGCGTACGCTGTGGTTCGCGGGGCGTAAAGGGTCGTCGCGTGCGTAGTGGTCGAACCGCCCCAAGACTGGAACCGCTGGACGGACTCGTCATTTCTGAAAATTTTGTGCATTTCTCTAAAAAAGATTACACACAAAAAAGTTTAGATTTAGAAGTAATCCTTGAGGTAATCATTTTCATGGAACGGTATACGAGGTAGCAAAGACAAGGTCACTGGGTACCTACCATAGATGTATTAATATGTTTCTTAGCGACCTGGAACAACACATATAAAGGTAACTGAAGAAACTGCCGATCACAACTGGAATTTTTATGTCACTGCAACAAAAGCTTAAGAATAGGACTCGCGAGACTGCGGCATCCACTCTCCTATGAATATTGGAAGTATTATTGGAGAAGTGGCTGCGCCAGTCCTTGCGCCAGTTTTATAAGAAGAGAAATTAGATAACTATCCAAATAAATTAAACATATCAAACCACTAGCGTCGGCGAGATTAGCAATACATGTTTTTTAACATCGCGTTTTGAAGGAATGTGTAAATTGATTACATCGTCCCCAGAAGGCCTAGGGGAGTCTTGGAGACAAAAAATTCTATACCTTTGCTTTTTAAAAGATTTTACAATTTCACAGGTACAAAGTATTACTAGCCTTTAGGCTCCTAGGCAACGAAAAGCAAGCAATGTCACCATAGGTACTATGAATAAATGTACATTGTACACATTGCGATATAGAATAGTCGTTTCTTATAGTGTCTCCAATATTCTAAAAGCCTACGAATTTTATTTGCTAAGCGGAGTATTTCTAGGCTCTGAAATACCTTAACATGATAGAGTAAGTAATGTAAACCAAAAACGATATTAAAATATCTAATCTTTATATATATAATTCTTCTGTGAGTGTGTATGTCACTGAACTTCTCTCAAACGACTGGACCGATTTTGATGAAATTTTTTGTGTGTGTTCAAGGGGATCTGGGAATGGTTTAGATTCACAAATCAGCCCGGCAGATGGCACTGCAGTCGGTACTTTCATGCTTTGCTTAATATCCTAATCGCTTTAAATATCATGCAGGACAACGTCTGTGGGGTCCACTAGTATCTAATAATTCTCCAACAAAGAAATCAATGATTGCGAGGGCTGTATCGTAAGTACCTGGACCAATTAGACCAAATGTCGTACAAATACGGGACAATTTAAAAGTACCCATAACCGACGAGCATGTATGGTGAATGTCATGAAAGTGGAAGAAGAGAGAGAGGTATGTCAGGACCGTAGCAAGATCTGTGGTCTCTGTTTACCCCTTCGGACAAAAAGGTGTCATGATATAAATAAAATATACTAAAAGGTTAAAAGGGCTTATTCCTTGACTTCATTATTTTATTTACCTCTCGGAAATTTGGCATATACACGTACTGATCAATGTGTGGGGTCAAACATTTTTGATTCGAATGTGGAATATTTTGATAAAAGTTCATAGGTTTAATTCGAAGTGCAAATGTCTATAGCTAAGCACACAACCATAAATCACATGTCCCAGTTCAGGCAGGTTATTATAGGTCATCGTCCTTTGTGTGGCATATGTATTAAGTAATTGACAATTTAGAAAGCTAAATTATTCACTGTTAATTCAATACGACCCAGATTTCTTTTAAATTGTTTGATATTGGTTTTACTGAATATTTTTTGTTATTTCAACTTGAATGATCCGAAAATTTGACCCTTTATTTTCAAAAATATATTGGTTCGATTTGGACGGATTGTCGTTTTTAATTCAGGGAAGGTATTTTTTTGAAGTGAAACATCTTTAGGCGCATGATGGTAGATGTTTTATGAATAACACGCAACAATAATATCTAATATTAGCTTCACGGAGATGTGCAGCGTTTTTGTCGAAGAAAAGAGAGCGATTGAGACCGATTGAGAGAGAGTGAGAAGGGAGAATTACTTTATAGAAATTCTATTTTTAAAATTAAAATTTCGTAAAAAGAATTTATAAGTATTTTATATATTATGCAAAATAATTTACCTATTGAAATCTCAAACGACGAATTGTAAATTAAAATTAAATTTATAATTTGGATTAATTTTGACACTTAATATTTTACTTAAAAGTGTCAAAAATAATTTATTTTACTCCCTCTAAGTCTCGGAAAGTTATTTATTGAAAATATTTCGAATATTTGCGTCACCGTGTAGCGTGACTTGTCCACCTTTAGTTGAAAATTGCATGTGAAAATGTGTTATTTCGTGGGAAGAAAGGTAACGCGGTGATTGTGAAAAATGACAAAGGGACATGAAGGGGACCAAGGGTTATTAGCAATAATATAAGGTGAAAAACACCTCACCACAAAAACAAAAAAGTAGACGCTGTACGTTACTAAACCAAATGTTTAATACATAATATAATAAAGCAATGTATATTATTCAATAATAGTATGGTACAAGCTTATAGCGTTTATCATAACCAAAGCCAAATATACCTACTATAAGCTGCATATGAAGTCTGCAATTGATATATTATATAACAATATTGTTATTTCTCTTAGTGAGGCAGCCGTGACTAGTCGGAAATACCCTAATAAAAATAAAATTAATGATAGAAATCAAAATATTATAGGTTGGAACAAACATGTGAAGCCGGCGCACTCGGAAGCGAGGCTGAGGTTTAGGATTTGGGTACTTCATGGGAAACCAGAATCAGGGAGGGTTTATAATGACATGTGTGAAAGCAGAAAAATATTTAAATCGCGATTAAAATGGTGTCAAAACCATCAAGATTTAATAAAAATGGAAAAACTAGCCACTTGTCATGATAAAAAAGATTTCGTTTCGTTTTGGAAAGAAACAAAGAGGCTGACGCCGAGGCCGGGACTCCCAGTCAGCGTCGGAGGGTTAAGTGACTCGAAAGAAATTGCTGATTTTTTCCGAGACAACTTCTATATATCATCCTCGCTGAGACCGTCGCGAAACGAACTCAGTGCTGTGCCCATTGGTGATAGGGTTAATACTCAATTTAGCGCCAAACATGTAAGAAGCGTTATAAGTTCTATGTCAAGAGGAAAGTCCCCTGGTCATGATGGGTTAAGCATCGAGCATATACGGTACGCTGGTTCTCATATATATAGGTTATTAGCCATGCTATACTCGTTGTGTATAAGTCATTCATATCTACCCTATGATCTTATGCGAACATTAGTTATACCGGTTGTAAAAAACAAGACAGGAGATTTGGCGGATGGTTCAAACTACAGGCCTATATCACTGGCGACTATTATGGCTAGGGTGTTGGACGGTTTGCTTAATACTCAGTTAAATAAATATCTACGTTTGCACGATAACCAGTTTGGGTTTCGACCCAAGCTGTCTACAGATGGTGCTATACTGAGTCTTAAGCACACCGTTTCATACTATCTGCGTCGGAGGACGGCGGTATATGCCTGTTTCCTTGATCTTTCCAAGGCATTTGATTTGGTTTGCTACGATCTACTTTGGAAGAAGCTAGAGGATATAAGTGTTCCTCAAGAACTTCTGAACGTATTTAAGTTTTGGTATGGTAACCAAATCAATAATGTTAAATGGATGGGTGCCTTGTCTAAGCCCTATACGATGCAGTGTGGAGTAAGACAAGGTGGACTGAGTTCTCCATCTCTCTTTAATTTATATATAAACGCTTTGATTGAGACGCTTAGCAGCGAGCGTGTCGGCTGTCACGTGGACGGTGTGTGCGTTAACAATATCAGCTACGCAGATGATATGGTGCTGCTGAGTACGTCGGTCTGCGGGGTTAGACGTCTCCTTAAGCTCTGTGAGGTATATGCGGCTAGTCATGGTTTGAAATATAATGTAAATAAAAGTGAAGTCATGGTCTTTGGGGCCGGTTGGAAGGGTGTGTCCAGTATACCCCCCATGTCGCTATATGGGGTCCCTTTAAAAATTGTAAAAACATTTAAAATATCTTGGACACATTTTGACACCCGACCTCAGGGACGATGCTGATATAGATAGGGAACGGAGAGCGTTGTGTGTCAGGGCGAACATGATCGCCCGCAGGTTTGCACGATGCTCAATTGATGTGAAAGTAACCTTGTTTAGAGCATTCTGCACATCATTCTATACGAGCGCCTTATGGTCGAAATATACTCGATTGTCATACAACGCTTTCCGTATCCAATATAATAATGCGTTCAGGGTGCTGTTGTGGCTGCCTCGATTCTGCAGCGCATCGGGGATGTTTGCTGAGGCGCGGGTGGATTGTTTTTACGCCACCATACGCAAGAGATGTGCATCCTTGGTGCGCAGGGTGAGAGCTAGCGGTAACGGTATCCTCCGCATTATCGCGGACCGAGTCGATTGCCCATACCTGAATCACTGTTCCTCTATTTCATGCGGAATGATTCCGGTATGAATTAATGTAAACATACTAACACTTAGATTTAAGGTATTAAGCTGTAATTTACTAACATTGTTATGGAACCTTGTTTTCTGAATTAAACAATTAAAAAAAAAAAACCATAGGAGGCATGGAGCGAATACATTTCTACATCCTTTATTGATTCGTATTCATAGGAAAGTCGTTTTATAAAATATAAATGATTCATCAACCCACTTCTATCGAAGCATATCACCGTACTGGCAAGTTTCCGCACGTAGAAAGGAAAGTCAATCGGTCAACCCAGGGTTTAAATACACATTAAGCACGCGTAACACCATTCAACTGAAGTGAAGTTAAAACTGAATAAGAAGTCCCTAGAATACTGTACCTCCTCTAATCGCGGCGCGTGCTTCGCTGATAATCTCCGCAGACGTGCGACGAGGTGCTGCGTAAAACGGTGCCGCCATACCTCGCCTATGATCGCTCATTGTTCTAAAGCAAACAATGTTAACATAAATATTTAGGGTTGAAGCTATATTGAAGTTGAATTGTGGCACAATTCGCCTTTTTAAACGAAAAAGAGTTTCCAAAATCGTAACTTTATCTTATACCAAAATTGCGTTTCAATCATTAATAGACAGTAGAATTAATAAAGTTTTCTTTTATAAGTAAGATCAAAAGGTACATACATAATGTGGGAATTTGATAAGATCGAAAACGAAAACGGCGAAATGCCATACCACTGTTAGCTAAGGCCCAAGGTATTATTAATACCAATAAAGAACGGTTTATAAGTGTCAACAAACGAATATAACGTCTAAAAGCGTCTGATATCAAAGTTATTTACCTATATTAAAATATCAACCTATAATTCACCTGAATCTAATCTAACTCCATCCAAGTTAGATAAACAAGCTTGATTAAAAAGTTACTAAAACTAGGAAAATATGAGTTATAGCGGGCGGTTCGTTTAACGTTCAGCGCGATACTGATTAGGGGTTTCAGCTTTCGCCTTTCAGTCTATATTAGAAAATGATAATGGTGCCTTTATACAGTAAAGTAATTACGCATAATACGACCTTTCTTTTAACATATACACTGTATTATATGTAATACCTTTAAAATGTATTTATTTCCAGATAATTTTCACATTTATAAAAATTGCCAACAGTTATAACAAGGCGAAATAAAATAATTATCTATATATTAGAAACTCATAAAATCCAGTAAAAGCCAGTCTTGTTAAGTCAGCAGGCATATAAAGTTTTTCTGTCTAATATGCATTTTTGTTTGGTGCCTGATTTAACAAAAACTATGCTTAGCAGCAAATCTATATTATATTAACTTATGTTAATATATATGTCATTCCAAGAAGCTAGTATATAATTAATTTGAGGGTATTGCTCTCAAGACTGATAACAACATTATTTTTCGGCTTCCTTTTTGCTTATTCATTGAAGATGCGCCTTAACAAAAATTTGGTTATTACAGAACACGAGAATTCAATGAAACAATGATACATTTTTTCAAATACTTTTCATAGTACAGGCCAAGAACTCATCCAGTTGCTTTAACGATGACAAAGCAGTTATGTCTATGAAAAGAAGCTTTAATTTAAATGACGCTTTGCACGAATATAAGCCCGACGTGGAGTAGGTGTTAAGATAAGGATTGAATCGATTTTATAACGGGCGTACTAACTAGCTGGTTGTCTTGGATACTATTTTCAAACATCGTATGGCAAAACGAAATAGCGATGCGGCATACATAAGGAATATGATATCACCCTTTCGAACAGATGACCTTTGCGTACCCACAACTAATTAAATTTAGTTAAAATATTTGAATCTGTACTTTTAATAATTAGTATATTCATACAATATCAATTACATCGGGTAAATTTTACGTAAATAATAAGTTCGCGATCAGAGAAGACTAATAGAACGGACTAAATTTTTGTCTGTTTGTTACCTATGAAACAATAGCTTTAATCTTCATAAGTACTAAACGGATTTTTGATGGTTTTGAAAATCTTGAATGATAACGATTTCCCTTTAACCAATAACCAACAATACTACTTATTATTAGTGGACTTAAAGAAGTTATAAAATTAAATACAAACAAAACAACATTCGAAGAAATCAACTAAAAACAAAATACATCTAAGCCCTAACACACGCAACCTCAGAAGTAGCAGGTAGCAACCGCTAGACACAGATATCTGTAATGCAAAGGGATAAGGGCTTCTAGATGACGGGGGAGTCGAGTTAAAGAACTTTGGGGATCTTGTGTTACGTTCTAAGTTTACAAGTCGGCCAAGAAGGATACATTTTTATATCGGCTTCTGAGCGGTTAATTCGTCGGTCGCTACAGTACTGCTCAATTAATTTTGTATACGTGTCAGCTATCATCTATAATCTAGCAACAATTTTTCAGATATTTTCCTCAGAATCATTTTAATCCAATTTAAATTTGAACTACATTTAGGCTATCGCAAAATTATGTTTTGAAGTACCTAATGTTCCATAATTTGTTTAATAAAATATTACCAACCTATGTCTTTATTTGAAGGTACCATCGTCAAAAGTAAAACATCAATTATAATATCACAGCTATGTTATTATATATTTTGATTTTAAAATTATTGTTAATTTGAAATTTACCAACAACACGAAAATAGTCTGTAAGTTGGTTAATGATCGCAGACTAGTGAAAACTAAAATGATCATAGATCTCTGTTTGCTCTATACTACCTCATTATGGACTCAGTCTGTGTCTCCATTATGTACAAGTAAACAGGAATATATTTTTTTTAGTCTGTGACAGATATTCAAACTTATTTATATATAAACATAACCTTAATATAGCTTAAAGTTCTGTTGACAGTTGGATACGTAAATTATAAATATACGGTTCATATTTTCAATTACATATGAATGTTATATAAAAACGAAATAAATCATGGACGAATTAATATTGTATCATCATAGAAATAATACTCTAAGTACTTTATGTAGACTATGTCTCGATCAAGCTGGGACAACCGATATTTTTCAGGATTGTACTTTACCAGACAAGATTTCTGCTATAACAGGTATAAAAGTAAGTCCTTCATCATAGATAAGTTCTTCTGTATCATGCAATTATTGTCTTGGCGAAAGCCAAATTTTTTCCTTCCTCACTCCTTTCCTACTAATATTAATTTTTTATGTCTTTCTGAATATAGCTCTATTCATTCTTGTCATCTGAAACTGCAACCACAATAATTTGGTTCAGACTAATTATAATTGAAATCGGATAACTAATTCTGATTCTTCTGATTTCAGCTTGATATTTTAACTCCATTTCCGAAAAAGTTATGTGATAATTGTCATGGAATAATTCAATTAACAAGCGAGTTTCGGGAGTCAATTATTATTAATGACAAACAGCTGCAGGATTTTGCTAAACTTTATTTCACTTCGGAAATTGTAAGTTGAAGTCTTGTGTGTTTGAAATGGTTTCAGATCTATTTTTTTTGTCATATTACCACACTGCGTAAAATAATGTAAACATGAATAAATATGAAGGTACAGTAAAGTTAATTACTTGTAACACGTTATGTGTAGATATTCTTTGATATTAACATTATATTTGGTTAAAAATTATATGGGATAAATTGATACCATGTTTCACAATTAAGTATTCAATAATTTTGTTAAGTATTATTATTTTTATTATTATAGTTGCCTTCCTCTAATGAAGCTGTACCAGAAGAGACAAGAGCCACAGAGCAGGTGATTTGCAACACAACACAGCTCCAAGAAAGCCATGTTCAACCAATAATCAGAGTTAGAAATGATTTGTATTCAAATAAAGTAATCAATGTAAGTGTTTCTTAACAGATGTTTATATAGTGATATTATTTAGTATGTGTTATGTCTAGAAATGTAGAATAGCAGAAACTTAGTAATCAGAATATTATATCTTAGATGTAGTTTTAAATATAAATTAATAAAATAACAATAATAGGAGAAAGATTATCTTCAAAAGTTTAAAGAATTGTGTATGTTAGTTACACTTTATGATATATTAAATACTTGTTATTGCATATTTTAGTAGACTTTCTGTTTTTTATCTGCTTTATTGTATAAGTCTCTTGAGAGACTGTTTGATCTTGCCATGCCATTTGAATATAACAAAAGCATTTAACATAGATTGGCACCAAATAAAATGAATATTGTAATAAGTAACTGTTTCAAAAAAATTGTGTCGTTTTTTAGACAGATTCTCGTCAAACAACTAATGACATGGATGATTTGATTTCTTTAGAAAAACAAAAGAAACAATCACGTCCAGAACGTCAAAACTGTGATCCCTTAAATGTCAGTATTTGTGTGTATTCAACAAAATTTTCAGTTTGTGTGTGTGCTGTGTGACACAAACAAAGTGTTTTGGATTAATTGGGAAAGCAAATTGTTGTTTTTCTCTAACTGGTAAAAGTATCTGTGATGTTACTTAAATGGGCAAGATTAAGCATTATTGTTTCCACAAGTGAGCATTTTTACAGCACTTTTTACCTATACTATATAGAACCAGCTGACCATTTAAATATTCCGACCCTATTTGATTTCGGGATCATCAAGTAAAGAGAGGACCTTATTTTAAAAGGCCAAATGTAAATGTTGATAGGTATTTAAGACTACCTGTAAAATAAAAAGTCACCTTAATATTAAGCAATTTAAAGAACTGACTATATCAGAGTATTAAATAAAGGAATATATAATAATAGGTATCATTAATAAAACCTGAATTTCATTAACAGTCGTATGGTTTACCTAAATAAAAATATAATTAGTTTTCTAAATGTTTGATATTTGTAGACATATGAATCAATATCAGCACCAATGGAGACAATAATAATAGACGATGAGGATGTAGCTGGACAAAGCAGTGATAGTTCAGAAATAGACGGAATAACAAATAATTTGTATATTGATGAAACGGCAAATGTAAGTATCTTTAACCAAAAACAGACGTACAAAATATTATCTTTGGTTTACAATAGTTTTACTACACATTAAATACAACTGATACGCATTACCAAAGTTATTCCGTCCTCTCAGGATAATTATATAAAACTTCTTTACCTTAGCCACTGGCCTTCAGGTCAGTCAATGGTTAAACTATTCGAGGATCCTCCCTTTAATTTGGAGGAAGAGCAGCGCCTTCCTTTCTCCACAGATTATATGCGTTTCTTGACCATTATTTTGTTGTGGTGCTATTTTAAAACTATATCTCCAAAGATTGTGTTATTAATGAGGATTAATATCATGTTTTGATAATATTGAATTATTCAAGAACAAATTTAATAAAAGTGCTAATGCTGTAATCTCATTGACTGTTTCCCCAACAATTATATTTAACTATTCCTTTCAGTTATGTGATCAAGACAATGTGGATGAGAGTGCGAGAAAACGAAGTGAAAATGATACATTAGCAATGAATTCAGCTCTTCAAACGGATGAGAAGTCTAGAGTAAGTTCATAATTTTTATATAATAAATTATGCGTATTACGTTGTAGTTCGTCGCGTGTCATTTCAATTTTAAAATATAACTACAAATTATTTTAAACCATTTTATGCAGGAAAACTTTAATTTCCATCCTCTGGTATACATATATACTATATACAGTGTAAACTCTTTATAACTAATTTCAAGGGACCCAGCAATTTATTCGTTATAGAGAGCTTTCGTTATAGGGAGAGAAGAATTAATGCATGGGTATTGGGTTAAATCAAATAAATTTACTGATTTTTACGTTATAGTGTTTTTCGTTATAACGAATGATGTTATAAAGAGTTAACACACTATACTATAATATATATATATTTAACGGGTTATTTTTAAAAGCGTAAAAAATTGTCTCAAATATTTAGAACCACGATGTTAAACATAGATGCATTTAATAGAAATCTACGCTAAATAAAATAAAATTGAAAACAAGAATCCTTTGTTTTAGGAGATTATAAAGATTTGCTTAATATTTGTAGATTTCAACGGAATCAATTGATACAATAATATTAGAGAATGACGATTCACCCCAACAAAGAAATGTCTGCCAAGTTCTACCGATGGAAAGAGTTGGAAATGATTTGTGTATAGATGTAAGTGTTATGTTACGACGAGGAATTGATATATTTGTTTGTCGGTTACGAATCAACATAAAAACTACTAGACTATTATTTATTCATAAAAAATTGAAATATTTGTTCGATAGTGCTTCCTTATAAATAAAAAGGTAATGATAGTGATGATAGTTCGTAATGGGACAAAGCTACATAAGGCTCGGTGGGGTTTTGGTAGCACAATAGCTAGTCCCACATAACGGTGGGTACGAGGGCACCAGTCGCGTCGTGGGATGTTGCATTTACCCACGATAAAAAAATTGAATATCTAAAGGGTGCAAATCAATCGAGAATTATGCTTTCCTTTGAATGCAAATGTTATGCAAAAGATAACAATATCTTGGTGCTGGGGTCAAGCCAAGGGTGGATCTGGCGTTCGCGTCACGGGGTCACAGTAAAAAATTAAAGTTTTTAACAATAAGACGATATCTAGACTATAATGTGTATTTTGCTTCCAATATGTAATACCGAAGTGCTGTAGTCTAGTCACCCAAAACACTGGGGCTTCCTAGTTTGGGGACTGGCGTTAGAACAATTTTGTCACAACCTTTTGAAGTTATACTTCTTTAGGCGCGTTATGAAAAATGTATGAGAGTGAAATTTTACGATGCGCGCGCACTGTGACACAAAATTAACAGAATGAAGTTGCCCACGGAAGATGCTATGGCATTGGACATAATTCAAAAACAACATTCGAATAATAATAGAATTTATGTTACACTTAATGTAAGAGAATAATAATAAATATTTATTTATTTAATCTTAAAATGTAAACTGAACTTTATTGACTATAATGACTCCTTTTCCAGTCTTTCATCGCTTGCATTCGCTCGGTCAGTAAACCTTGTTCGGTATTTTGCCCATAACTTTGTCAGTTTTGGTCGTAGAACAAAAACTTTTGCACTTTATGTTTTAATTTCTGAAGGCCTATAAAACTGCATTTATAACATGAAACTATTACGGGTCCCCATTGTAATTAATTATTTGCATGCAATCCAAAACTATTTTTAATAATGCCTAAGAAGTATAACTTTTTACGCGCGTTCATAAGTGCACCCTTTTTGTTTTGGTTTATAATACAGTTTATTATTATTTTATCTGTAAATATTCACTGGCTTAATAGTATCATATAAATTTTCTGCCGACGGCTTAATCGCGCGAGTTCGATTATCAACCGCTTAAGGATAACAGAAAATTTATCAGTATTATTTATTTATTTACAATAAACACAATCCTGTCCTAACAGGTGACCCTAACAAGAATTTAACCAAAAAAAAAATTCACACGAAACAAAAACAAACAAAGAAATTCATTAGAAAAAAACAAGCTAAAGAATTCTTCTTTATAGATATATAAAGATTCACTATAAAACGAAATATCTATAACAATAAGAAATTTCAGGATTCTCGTGCAAATATTGAAAATGACCCGAAACTAATACAAGATTTAAATAAAAATGGACAAAATCGAAGCTGTTCAAATCATGATAATTGGGAAGTAATTATTACATATGTAAGTATGCAATGAGTTAAAATAATTTCTCTCATAATATGCTTATAATAATATAAGGGACCTATTAATATAAGTACTATTTTAATAAAACTTTCCTGCCCCGGTCAAATTGTATGAACGCTACTACTCAAAAACTATTAAATAGATTTATGTACGGTTTTGACCAATAATTAATTATGATTTTTTGACATTTGATGATACAGAGATTTTTAAATAATTTTAAAAATAGCTTTTATCTTTAGTTACATTAAGTTTATCCGAAAGAGGAAGGCCCGCACCAAATTCTTCAAATTCGTCAAAAAGCTTCTTATCCCTAAGAAGCGTTCAAGTATTACGTCACGCAATTTTTGGAGATTATTGACCCCCTCCCCCCTCATGTAACGCGCCGTAACGTTTTTCTGTACCCAAGTGTACTACCTAGTGACTCTTTATACCTAAAAGTTACCAAGATGTGGTGTAAAGTACTGGAAAGTCGAAAATAATATTAACAATAACGCGTAATTCAATCCGCGCCCCGCATCGTAACGTTTTATAAAAGGACCCACCCCCCACACAATTCGTTACGTAATACTTGAACGCTCCTTACTTGGAATGAGCACAGTTGGCAGAAAGGGACAGGACGTCCACCAGAAACATGGGAAGATAAATAGTGGTTATTATTTATCAAAAAAATGTTGCTAAAGACAAAGCTGTGAGCAAAACTCGAATAATAACAAGAGACAAATTCACAAAATATTTACAAAACGAGAAATATTCACCTGGTGAAGTAAAGAGCTTTTAAACGTCCCAGGCGATATGCAGCTTACATACCAATTAAAAAAAAACATAATGTGTTCGTTTAGAAATGGTCACGTGATATTATTGCAAAGTATTTTTGTCTAAAAGATCTTCGCTTCTAGGAATCTCTTGCAGAGGATATGGAAAATACGTCAAATACATCCAAAAATTATGATTGTATTAAAAAATCTAATAAGCATAAAAAGTCACCATCCAGACATAATGTAGAAATTAAAAAGGTATGTATTCAAATAACTAAAACAGTTTCACTACTAAGAACAGGAATAGCTAATTAAAAAAAAATCTTATTCCATAAACTTGGGAACCCTGACAAAGGTTATTTTTTACTTTAAAAAAAAAAAATTACAATATGTTACATTAGAAAACCGCTGTGGTTTGTATAAAGGTAACCATAGCAGAAGAGTTCCCAAATCTTACACATTATAAAGCATTGTTTATAATGAATAAACACACTTTTTAATTTAATTACAATATATATTTTTGTAACAAAAGTCAAAAACAATGTGACCGATTTACAAAAAAATATTTCCCCAGCAGTGCGTTAGACTGTATCTGAATTAAATATTTTGTATGTGTTTGTAACTAGGGAGAGGCCGCTAGAATATTTAATATATACTAAAGAAATGTTTTTTTAGGAAATTGCCAAAGACCAGGAGGATATTAAGTCTTCAAAGAGAATAAAATTTGAGGACGGTTTTGAATATAATTGTGACGTAAGTTTTTTTAAACTTCTTGTAACATTTTATGCAATTACTAATTAACTAAGCCAGTATCCTATTTTACTACTAAAAATAAATTAATTAAAATGTGTCTAAACGTCCATGCACTATTCATAGCGCTATCATAGGCTTTCATTCCCCAGGAGACACGATAATAAGGACAAAACGTTTATTAACTAATTATAATACGCTAATATTTGGACTACTAAAATTGATTTAATCGTCAACTGACTTTAAATAGACCACATTTTGACCTATTTAAAATCGTTGCAATAAAAATTCCCAGACTATTAGGGTAACATAACACACAGAAACAAGACATCGCAAACTCCTGTGTGTCAAAATTCAATACATTTTCGACATACGATATTCTTAGGCTAAATCTCTGTCAGATCTTCAGATAATTTAAACTGATAAGACGAAGCAATTTTTAAATTTTTAAATAGAGTATATTGCGGCAATGCCTAATTGGCGTCATTTCTCTCGCTGAAAACGATTGTCAAAACATGTTCTAAATGTCGAGTCTTATATATCTATTAAATAATGGGTATTCTTTATTTGTTTTGTAAACTCTGATTTTTCATTCCGTAGAATTCTGACATTCCATAAGTGTTGCTACTAAATAAATTCTCCACCGAAAAAGGGACAAATTTGACCTATTTGATGGCAATAAAAAATAAAAATGCTACCTATATTTTATGTTTTACCTACATAAAGGTAAATCTAAATATTAATTTACTCGTATGACCAAATACAAAAATAACAAATATTTCAATATCACGAACAATATATCAAATTAATTTTAATTACTTTATTTTATTCTTTAGCTGGCATCACTGCCTACTAATTCCAGGTTTAGTAAACCTTTTTAAAAACATAAAATGTCATCTTTACTTGTGCATTTTTTACCGTTTGTGATATATACGATTAGATTTAGAATAATTTACGATGAAATTAGTTATTGCATAGAAATGAAATGTATAGGACTGGTTTTGTTCGATATTATAAAACGTGGACTAGAGATACTGTAAAATAAATCGTAACCACGGTAACAAACACGTTTTATAATACGCTCAAAAAAGTTATATTAAATACTAACCTAACTTAACATTTGCAGCAGTGTTCAAAATTTTTTATGTCGAAGAAAAAACTGTACTGCCATAAGAGGGTTCATAATAAAAAGTATGAATGCTTAATAGCAGGTTGTAAAAAAATCTTCGCAACGAAAGGAGATCTTCAAAAACATACACGCACTCACACTGGCGAGAGACCGTACGAATGTGATATATGTGAGAAGAAATTCAGACAGAAAATATTATTGAGATATCATAAAGGCTCAATTCATGGTATTAAAATAAAGAAGACCGACGAAGAAATTGCTGATAAAATTTGATGAATTGCCTGGAGTTGTGCTGGGAATAACGGATATGTTTTAAATGTGTTAAAAATCACAAAGAAGTAACGGTCGACGGAACCACACGTAATTTAAGAAGAAACTCTTAAGGCTGAATGTATTTTAAATAATTGTTCGTTTAATCTAGTACCTCGTACTTTGGTTTGTTTGATATTATCAAAAATTTACTTGATCTTTTTTTTACTGAAATTATGAATTGTAGATACATGTATTGTTTTCCGTAATTTAAGTTTTAACCCTTTATGTAAATTTTGAGAAGTTAATAAAAACATGTTTTAACTTACTAATTTGAATAAATTTCATTAGACTTTAAGTGATAACTGCCGTCCATACTCTACTATACTAGCCTCACGAAGTGATTAATACAAATGTGCAGCCGTCGTGAATAGGAGACCCCATTTTCCTCGCCCTCCTGTTATAATAAAAAAATACAAATAAAATGAAGTTATCATTTTTGGTTGTAAATAGTCTATAGTATTGACTATATAATATCATATAGTCTATTTTAGAGCACTGTGAAACAAGGCAAGTTCATTAATAAATTAGGAACATTTTTTTTTTATGGCTCTGGCACGATTTGTGCATTAGCCAGCGTCAAGTATAGGATTTTTTATAATTCGTGCTTGTCTTAGAAATTCGACAGTGTCCTCTCTATGGACGGTTTCAGCACTCGCCCGGTACCGCACAACCCTCCCAAAGGCCGAGAACAAATTTAAATTAAAACTTGCCCTCGAACCGGGAATCGAACCCGGTACCCCTCAATTAGGAACATTCATTATTCCATTCAAAATGTCAGTTTTTCTGTCATTGACATTTGACACATTCGGGCAATATGCTTTTCTCATACTATAAGTTACAAAAACGTCTGAATTTATGCATTATTTTTAAAAGTGCAGTTAGTAAAGAGAAATTAAACAACTTTATTCTTATTATTTATTATCCTAAACATATATCACAAAGATTAATAAAATATTTATCTACGTCTACGTAATAAGGATTACACATCGATGTTAAACTTATTGCTCTTTACAATATATAAATATAGTTGATAAACTTATACAAATTTAAAAAGTAGTTATAAGCGCCAAATTTGACACAATTTCCTAATCACAACATACATGATATTATTAAGAAGCTGACAAACAGGAATATTTATCAATTTAAAAACTATTATAATCTATATTGAGTAACAAAAAAATAGATTTAAAATTAGACGTAATAACTCTTAATATTTTGGTGGATTTATATGCGTCTGGGTTAATCGTTAACCTAGGATTCAAATACAAAAATTAAATGCCGTGAATTTTAAGACCCAAATACTTTCATTCCTAAGGCATACAAGGATTACAAGAATGGACAAAAATTTTCTATTGTTTTACTTAATTAAATAATTATTGTTTCACTGGGAATCAAATCCAGTCTGCATGTTGAATCCGCATTTGTTTATCAGCTCCTTAAGATTTTTTTTAATGGAATGCATATAAAAGAAGAAGGAATGTACACATGCCCACAACTCCACCAATGATAAGAGAATCTCTTCGTTTTTTAGCATTTATCCTGAATATTAGGCTGTTTAACATCGGAAACCTAAAATAAAATAGGGTAGTTTAAAAATTATAAAATCATTTTCATTGGATTTTAATAGGAACGGGTTATTTCTTTAATCTGCCTAGTTATACCTGTGCAATATTATTTATATTGTTTTATATGGGATTTCGACTTGAGGAATTCTTTTTAGACTTTTATTGATTTCTTAATCATTCTTTTCAATTCTTTTTCTTCAAGTCAAGGCAAGAAAAAATAGTTGGCTAGATAGCATTTTATGCATATTGTATTGTAATATTTTATAAATAATCTAAATTCTGAAAATACCTGTTTGTTATGTCATTGAATCTAGTCTGCATCTGTTTGAAGACTTGTCTTTGTGAAGTTAGGTGCTCCCGAGCTTCCATTGCTATGTTTAACTGTTCATCAACCAGGATGTGTGAACTGGAATATAATTGAATCTTTGATATTATTTTAAGCATATAAAAAAATTAATATCAAGTTAATACAGGTATCAAAACAGCAAAATTTTTACACACCCTAGAAAACAAATAACAGACAAAACTAGCATGGATACAATTTTAAACACTGAGGATTTGTGTGAATCAACCTTGCGTTAAGTAAAGGAAAATATTGTGAGAAGTTGTGTTTTCCTTCACAACACTTGTAAGTATATCATAAGACATAAAAATTTACACTATAGTCTATACAAAAGGCTGATTGCCTAATTCCCCATAAAGGAAAATTAAATAAATCATTTAATATCTAAGGACGATATAGATAGCAGAATCTGTAGGCACAAATTATAAAGGATTAGTAGGCACCGTTGAATGATTTCTGTTCTTACCTATGCAAATGGTTAGCTTCTTTGGCATACTGATCTCGCCTACTTAGTCCTACTGACGTACTGGGAGTTGGACTGCCGCCCCGTAATAATTCCTCACGTTCTCTTCTTGCATTTACGCGAGCAGAAGTCTTGGAAAACTCTTGCTGATAGTCCTAAATATTTAATACAGTTCATTTATTACTTAATATAATAAATATATATAAATATTTAAAGCTCATAAAAACTCAACTCAACTTATTTTTTTATAACAGAATTATTATTAATTAATATAGTTTCTTGTGAGTCAGCAAATTTTTATAACACTATAATGTTAAAAAAATAGATTCCAACAGGTCAACCTACTTTATTAGAGATCAGAAAAATATACTTTGATAAATTAATTTAAAAAAAAATTTAATCTCCAGAAAACTGAATTAATAAAACCCTACTGTACCATAAGGATTTCTCTGTGTCTCTTCAATGTGTGCATTGTGGCTGCCCCTCCTGGAGATATATCTGCCATTTTATCATTAATTGCAGATAGCTGTAAGAAGAAAGTATTAAATATTAATTATTGAAGAAATTTTACTTTGAAATGTAAGCTTTAACAACTTCATGTTTAAATAAATTCCTAAAGGAAGCTCAAATCAAAGTAATTTTTTAAACTTATTGTTGGTATTAAAAATATAGACATTAAATACTCAACACTTAATCAACAGTTAACTATTTACCTTAGTAAGCATTTGTTGCAGCTCCATCGATATGGTGTCGAACATGTCATCGCTGTTGATCAATGGAACACTTTCTGAACCAAGTCGAGATGATGTTGAGCTCACTCCTAATTTGCTAAATGCTACTAGTTTTACATCAATATCATTTTCAAGTTGCCGTGCCTGTTTTCTTAGTTCTGAAAAGCAAGAAAGAAACAATATTTTTGGCAACATAAAAATTAAAACGTAGAGTTCAGGAGAACACCGGCCGTAGATAATGAGTGAAAGGGAATACAAACCTTCCCAGGAAGAACTTCCTATATTGGACATCTTGAAGCAAATGTTTCAAAAGTTTCTCAATTCGATGAGCAACTAAAAGTTTACACAGCAATCAGACTAGTTAAAATGCGAAAATAATTATTAATAATAAAATAAAAATTTATCAATTGGTATTCGGATTCACAAAAACAAATCGTCATCAAACATCATTCGTCCATTATAATCTTAATATGTCATGTATGACTTAGAGTATGTCATTGAGATTGATTATAGACGACAGCTGGTGTCATATTTTGATTTTGATGTATTTGTCTACCCTAGGGAGTAGGGAGCGTCAAAATAATAAATTGTGCCGAAAGCGCGGGGTCGTACGAAAGTTCATATTTTGTAATTATTTTATACGTTTAATATTTACCCATCTCCAATATTAATTGCTCTCAAATGCCCAATTCGTCTAAAATATCAATTGTTGTGGAAAGTATATTCTGTCGTATAGAAGAACGATTAAATTCAAACGGATCTAAACAGTGTAAGAAAATTTGTAAACATCCATATTGCAATCTAAAAACGTTACATATATTACGTTTTTAGATAATGTTTACAATGATCCTAATTAGTTACAGATGAAGAAATATTAACTCTGCACTCTGCTTTTGGGGCAACACTGCAACGAGCATTTGAAATTCTTGAAAAATACCCTACTTTGGAAACTTATTCAAATTGTAATAACGGAAGAGTTCTTGTTGAAATCAAGGGAGAAAACGACCGATGCTACAGAGTATTTCCAAGAATTAATTTTTGTCCGTGTCTTGCCTTTAAGCACCAAGTGATAGAGAAAAAATTACAGTTGACATGTAAACATGTTCTAGCAGCTCGAATTGCTATGATTTTAGATCGAATAGTAGATCACAAAGTTACCCAGGATCAGTATTTGATGTTGTTAAGATCTATGTTTGAAGAGCAAAATGGATGATGGTACTTCTCAATATTATTTCACAGCTTCAATGGATTCAGGAAAAACACTGTGCAGCTTGATAAAAGCTATACAGTTTCAAGAAGTATGTCTATAGAATTATTAAATGATTATAAAAAATATAACATATATAATCTTGATTTCTTTACAGTCTGCTGTATTTTGTGCAATGCAAGAGGGTTTAAAGCTGACAGTGGAAGAAGGAAAATGTGTTCAGGCATCAGCTTATATTCCTGCTGATAACTTTAATGAGTACCATGTTCGAGATGATGTTGATGTTATGTTTAAGGTGATATTCCTGTTTTATGACCTAACTTTATATCATTAAATGTTCAATGAATTAACTATTATAAAGGATTGAGGGTAAGATTTCAAGTCAAGACCAAGCATGACCTATTATGGCTGTAAGTAAGAGTACCATATGTTTTTGTCATACATACATATGCTATGTCTGACTCTGATACCCAAACTAATCACAATTGATTAACGATCTGATATTTAAATAACATTTCTATTATAATATATAATTCAGAGTTTTTCTACAAAATTAAACTCATAGAAATCTTCTTAACAGAGTCTTGGAAAACAATGTTTAGAATTTTCATGAAAATGTTCTATTGATTTTCCTATATTTTGTTTTTAATCATTTCTGCTTGCATCCCTTACATCAGAGTTACATTTTATTAACTATATTTTCAGATAAGTATAGCAGTCTTGACAGAATGCCTTAACATATTTGGCTCAGGAGAAGAGTCTAGTTTGAAAATGTATTATAGATGTGAAGGTTCCCCCTTACTTTTAGTGTAAGTAGTCAAAAGACAAGCAATAAAAAAGCAATCACAACATTTCTAAGTACTATAGGGCCAACTTATAATTTCAGTACTATGCTATCTCTCTCTTATCATTGTTAAAAGTAGAATCTAAAAGAATAAAATTTGAATTAGAATGTCTGAAAATTCCTGTAGTGTCTATTCTGCTATATTATAAATAAGACTGTTATGTCAGAGTTCCTACAAAGTCATCTCTGACATAACAGCCTTATAGAATAAATATAGTTTAAAAATTATGTAAGAACTAAAAGGGAAATAACATCTACTGGGGAAAAAAATTTTTTGGTGTTTGTAAGAAATAAGCTCAAAACTACTGGAGCAATTTCAAAAATCATTTCAGCATTAGAATGATTATTAACTTAAACATGGGCTATATTCATTATGTTCAAGATGTTAATAAAATTACAGCTTTTAATTAAAGGCCGGGAAAGGCTGCTACAGAATATTTTGTCGCAGAATGAAAAGCTATATATTGTTTATAATTTCCAGGCTTCAACCCCAATCATTCAGCAATGTTATGACAGACTGCGAAATATCGACACAAACAGCAGATTCAGTTCTGGAACTCCGAGATGAAGATGCAGAGGAAGTGGCCAAACTGGTTTTGAAAGCGCCAGCCTTTCTCAGTCTTTTAGCGGATCTGGAAAAGACCTGTGATATCATTGAGATTAATCTCTCACCTGAACATCCTAATGTCAGCATTGTTACATATGGAATGCAGGTGAGAAGGAGAGTAGTCACGGATTGCAATTCAACATTCCTAAGTGCAACCTATTAACCTATAACCAATAAAATAATGATTATTTTGTATAACCACCACGTTGTATAAACTTTCACTAAATCATTTACATAAATTATTTTGCTTCTTAACAAACCTTTTTGAAGTTATACTTCTTTAGGCGCGTTATGAAAAATTGATGAGAGTGAAATTTTACGATGCGCGCGCACCGTGACACAAAATTAACAGTATGAAGTTAGTGGCGCATGTTGGCACGCACGCCGCCTCTGTTCACTGTGTATTTATATTTATAATATTTATCCACATGCTTTGAGTTACTAAATTTAAAACACGTTTTCATTTTGTTTTCTTTATACAAGTGCGAATTTTATATGTGCGTCTGAATTATAATCAGAAGTGATTTAAATTGAATATTTAAATCAATACTAATTAATATTAGAAAATAATAATAAATATTTATTTATTTAATTTTTCAAATGTAAACTGAACTTTATTGACTATAATGACTCCTTTTCCAGTCTTTGATTATTTAATTGTAATTAATTATTTGCATGCAATCAAAAACTATTTTTAATAATGCCAAAGAAGTATAACTTCAGAGCAAGACAAGGGTTTTCCTGATTTTATATTTTTCTTTACATGAGTCATACGGTATCAATATTAATTAATTTTACTATTTTTAATATGCAACAAATAGCTCTGCTTAAGATTTGTTTTAAGTAACTGTATAATTGTTGCCTTTACAGGATAGATCATGTATAGACATGCCAAAGTCTTCAGACATGGTCCAAAGTTTTAACTGTGAAAAGGCAGTCACGCTTAAGTATCAGCTCCAACATATAAGACTTATTATGAAGGCACTTGCTGTTTCCTCGAAGGTTGGGTCATTAAATATAAAAATAAGAATATCATCATCTTTGAAGTAACTAATTTCAAATGTTGCTTTGGCTAATTGGATAAAGGTTTCTGGATTCAATTCCTGGAAAACAAGTACTGTTTAGGTCGAATGCCAAAACTAAAAATTAAACAGACCCAGAAATGTGTCATTACGCGCTATAAATTTTTAAACGCATTAAATTATAGTACCCTCTTATCTCGCTATTATAAAAAATTAATTAATCAAATTAAATATTAATTTGATTAGAATTTGTAAATTGACTTTAATTTAGAAATTGTATCTATTTATAATTAATTGTAACCGTTTTAAATTATTTTGAAGGTAGTTCTGCGATGCAGTTCCAATGGCCTCCTTCTTTTGCAGTTAAAGCTGGAAAAAGAAGATCAAAGACAGATGTTTTCGGAGTTTTATATAGTTCCCTTACTGGATGATTAAATTAATTGTTATTTATATCTCTTTTATTTTATACTCGTAAACTGAAAAACTTATTATTTAACACACATCAAATTTATAATCGAAATATTAGATGTTATGTAAAGTGTGTAAAATACCGCCAAAATTTTAATATGTCATAGATTACACACATTCTTATTTTGGAAAATATAAATTTATCAAGGGCTTTTGACACGGATTAATTTTCGACATTAGCAACCGTACGCAAACCGTATTCATATAAGCAAAGGTATTTTGTGGGATTCATTACAGATTTCAGAAAAGGCGAAGAAAATTCAACCCTAATATTTTTCATTTACTTAATTTTGTTGGTTAAAAGAGTTTATAAAACATTTATAAAGTTCAATCTTGTATTATGTATAAAATATTTAATTAAATTGTACATTAGGAGATACGAGATAAAAATCATCAAAATCAAGCAAAGTTGGGTTCTGAACTTCTCTTACCCTAAGGTCGTAGGATCGATTTCCAGCTCCAAGCGCGTAATTAACACTCGCTCATACGGTGAAGGAAACATCGTATTGTCTTACAGTTGGCGACATGTGTCAGGCACCGAAGGCTGATCACCTACTTGCCTATTAGAAAAACAAATAATCATGAAACACCACCCACACACAACACGGTTGTAGCACCACTGATTATTTATACAAATATTAGGCACATATATGTTAGCATTTATAACTATACCTAGTGTTGGTGTTATTTATTCCTGATATTATATCACGTTGGCGTACACATCAGGCTTTACTGAAAAAAAAACTTATATATAAGAAGTAAAAAAAAAAAATATCTGTGCAAAATATAATGTGTATATTACAAACTTACATTCACACTAAACAGGGAATGTTACATTGCTAACAGCTGATTCCTATATCCAACAAACAGATATCCGTTGATTGTGCATGTACACTTCATATAATCGTTATTATTAGTTAAAAAAATAGGTCATCCTAAAGGAAAATATAAATAAATATCAGTTATAGTAACTTGCAATGTTAATAAAACATAAAGAAAAAGCAACATATTATATATGGAAATTGAATTCAGTATCTCCAGGTTAAATGTAATAATTTAAAAAGTATGCACCAACCACCAAGAACTATTTCTAAGATTACATTCAATTTCGCCACACTTGGTTTGGACAAACATTTTTTTCCG